TGTCTCAAAGTTGCTCTATGTCAAGTCCATTTTTCACGATTACTTTAGTCTCACTGAAGTCTAACCAAGGCATTTAACAAACAGCAACTAAGCATACCTTACTCTGAACATAGTCGATGGTCGTCTGTTGGGCGACTCTCAAAGAATTACCGAGCCGAGGTGATACCATGTAAGAAATATAGTTTCAACTGACCCCTCCTATTATTTACTTTGTTAGGATTCTTTTTGAAATTTCAAGCTTTTCTCGCTGTTGATCCCGGTTTGTTCATTTCATTTTATCTTGAACTGGTTTTTTTTTGCTTTTTTTTTCTTTTGATAAATCAGTATGTTTACCATTCATCTTCTTGCTTTTCGATTACACATTATTCCAATCCTTTGGGCTCGTCTGCACGCATTCGCAAATAAATTAGTTACATCCTTCTCTTGCACGAAATTGCACTACATCATGCGCCTCTCTCTTGATGAATATCCAAATTACATTCAGAATTCCACACGTTCTAAAGAGAGAAACGAGCTTATAGCAGGTGTTGTCGTCCAGATTTATCAAGAAACAACTCAATGCCAATGTCCGACATTCCTTGAATTCATGCATCTAAATTACGATTCAAATAAATATATGGAAACTGGATGGTCGAAAATTTTCGATTAGGACGGATGACAGAGCTCAAGACTAACTAATGATCCCAAATAAAATTAAGAGGATAATTCACGTTTCAGCAAGGTGATATGTGATATGGGTTATTAAGGGGTAAATTGGGGCAACATCAAGGCTCCAAATCTACCAGTGGCTGGGCTACCTAGCAGACAGGAACAAAAAGGAGACCAGGATGCCCAGGGTAAAGTCCTTCGGCTTCAGACCTCTGTCTTAGACACTGGTGCTGTTGCTTCTTTATCCACGGATCCCACCCTTTCTTCGTGCAGTGCCGCCAATTTCTCTGACTGGATAGCGCCTGTCTCAAGCTTTCGAACATGCTGGAATTCGACCTTGGTCTTCCAAGCCTTGAGTCCCGGGGTATTGAACATAGTATCAACGTCCTCGAGGGTTTTGCCCGCAGTCTCGGGAAAGGCGAAGAACACATGAACAGTCATCGCAAAGCAGAAGACTCCGAAAACAAGGTACACCTTCCATTTGATGTTCTCAAAGGCCGGTGGTACGAAGTAGGACAAGGCGAAGTTGAATATCCAATTGGACGCTGTCGAAACCGCCACGGCTTTACCACGTAGTCTCAAGGGGTAAAGCTCTGGTGGGTAAATCCAACTCACGGGACCCCATGTAGGTGCAAAGCTTGCAACAAACAGATAGGTACAGGCGATGACTCCTTTGGCTGCGCTCGGCGCAGCAGATAAGTCCCAAGATTGTTCAGCCGTATTGTTCAGGCCACCGGGAGGAGCTGGCTTGCCATATGAAGCCATAATACCAGCATTTGCAAACATCCAAGTCATCATCAAAGTTGATCCAATGAGGAGAGGAACCCGACGGCCCCATCTATCAATAAATATCAAAGCGAAGATGGTCATAACAACATTTATCACGTATTGGATAGAGGATGCAACCAGGTTGGCATTCCCTGACAGACCGGCCATGCCAAACACATATCTTTAATATTATTAGCAAATATTCAAGTTATAATCAGATTTGATTTTAGTTACACTTACGTGATATAGAGCATCATGACGTTCATGCCAGTGAGCTGAGACCAGATTTGAGTGAACATGCCGATGTGTGTGCGATAGATCATGTTCGGCTTGAAGAGATCCAAATACGAAGCATCGGCGTTCTGACGCTCAAACTCGACCATGTCACGAATTTCCTGCAGTTCGGTTTGAACGAAAGCATCATTGTGGTCACCTTTGGCGTGAACCAGAGCTAGCACCTCATGGGCCTCCTCCCAGCGGTCATGCTTTGCCAGCCAGCGCGGGGATTCGGGCATGATGAAAACCATGAAGAAGAGGAACACAGCAGGGACCATCTGTAGTCCCCAGGGTAGGCGCCAGGCAGAGGGACCATCAAGGAAGCTACTTCCATAGGAGATATAAAACATGATCAGGATGCCCCATGTAATGGCCCATTGTTGAGCACCGACGACAGTACCTCGTTTGCTGGGCTGTGCCAACTCGGCGACATAAACTGGCACCTGGGCACTCAGAATACCGACAGATAGGCCGTTAATGAAGCGACCAACGACAAGCTGACCAATGCTGAAAGAGGAGCATGAGATAGCGGAGCCAATACACCATATGACCGAACCGACTTGGATAGAAGTCTTGCGACCGAGCCAGTCTGTCAAAATTCCGGAAATGAGGGCACCAATGAACGATCCACCAGGCATGGCAGCAGAGATGCCACCCTGGGTGCTAGAGGTAGGGCCACCGCATTCGTTCTTATCATTGACGCCGGTCTGGTTGAAGAAGCATCTGTACTGCTGGGTGCCAAGACTGGAGAAATTGAAAATGGTTAGAGGCAAATCTTGGGCTATCGTAGATGGGCAAAGGTCTAAACGTACATGGCTGACATCGAAGCAATATCGAAACCAAACAGTGCACCGCCGATGACGGCCACCGTGGTGATGACGTAGATGTTTCCAATCGTATAACCCATGGTGAGGGTCTAAAGCCCTAGAGCTTGAGGGTAAAATTCTTTGGAGAAAGGGCAATGAACTTGAGAAGGAGAGAAGAAATCCAGGAGAACAGAAGGGGCAAACATGGGTTGAAGTATACAACGGAACAACGGGCTCCACCAAGCACGGGGTCTACTCGTACACTAATCAAAGGAAATCGAAAAATACACATAAAACCTGGAAAAGGATCATCGAATTAAAATTTCGCACCCGGGCCGACTCTTTAGAGTCAGTCTAACCCAAGGCAGTAAACGCAACCCAGAGCGCTTTTGAAAATGCGGGGGGGCGCTCATGCCACGACGGCATGGTTGGATAGATCCATGCACCCGCAATCCGACTATATTAAGAAGGTGAGAAAGAAGATGCCACACTGACTGTGGAAATAACAACAATATTGCTGTGTAAATCTGTCGTTCGGCGTCAACGGCTCCACGGCTTGCCCAGACTTCCCCAGAATCCGCCATCTATCAGGGTCTCGCGGTCCCTGTCACGCTCTTCTTCCAATCCACGAGAGTTTCAGTGCCGAGCCTAGCTGAGGTTCTTGGCTGTAGGTCCAATCATCCTCCGCTATTCCCCCGCTTGGACCCACGATCCTATGCAACTTCGAGGGTCGACTGTCGGCGCCACATGGTTTCATCGCGTTTCTCTCCTTCGACATTTGACCGTTCGGGGACCGGCCTTTAGGGGAATTTCTGGGACCATGCGGAGTACTCGACCGTGGGAAATGAAAGACAAATGAAAGACAACGAACTCGTTCCACAATTCGCGCGACTTATTCTCCAAGGTTTCCGCTGCAGCCTTCCATAGCATGTGCCCGGGCGAGCCGGCTCCTCAGTCTATTCTTATTGGCGCCCTCAAAAGCACCCTGGCCAGCATCTCGGGGATTCCGGGATAATGGATGCGCTCTTCCGCACGGAGCGAAGTTTCTTGCCTCAGCTGCCTTCTTATTCGTTTCTGGCCTGCCGCTGCTGACTCCTCCCCGATTTGTCTACGATCTACAGCCACAAAGCCCCTTCAAAGCCAAGTTGCCCAGCCACCAAGCCACCAATGATCGTGGCGGGTTCTTGTTGTTCGACGAGGAGGGGTGAATCCTGGGCAAATACGGAGTAGTTGCACACACAATATGGTCCCTTCTCTCTGGATAGAAAGGTACGACCGCAAATAAATCACCTCAGTGCGCCTGAAACCAACCAGAGTTATTGTTCATGCGTCCCCCTCCTCGACTTGATCTGCACGGGTCGTATTTCTGTATTGGCTAACTCCCCGCCCGTACATTTTGGTTCATGATTTTCAATGTACCGTTTGCTGAGGCTTTCCAGCTTCCACATATGCCCTGACCGGGGAGTCAGCTGGTGCTAGTGAGTCATGTACTCCGTACAAAGAAATACGATCTGACAGGATCCAGTCTCGTCAGGCCAGACACAGTGGAGTGAGTGTCACCTTACCCGGAAGCCACTCAAACTCAAGGCGCGGGCGGGCGTACTTGGCTTAACCCACTCAACACCCTGGCTGCATGGCGCGAAGCCACGGCATCATGCCCTTCTGACAGATTCCCATCTCTTGGGAAGCTGGAAATGGTGGTCAGATCGACGGTCCGAGCACCTCGCGGTTTTCCAATAAACATGCTACCGGCCCGAAAGTGAACCAATCAATGCGAGGGATGCCCTTCTTTCTCGCTTTCATTGCGTTTTTCTCCTTCCAGATTCCTGATTCGATTCGGTGTTCGGAGTATGACTGAATGGATGCCCAAGAGCAAGACAGAATTCCCCGATTGGTGGTGGTATCATGGTGATCTATGTGCCAATATCGAGTAGACATTCATCAGCAAGATCCTTCTTTTTTTGGGGGAGGGTCTGAAGGAACAGCGGTCAATAATAACTTGAATGTGGCATTTACTACTTGTTCCTCAGGTATAGAGATCAAATGAATGGTGAAAATACGTGGTATTAGCAACTTCCAGTCTGAGAGTGAAGTACCATGAGTGAAACCTCGAAAGAGGAACTAATCTACTTGGATTCATTTTTTAAAACACATCATTGTGGCAGACCATTAATCCCCCTCCTGGTTAGTAGCCATCTCATGTTTACTCCATCTCTGATAGACCGAGGCACAGGAGGCATAACTTAATGCCTTAAGGATAAGGTTGAAAAATCCTAAGCTGACATAAGCCAAAGCTGGTGATTTTTTAGCCTTAGTCCTAAGGCATCAATTCCCACCGCCTTTCGCTGACATAACCGGCTGGCGGCAGAATCGTTCCCGCTACCGACGGTCGTCTCACTTGCATATCCCCCGAGTTCTCTAGACATGCTCTTTACTGTTGATCAATAGCCTTCCACTAATCGCCTTCACCCTCACCTTCACCCTCTTACTGACCTCGACACTATGGGCAATCCAACTGACCTCCTGCCTTCGCTAGATCCTGCCAATGCTCCTCTCAGTGACTCCTTACCCCCAGCTTATTCCGAACACGATCTTCTTCATCATGGAACCACCGACCAATCCCCACAATATGAGGCCTCCTGGTCCAACCAAATTACTGGTAGCTCAGAGACTCTCCAGGGCTCAACGAGGATATTTCCTCCCGTATTGAATGGCTACTTTCACTGGAAGTCCACCACCACTTTTCACCTGGGCCCGACCGCGGAGGAGAAGCTCTTCGCTGTCTCCCTTCCAGCTGGCCTCTTCAACAATAAACCTTCGCTTATCCTACACAATGGGCCAACGAAACAAGATGCGACTCTGGCCACATCCCGTAGCGACAAATGGGGTCGCCTCAGACCCATGGACATCACTCTCTACCCGCATTCGGCCAACAATCTCTCCGCAGAATTCATTGTGCAAATGATTCCTTCCTCCACCAGTCACACCTCCGCGGCATTCACCTTCGAGATCAACACTGGTGGTAAAGGCACCGACCGCCAGCGCTTCGAATGGCGGAGCAGCCACGGTACTGAGATTAAACAACTGGCCGGTCATTCCTATGGTTACAAGTTGGTGTGGCTGTCGGGGCCGACCATCGGTGCAGGCGGCAGCAGAAAAGAGCGCAATCTCGGCATGTCCAGTGATGGGCTAGAAATCGTGGCGGTCATCGCTCATAATGCCTCGATGAGCATGACCAAGGGCTTCCGATTTAACTATACGGGCACCGGGTTAACCGGGACGTTAGGCGCGGATTGGGAGGTGATGACCTTGATCTCGGCGCTGCAGTTGTGGTTACTGGATGTGCTGGGCCTGCCAACTGCAGGAACCGCTCCAACGAGCAATGCTGCCTCTTCTTAGGTTTTGGGGACTGCGCTTGATGCCGAGACCTTGTAGATATGCTAGATTGAGCTGTATCGCTAGATTTACCACAGGCATTGCATATAGATAACTCATAGCTACTATTGATTTCCAATGAAGTATTGAAATCCAATTTTGAAGCACAAACAGAAGTATCTACTAGGATATCTGATGACCTGATGATTCAATGTCCATACTAGTAGTAACTACAAGCCCCGCCTACATGGGTTGGAGCATCGCCACCGGCCAACCGGCGACTTTATTAAAGCCCCGACTAACTAGTATGTGTGGGGTGGGTGGGGTCATCACGAATCTAGCGGATATTCGATCATCCATCCTTCTTCTACATACATAACTACAGAATATCTTGGGAATCCCTTGCCTTTGTCTCAACAACTACATTTATTCTACATTTACCTTGGACTTGCTCACTTTAATCATGACGATACCCTGGCCCCCATCAGGGAAAACCCAATTCGGCATCGCCACTCTGTCTCTTGGTAACTGGAGAAGCCATCCTCTTGAACCTAGACTGCAAGCCGCGGCTGAGGCTGGCTACGAGTGGATAGATCTTTTTGACGAATGCTGGGCAGCGTACCTGGAGGAGCATGACTTACCAGGAGACCAGTTGTGGGAGCCCACTCCTCGCAATCTAGAGGTCGCTCGGAAACTAAGTGAACTCGTGAGATCACTAGGAATGCGTATTGCTTGTACCCAACCACTTCGTCAAATCGAGGGGATCAGGAACCCCACAGAGCGTCGCGCAACCCTTGATCTAGTTGCCAAACGATTTCCATTCATGCGGGCATTTGATACTGATCTGGTGTTCATGTGTGCCAACATCCGCACAGATAGCGGAGTGACCTCAGACCTGAAAACCGTCGCGCGTGACTTAGCTGAGCTCGGCGACATGGCGGCAGCATATGCACATGCAGATGGCGGCCGTATGCTAAAAATCGGATATGAAGGACTCTCATGGGCAACCAGGAATACTTGGTCATCTTCATGGGAAGCAGTCCGATTTGCCAATCGTCCAAATGTGGGCTTGATTCTCGATGCATTCAACATTCTGGCTGTTGAGTTTGCAGATCCTTATAACCCGGCAGGACATGGGCGTATTTTTTCAACCCTGGAAGAGTCTCTTCAAATCCTTACAGACTCGCTCATATCGCTCACGGCCACTGTCCCCGGTGACCGAATCTTCTTCTTCCAGTGTGGCGATGCAGAGTTGATGAACCCAACAACCTTTTTTCCACCTTCAGATCCGAAAACCCCATTACTTCTTCCGTGGTCACGAAGCCATCGCCTATATCCTCTAGAACAATCAAGAGGTGGCTATATGCCTGTCGAGCTTGTCGCCGCCGCCGTGCTGGCAACCGGCTATGAGGGAGCGATATCACTCGAAGTTTTCAATGCATCTTTGAACGAGCCAAGTGATGATGTTCCACCAATCCATGCCACTAGGGGCATGAGTGGATTGAAGAGTCTTGTTGAGGTTTCAAGAAGACTCCCTCCATTCTGGAAAGGCAAATCGCACGCCCGGGAAGCCTTGGCTCTCGTTATCCAAAGATTGCAGAATGGCAGACATCATCTATGAATGAGTCTGGAATCTTCTTATAGTCAGGTTATTCCTTAGTTGGCCACCAGGTTATACAGAACTTGAAACAGCACCGCTCCAAAAATGACACCATCATTCTACAATCGTATGGAAATACGTCCCCGACTTCGCAAATTTACCATATAATCGTTACGGGGCTAGTGGGATCATCGGTGAACTTTGGGAAACGATTGCGAAAGTGACTCGTCCCGAAATCAGTTTCTAACTGTCGAGGTCCTCATTTTTACATTGATCCCTCCCGATGTCGTTGAGTGAATTGGATTTTCCTCCCTTCATCTTCATTTTTTTAGATATTCAACATCTATCAAGTCAGAATACATCCCGCAAAGCGATACTCTTATCCATAGTACCCAGTATAGGTAAAACATTCAATTCATTGACTACTTACACATCATTCTCGACTGTGCCTGTCTATTTCCCTGCGATAAGAACACCGCGATACCGCATTTTACCGTCCTCTAAGGTCTTCAGGCTATCCTTCACGCCTTCCAAAGTCAACGGGAAGGTCATCTTGACTGGTTTGATACCATGGAGAGCAGCAAACTCAAGCATGTCTCGATGAACTTGTCGTGCAGAGACAATGCCACCTTGAACTCGAAGACCATTCACCAGCAATGGCATGTAAGGAATCTTGAGATCGCCTGCGTCCACTGAAAGCGGGGAAATGACACCGTTGGGAGCCATAACGTTGAGGTAAAGCTGCCAATCGGGCTGGCTACTTGTGGTGACAATCAGGTTATCAATGGGCTTCTCAAGCTTCAGCTCCTTCGCTCCCTTGGTGGCTAGGAACTCGGTCGCCCCCAGTTCCATCGCCTCTTTCTTCTTGTTATCGGTCCCTGAGAAAACGATGACTTGACAACCCATCTTTGCTGCAAACTGGATGGCCAAATGGCCCAATCCACCCACACCAACGATTCCCACGCGCGCGGTCGGGCGAACCTGAGCGACATGGAGCGCATTCCACACCGTCGATCCGCCACACATCAAGGGACCAGCATCCTCATTCGAGACACTATCAGGAATTTGGAACAAGAATGCCTCCCGCCAAACCGCATGGCTAGCGAATGAGCCCTGGTCGAGGTTGGCCATAGCATACATCTTGCGCTCGGCGCAGAGAGTCTCCCAACCAGTCAAACACTGTCGACAATGGCCGCAGCAGTCGTGTTCATATCCCCATCCCACCCGATCACCCTTCTTCAGCAACTTAACTTCCGGGCCAGTCGCTTCCACTACTCCGGCACCCTCGTGCCCCAGCGCCATATCCGAGGTCTGATAATGAACATCGGTAAAACAAACTCCAGAATGGGTGACACGGACAAGAACATCATCTCGTTTGAGATCGTCACGGCGGGTTATTTCCTGACGAATCGATCCGTCTTTAGCCCCCTTGAACACAGTGAATTCGATCGGCATAGTTGGTAGGTCGATGGGAATGTAGATGGACGTGTCTAAGTTCCCAAAATAAGAGTTTCAAGCAGAAATTCTAGAAGGTAGTACTTTATATATTTAACTAAATTTCTACACGTCACTGTGGATCAGGCTCAGCCGGGTACATAGGACTACATAGCAGTGTTGTTCGAGTTACAGCGAGCCGTCTATTCCCGCAAGCCCAAACCTCCATCGCGATGAAGCCAGTTGGGCCACTGATGTCATCGTTTCCGGCTTTTGCTACCACTGGCGGTAAAATTGGGCTTAAGGGAGCAAGCATGTTCAGCTTATGTGAGATCTAAATCGCCCATGGGCAAGACTCGGTCGGTGATTTGTGCCTATCAAAATGGTGAGGTCATACATCTAAGATAGTTACCACACGCCGAACAACTCACAGCGACCTACCTGCAATTCCTCATCCATGGAAACCAATCTAAAATACATGACTTATTGCTTACCCATCTCCATCGCATGCAGTCGAATCTTCGATTAATGTGTCTAGTGCTAGTGCCTTGACAACGCGTACTGGTTGAGGAATCAACTAACCAGTTTCTGTCGGTTGAACGCAATCACCAGCTCGCTGGAGGCGTGGATTCTAGTCGTATTTGAACTATTAGTGTACAGTAGACTCGACTCGGTAAATACTATACAAATAGTAGTACGACTATATGTGTGCTAGATAATGATAGTAGACCCAATATAACACAAAATGGATACACTACTAGTAGCAGGCAATTGCAACGCAATTGGACTCCAAGGCAGACGTAATCTATTACCAACCCTGGACAATCGGAGTATTACATATTTGAGTAGGATTACCAAATATGAATAACTTGGGTAGAGTCTACAAGTTCCTGCCTGGTAACTGGTCAACGGCGAATGCATTGTAGATAATTAAGGCATAAAAATCATATTGAAGTATAGAGCCAAGCGCACCGATACCAGTAATAACCAGTATTCGCTAATTGGTAACTAGTAAGATGATTCGGAGGTCAGACTGATATAAATATAGTAATTGTGGCGTCTAATATTGTTGCCCGTTATCTACTTATATATGCAGCTGAGATTCCAAGGTTTTACTATAGCGGAGGATGCCAGTGCCCATGTGCATGAGGCACACGATGCAAACACCTACAACAGACCATCCTATTTCACAAACACTACCAGCCTACTAGTAAATAGCAGTCCTTTTCTAACCCCGAGCTGCATGTAGATCTATTTATTGTATTGTATTGTATCTCATCTCGTCCTCGTCCGATCTTCGCCGCCAGGGCGATTCTGCCACTCCTCGGGCGGGCGGTGAGCATCGCGATATCGGCCAGCCCAATTGGGAACATCGCGTAAAAAAAGTCTATTTGTTGTTGGATTGTCGATTTCGTTTGTTTTACACGTTGGGAAAAAAAGCTTTTCTGCAATTGATTCAAGTCACTGAAGGCTTTAGTTGTGAGAATGATCCGCATAGACGGTACGAGCAGTGCAAGCGAACGTGCGCAGATCACGGAGAAGGATGCTGCGTTGGCGGTGGTCAGTGATGTAGCACAGGCAATTGATCCGGTGATTGCCAAACGAGTGCTGCGGAAAATTGATCTCTATTTTATGCCTGCGATGTTAATAGGTAGGCGATCCGTTGTTCAAATGCACTCGATGAGTTCCTCACTAATAGCCGAGCTTTGATCAGGGTATGGCATGGTTTACTATGACAAGGTGCGACGAACTGAAATTTGAGATTGAAGAGCGATATGTTGATAATCTCTGCAGGCTATTCTGGGCAGTGCTTCTCTTTTCGGAATGACCACGGACCTGAAGCTGTCAGTGGTCGACAATTCAACAACACCTCCATCGGTAGACACGTCGCGTCTTAGCTGGGCCACTTCCATCTTCTATTTTGGCATGCTGGCAGGTCTTTATCCGATGACTCTCGTCCTTCAACGATTTAACACACGTTATGTTCTTGGCCCCGTCGTACTGATCTGGGCCATTGTATGTGCAGCCACCGCGGGTGTGACCACTTGGCAGGGGCTCTTTATCCAGCGATTTTTCCTCGGCACGTTTCTCTTCAACCACTCATCTCACGGAGCTACTATATTAACAGAATACAGGAGTAATCGAGAGCGTCATTCCGACTGCTTTTATGACCACCGTGAGTAGTTACTACACGCAAAAGGAGCAATCAATGCGACAAGCCTGGTGGTTTTCTGGGACTGGTTGGTTTACCATAATTGGCGGTGCCCTGAACTATGGATTTGGTCAGATTACGTCCGGATCTTTGGCCAGATGGCAATATATCTACATCCTTGCAGGTGGATTGACATTCCTCTTCGGCCTCTGGTGCTGCACGATGCCAAATTCGCCAGTATCAGCCTGGTTCCTGACTGCCGAGGAGCGCATTGTCGCCGTGGAGCGCCTTCGAAAAGGGCAGACCGGGGTTCGATGCCAAAAGATCAAGCTGGATCATGTGAAGGAATCGTTTACGGATGTGAAGCTGTACTTGATCGCCATCATGATGGCAGCGGCGTGAGTCCTATATGATCTTTCTCAGCGGGGCTGCTTTCTAACCACTATCAGTTACACAATCAATGGCGCTATCTCCGGATTCGGGCCTTTGATCGTCTCCACCTTTGGATACGATACTTTGGACTCGATTCTCTTTCAATTTCCTGTCGGGGCTGTGTGTGTCATTTTCATTCCCCTGTGTGGCTATATACCGACGGTCATCCCGAATACGCGCATTCCAATGCTCATAACCTGTTGCCTTCCTGTCATCGCCGGATGCATCATGATCTGGAAATCGGAATGGGGGTATCAGCCCGCAACTCCAGTTGTTGGCTACGCATTAACGGGATTTTTCGGTCCTGTAGTGAGTCTGATTATCACTCTCGGTGCTAGCAATGTCGCTGGCGCGACAAAGAAATCTATCATGGCCAGCAGCACCTTCGTCGCATACACCATTGGAAATATCATTGGACCACAGCTTGTCAAGAGTACCACCAAAGCCCAGCATTACCCCGAGCTATGGCAAGGCATGATCATCTGGTGAGTTGAGTGAGTTATATTAGATGATGTGTTGCATCGCTAACGACATCGCAGCTACTGTATCACAATCGCCGCGGCCATTAGCCTATACATTGTCCTCTGGAGGGAAAATCGACATCGGGATACATTAGAGCTGGATGAAATCCAGCGTGACAAGATTGCCTTTGATGATCTTACTGACAAACAGAATCCGTTCTTCAGATACGCTCTATAGTGCTTTATTCCAGGAAGTCTCGTGCTCGATTGTTACCGATCAATCCCGCCAGATTTGTAAATACTAATTCTATGAATGGTGTTCCAAGATCTGCAAACCTACCAGACTAGCGTCAATAATAGAAGAAGCATTTTGTATATACATCTTTTTGGTCATTTGCGTGACATTCGATTAGTAATAGAAATGTCAACACATCAAATCACAGCTGAGACGACTTTTTTATTTTCTTGAGTTGAATAATGAAATAAATCTCAATTCATACCAGTGGCTTCATCGGACCATTTACTTGAACTCAGTCGGCGTGCGGTAGTCAAGTGCCGCCCAACACAAGACGGAATCTTAAGATTCCGAGCTTCACGTACCCCGCAGGGACTTTTATAGTCGGCTCCACCCGGGCATATTCAGGTTCAATTTCCATTCATTTCAAAATGGAATCGTCAAAAGAACTCAATCTGGTCGAATTCTCGGATAATGGCCAAACCCTCGCGCGTGATCCTCGTTTTGAAGTCACCTGGGAAACGACAGATCAACAAAATCCTCGGGCATGGTCGGTTTGGTACAGGAGTTTCATTGTCGCTTCTATGTCCTTTTCAACCACCATAGTGTATGTAAATCCCCCAACTCATTACGAGATCATTCTCAATGAGCTGAATTGACATGTGAATAGAGTCATATATACTACGATGTACACATCGGGGGTTGAGGGAATGCAAGAATCATTCAACGTTTCATCCAAAATTGTTGTGCTTTTGGGGCTGACCACAAATCTCTTTGGCCTGGCCATCGGCTCTGTTGTTCTTTCATCGCTGTCAGAGATATACGGTCGGAGGCCAGTGTACTTGATATCTGTGCTTTTGTTTGGTCTCTTGATTGTACCTGTGGCTCTGGCGAAAAATATCGAAACAGTGCTGATCAGTCGATTTTTCGGGGGATTTTTCGGGGGTGTCATGATCGCGAGCGCACCTGGAAGTGTTACTGATGTGACTGACGATCAATACCGTGCCCTTGCTCTAAGTTGCTGGAGCCTTGGTACAATGAACGGTCCTGTCCTAGGTATATATCCCTTGTCTGCGGAAAATTGCAAATTATCCCTCGAGCAACGCTGACAAGAAACCCTCGGTACAGGTCCAATCATAGGCGGTTTTGTCTTTCAATATCTTGGATGGCGCTGGATAAACTGGCTTGTCCTAATTTGCACGGGAGTATCATTGGCCTTGATGTTTTGTGTCAAGGAGACATATGCACCTTCTCTTCTACGAAATAAAACCAAACAGGTTCGGTCGGATTCTGGTGACCAGCGGTGGTGGTGTCGCCATGACCACCAAGAAACAGGTCTTCGAATGCTCAAGTCTAACTTGATCAGGCCAGTTCGTATGATCGTTTCAGAGCCGATCTGGTATATTCCCTTTTTCATTCTGTCCTGACATTCAATAGTAAAGCTTTCTGATACTATTTTGCAGCGTCTTTTGGAACCTCTATGTGGGAGTCGTCTATGCCGTGCTGTTCCTTTGCTTTGTGGCATATCCCATAGTATTCGAAGACATGCGTGGCTGGAAACCTGGTTTTGCAGGGCTTAGCTATTGTGGCATCGGAGCCGGCACTGCGATTGCAGTGATGCTAGAGCCACTGATACGCAAGATCATCGCAATGCATCCGAATGACCCACATACTGGCAAACCAACACCGGAAGCTGCTGTATTCGCAGTATGTGTCGGAAGTGTACTTATTCCGGTTGGAGAACTTTGGTTTGCGTGGACCGCAAAGCCATCTGTTCATTGGATTTGTCCGATCCTTGCCGGATTGCCTTTCGGTCTTGGGAACGGTCTGACTTTTATCTACGCAACCAACTATATGGCCGGAAGCTATACTGTCTACGCTGCTTCGGCCCTATCTGGAAATTCTATCATCCGTTACGGGCTGGCTGGTGTGCTGCCCCTTGCTGGCTCGAAAATGTATTCCACGCTGGGGCCGAACTGGGCTGGAACGATGTTGGCTCTAATTGAGTTTTCTTTGATCCCAATCCCTTTTTTCTTCTATAAGTATGGTTATAAGATCAGACTGAGAAGCCCCATGATTGTACACAGAAACAAAGGAATCCATTGAGCTTTGTTCAGTAAGAACAGCCTGAATTGAAAATGAGGTTCTTTGAAGCAAAACAGTGTTCATGATAGCAGACAAGACGACTTTTCGAAGAAAATCTAGAATCAGGTTTCAAATCGATTAGAAAGATCCAAACCGAAGGATCTCTCTTTCAATCCCACACTGGAAGGAGATTCGCATCTAAACCATTTGCGAAAAGGGACTGGAGCCATTCCATCCCATCATCTATCATCTCCCCCGGGTATGAAGCATTGAGGTCAATCTCTCCCGGTGCTACTTGATGGGGCGAGGCACTCCCTGAAGAATTGATGTTATCCAAGTCATCTCCTATCTCAATAATCTGTGATGAAGTACCCGTTCCGCGAGAAGTTGGAAATCCTGAAACGCCAGGCCCCTCTTGTTGCGAGTTGACTGTGGAGTCTATTATGTCTTGTGATTCTGTACTGTCAACTGTTCGAACATTTTGAAGATTAGGCAGTTTGGCTCTTGAGCGTATGGCAGAACATAAGCCATCTGGGCCATCTGAGGAGAAGTTAGAATTGATGAGGCTCGCAGTCAATCACATTTCCAATAGAAGTATGCTGGACTAACTGGTTCTGGCTGAAATAAGTTGTCGTCCAAATTCGTTGGCTGGATGATTCCGGTGCTTGTTGTTTAAACTTGAAGATGATGATCCAGGCAATACTTCCAATGCCCTGGGATTCTCGGAGGATTGATGATCGGGAGACAAGATGGCATCCGCCATTTGCTTGAGTTTACCGACGGTCCGTATCATTTTCCCAGACATCCATGTTTTGCGACAGTGCTCTCTAAGTGAAACCGTGGCCTCCAAAGTAAGATCTCCATATGCCCCTTTGAACGACGGTTGCTTTATTATAAGACCTAGCGCGATGATAGCAGCGCTAGTCAGGTAATGTAAGAATGGAAATGTATATTTCGGATGTTCTTCCGGCACCTTTTTGAAATCATCGATGATGCGTTGGGCTAAACGCATGCATGTAACTTCATTTTGAATAAGTTCAGGCTCATCAGTAGGCATTAACCTTTGAAGCATTGGCTTTCTAATCAAAAGGTGGATTGAGGACCACCTCTATGAGAGCTTGTTAGATTGAATAACCGTTTTGAGGAGACAACTTACGATGCGCATCATGAATTGTTGCTTGACTTGCCACCACGCCAGCGCCTTTGAGTCATAGTTACTTGGGCTGAGTGGGTCATAAGAGAATTCAAGCGAAATGCACTTCTGAGATTGCAAGATGAGATGCTCCAGATACTCATTCAGCAACGTAGTCGGAGTCTTGTCGGATGTAGCAGCTCCGTAGAGTGCCTCCCACACCTTACCAATAACTCTAGAGTAGCTAGCCATGGCTATCAGGTACGGAACCATAGTTGGTCCTTCAATCACCTCTTCGTCGAATGCGGCCGGCGTTAGAGTTGTTCGATATTTTTCCAGCCTTTCGTCGCTAATATTGTGAGGCAGTCCCACATCAACATTCACATCTTGAATCAGGAATGGTCGACCGGTCTCGATAGCTAGTCGTCGATCTAACAAGTAAATGCACCACCAAAGCCTACGGGCCATTTCCCCTTCGAATGGAGTCATGGCATCAACCATCCTTTTCCTTTGAATTCCTAGATGATGCGCGTGGGATATCGATAGAGCCAAAACCTTTTCGGCAGGTCCGTGAGCATCGAGGCGGAAAAGGTAAATGACCTAGCATAAATCATCTATCTGTTTATCCCGAGCTTTACCCACCTTGGAAGCGAAAAAGTAAACTTACCATCAAAACAACTGTTTGGAGAAGAAATATCTGGTCTGTGCATTGACTAAAACCATCAAGGAGATCGCCGAAAACGTCGCGCGCGGCATTATAAAAGCTCCAGCCTGCTGAATATGGGCCTTGGTCTCCTTCAAATCGTGAAGATTCCACACATTTACCATTGGCGAGACACAACAGAATATGCGCTGTCTCGAACCGCTGTAATTCACTTTGGCTGCTGCGGTTTGAGCTTTGGCCGAAGGAGATGCTCCAAGTTTGTTCGTATAGCCTCCACACGACTGGAAGATGAAGGAATGGGACAAGAACATGAACCTCATCGCAGAAGGTATGCATAATGGCTTTCCACTGGTCCCGATCGGTAATTATACCGTGCTTACGCAAGACCCTCTGCGTAAAACATGTTCCTTGCTCCTGAAAATGCTGAAGTGACGACGCCGAGTCAGGAGATGGCGTCAGATTGGATCTATATTGACCGTTTGGCGACGTTGACCTCTCGCGGGAGTATTGAACGCCCATTTGCTCCAGTCGTCCTTCAACGACAGTCAGATTGTGGGCGATAGACGTCTCACCTGAGAACGCCTGCACATCGGGGGAAGGACTGCGGTTGGAAAAAGCCATTTCATCTCCTTCTATGAAGCTTAATACGTCTTCTTGTCTTTGTAGACGGCCAGCATCAGCGTGGTTCTTTCCAGGCGCTTTCATGCCCTGTGATTCTGGGGTTCTCATCGAGGTGAGTTCTCTCTCCAGTCGCGTCAACCGAGACGCGATGTCATTTCTAGACACAGATGTAACACCAATTCCTCTCCATCGTCCTCGCATGTCTGTTCCATGTCTTTGGCAATCACGCTCCTTGGCTACACAAGTTTGACATGGAACATTGCCGTCGCACTTTGTGAATATTAGCCCAGATGGACCCTGCCTCACTGCAAGCCGTTGATAAAACTCATATATACCTTAATCTTCCGTCTTTGACATTGGTCACTATGATCTAGGTAAGTCCAAGTACGAGGCATGGGAATCGAAAGAAGATGTGGCCTCTACATACCAGGCTCTTGGTGCGTACTGTCCTCTTTTGGTTCGTTTAGGCGGCGGCTGGACAAGAGTCTCCCCCTGGCGACTGGTTGTACACCGTCGCATCTAGTCAACGCTCAGAAGGTCGAATCTATTAGGTTCCAGCCTTAGGTCTGCCCTGGTGTTGGCGGCATCAAGTTTCCGTATCGACTGCCGGGGACCGGGATTTACGTCGAGGCCAAGTGGGGTCCTTCGGAATCTTCGGAATCTTCGGCTTTGTGGGCGGAATCTTCGGCTTTGGGGGCGAGAACAAGAGTCCGTGAACATTGGAAGACTATAAGCGACGGCCGGGCAAAATGGGAAATGGTGTTATGGTATAATAATTGAATGCACAATTCGAGACAACATTGCTTGAATAAAAATGCCCTACGAAAGATTCTAAAAATATCAGATGAATAAATAAGATTCATTCCCAATCGAAGACTGCTTGATGCTTCGGTAGGTAAATTATGCGGAGTAAATGCCGAATCTATTGACAGCGTTTACAAATGCCGACCATCGCGATCTGGATGAATGCAAGTTCAGAGTGCGATAAGTTCACAACATAGGAATAATCAGTTCATAAGATAGGTTTTAACACCTTTCACCCCAGGGGCGATAGAGTAAGCACCTGGGCAGGTAACATACTTCATAAATTCAATTATTGAGTTAGTCTCTATACACTGAACTCAAGTGTCCAATCAGCCGGTGTCCGATCCATCCATGAATGTATCTATTGTCAGATTGAGTAAACACGAGGCTATCCTGTAGTTGCTAGGAATACCCATCGGCTTATCCCAGCCCTGGTAATGCCCCAAAGAGGGTGGAAGCATGACTTCACCCATGTCATTCGAGGATGTATTCAAGCTCCGAGTATCAGTTACACCATCTTTCAAACTCTCACCAGAACAAATGCTAGCCAGCTCATGGGCAGCGTGGTATTTTGATAAATGGCGCGGTCAAAGGTTTCTTGTTCGGCTTGACTATGAAAAGTTTATAAGGGCTTTATTTCTCCAGTGAGAGTGGTTATAAGAGGCAATGGATAGTGTGACCAGCGAGATGGAAAGAAGAATTCAAATATTTTCAAGCAACTGATGTATCCCAGATAATCTCACTCGGAATCTGACTTCTTTACTAGGCTTCAAGTTAATACTCCTCGCTCTTTCTCCGCACTGTGTACGATGGTCTCATGGATGACCTTAATTCCGCCACCATGACTGCCATGGCTCTGAGCATCCCAGTCTCCTTCTCCAGCTGTGCAAGTGGGAGGCTGTTGTCGTGAAGTAGGTAATATCATTTGTTCATCGCTCGTGGTGTTCCATTGCGTATCGGCCGGGAGAGAAAGCGGATGACGGAACTTCCTGCGTTTAGAATACCCGGTGGTGTTTTCGCCTTCGGATAAGGGGTAGGCTGGATAGCTTTGCGAGCCACTTCTTGTGGTGATGAACAGCCCCGCGCGGCGAGCAACGCGACGGACAAGGGAGATATCATCGGCATATTTCCGATGACGACAGCGACGAAGGTCTCGCGACATGCCCAGCTGCCAGCTTGTTGAGCACCATTTGCACCAGCCTAGAAGAATCAGAAATTAAATCAGAAATCAGGTTGAAAGGGGCATCTATGCTTACTGTCAAGATCAGGACACAGCGCAGAATTCCAGCCATCATGACAAATAAGCCACCACTGAAAAGGACGAGAAGTTCCAGTTTTTCCCTCCAGCGGAGTCGAGCTTTGAAGAGCATCTACAAATTCACCCATCAGAAAGGTACTAGACAATAGCATGCTTTATTTAGTTTCAAATTGTAATCACTCACAGGGGCCGGGATGCTGATGAGGTAGATATCGGTAGCCACATTGAGCACTACTGTGACGTATATATCGATGTTGGATACCGCAGGTTGACAATGATCTGACAGTGAATAGTAATGAGTACCGACTTCAGACATCGACAGTAGAAGTGACCTAATAAATGACTCACTTCCAGGGTTTGGATATATCTGCCAGTTCTTGTGCAAGGGAAAGCAACCAAAAATAATGGAGCAGATAGTGGCAATGTATGTTGCGGCGATCAAACCATAAGCAACATGGATCCGAACACGCATGTTAATCAGACCCGCCCTGGCTCTGTCATCAGCGACTGTTAAAGCTTAGTACTCTATTGTTTCAAGGACTCACGTTAATCGAGAATAGAAGATAGCCATGCACGTCTTCAACAACCACAACAACAGTGTGTATAAAGACCATCCAGTCACCTGCACCTTTGAGCCTCCAACGCGCAAGCGGTATTCTTCTGAGCTATGAGATAGCGTCCTGCGCTGCTCATCGGTCATGGAATTGTTGGCAAGGCCCATAAACCATGCACCGACCATGTATGCGGCACCGGTTTCCAGCCCATACACCACCTAGGCTGCCTGTCAGTACCACAACTCGAAACATTCTCGCATGGCCAGTAAATGCACTACTCACACACGCCAGGAGCATCAAATAATCATCCGCTTGAAAATTTCGCGGCCCGACCATGACCCATCGTGCTGTGGTACGTAGACCGATGACCACAATGGCCACCGCCAGAAGTGTGAAAGCCTCAGTGTTAAAGTCACCCATGGTTCGATCGAAACGGGTTTCTTTGAGCAGCTTCACCTCCGAGCGTTCATCAAGATAAAGAAGAAAGATGGCCCAAGGGGAAAGGGGAAAGTAGAAGAACTGGTTCCTTTCAGCCCGTTTCTCATTGGAACCAGGCCGGACAAAGAAGCAAGCCCACACCCCCGGTCGATTTATGAACGGCACAGCAAGGTAAGACCAAGGTCAAACCCCCAAAAATGGGACCCAGCCGCCAAACCGCTACGGGTGGGAGTGGACACTGCTATTTCTTCAGAGTTGACCCAGTTTATGGAGTGATGGCGTCGTGCTAACTAACTAACGCGCAACGTGAAACCCTGACAGGTCAGCTCCAAAGCCGCCGCCAACAGATCGGTGGATACTCGTCTTGCCGTGCCCTGCCGTACCCCGTGGGTCTTTATAACGTCCCGAAGAAGGGTTCGAGGCCCAGACCCGATTGTGCAGTCTTTCCTGGTCCCGACCAGCAGGTTCCTGGGAAGTGGATGCGTGCGAGATAAGTCAGGAAGAAATCGGTCCACCGTGCTCCTCCGAGCTCGACAGGCCAATTACCTCATCGAGCGCATGATCGACATTGAAGAATTTCTTTACGAAGTACGGAGTAACAGCTTTTGACAACCGAAATTGCGCTGGGCATCTCTGGCTCCAACGCAATTGGTTACACGGGCAAAAGATAAGCTGCAACTGGAATTGGGGGAGACCCTCTTCGTCTAATGGAGGTCTGCTGGTCAGCTGTCCATAGCCGGGCCAGTCATGGACCTTGCAAGTTGTTGGTTGGCGATACATCGGGGTTGGGTGTTGACGGCATTACCCTGAGCCTAAAAAAAGGACATTGCCAAAAAGTAGGATTATTCCCTGCTGAGAAAAAAAAGAACAGTGGATAATAACCCAAATATGGAGTAATAGGACTGTGATGCTCACGGGCCTTCGGGATGTGGACTCGCCTAGTCCTGTACAGTATGTACTTCCTGGTTGTGTTTTTCTTTTCTTTTTTTTTCCTGTCCCGTGCATTCCAGTCCATTACTCCGTACGACGTACTCCTTGGCTTCGGTTTCCTTGGACATTCAATGTATGAATCAATCTGAGAAAGTTTTGTCAAGACAGCAGCTTGAGTTCAAATCGCTCAAAAATATAACCGACAATAAAATAGTGGTTTTAAACACTTCCTCCACCCCCCCCATTTCACTTAGTCAGGATCAGTGTTTCAGAATAGAATACAAAAGCTCCCTGATCCATGACAGGCGGGGAACCACCGAGCCCTCCAGCCAGACTGCCCCGGTGGAGCTGGTGAGGACCCGCCGTGGAGCGAACGGCCAGCGCAATTCCGGTTCTGCTCTTCCCGCACCGTTTAACCCCAAAGTCGCGGTTCATTTCTAGAACGCTTGGTCTGATGTGCATGAGATCGGTTGTTTGTCAATCGATAGTCCTTCGGATCTCGATAGGAAGAGGTCTAAGCTCCCTGGAGAGCTGCAGGACGATCGTTCCTAACCAGATATTGATTGTGACTCCTCCTGGTCTTGGACTCAATAAGCCAGATTCCCCCGAGTCGAGTGGCGAGCAAGGAAAAGTTGTTCCCCTCCAAACCGATTTGAATTTTGAGTTTCCAGGGCAGGGATGGAGGCCCACCGCAATAACCCTACTCCTCGTGGGTTCCCAAGGACTTTTGACAGCGTGCGTAGACCGCGCTAAAGAGGACACTAGAAGGGCTAGCGCAACGCCCTCGGGTGTACTGATTGAAAGAAAAGAGAGTATCAAGAAGGTTAGCGATCGGCGCGCGGGTCTGCATTTGGCCATGTCAAACGACGGAGCGTGAATTGAGTTTTGATTCCAAGCGAACAGCCGAGGAATCTTTGAGAGCGTCATTTCTGTAGGGGATCAGGACTCCGTACTCTGGATGTATGTACATGCCCCTTCTCAGGAGTACGGACTTCGATCCGATTTCCTGGACTTGTTCGGCTGCATGCAAAGGGTAGCCAGGGTAAGGGGGAACCCCTGAACACAGACTCGCATCCACACAGCACACCCCTCTCTCGCACCTTTTTTTTTCTTTTTCTCTCTTCCACGTAGTCTAGTGTGCAATAGACACAGAGTCTGTACTCCTCTATGACTACGGAGGAGAGAGACGAGTTGCACGTAACTTTGTTGAGGTGGATACGCCAGACCCAACCCTAATTCCAGGAGTGTCGGATTCATTTCCCCGGTAATTGCCTTTTGACAGGCCCACTAGGCCACTAGGGGGACCGTCCTACCTCGAGGCTAGACAGCTTAGTTCAAGGCTCGCGCAATTGGGCTAGAGGGGCACGCAGGCTCAAAAGTGTCGGAGTCCCTCTTTGTTCACAAACTGTCTTTCGCATTGGCGGGTCAGTTGACTCTAGTTACAACCCTTAAGAAATGGACAACGTGGATCTTGTGGTTATTGGCGCCGGTAAGTGACCCTGTGCTTTCTTTTCTTTTCTTTTGATTTCGATCTGCTCTGCTCTGCATGTTGTATTCTCCTCGACTGTTATCGGCGATTTTCTTTTGATTTTTTTTTCTCTCCAACTTTTGCGCAATATCTAACCGATGTCGATCGACTAGGTTGGAGCGGGCTCGCCGCCGTCAAAACCTATCGTGAAGTAAATCCCGACAGCAATGTCCTTCTTCTGGAGGCTGCCAGCTCCATTGGCGGAGTCTGGGCGAAGCACCGTTTGTACAAAGGGCTCAAGTCGAACAACATGCTTGGCACGTACGAGTATAGCGATTTCCCAATGGATGAGGCAACTTTTGGGGTGAAGCCCGGCGAACACATTCCCGGCAACATTGTCCAGCGGTACCTGGAGGCATACGCAAAGAAGTTTGACTTCATCGATCGCATTCGACTCAACCACCGAGTCGAGAGTGCCGAGCACCGCTTGGACGGAAGCTGGCAGCTGGTGGTGTCGCACGAGGATCCCTCTTCACGGTCGGTGATCGACACGAAGAAGCTGATTGTTGCGACGGGCATTACTTCGCAAGCCTACCTACCCACCTTCACCGGACAAGAAACTTTCGGTGCCCCGCTGTTCCACTGTCGTGACTTCCTACAGCACGAAGACAGTATTCTGCGCGAAGGTGAGCGCGTGACAATCTTTGGTGGCACTAAATCGGCGTGGGATGCGGCCTACGCCTGTGCGACATCGGGGATGAAGGTGGATTGGATCATTCGTGAATCTGGCCACGGTCCGAACTGGATGGCTCCCCCATACGTGACGCCGTTGAAGAAATGGCTGGAGAAGTTGGTGACCACGCGGTTCCTGACGTGGTTCAGCCCTTGCATTTGGGGCTCGGCTGATGGATTCCCTCGCGTTCGACAGTTCCTACACGGCACTTGGCTTGGCAGAAAGATTGTGGATGCCTTCTGGGCAGTTCTGGCTGACGATGTGGTGCAGCTGAACGGGTTCAACAAGCACGATGAGGTCAAGAAGTTGCAGCCATGGATATCTCCCTTTTGGATCGCCTCGTCCCTTTCCATCCTTAATTATCCAACTGACTTCTTCGACCTTGTCAAAGACGGTACCATCAAAGTGCATATTGCTGAATTGGACCATCTTTCCGATCACACAGTGCATCTCTCAACAGGCGAGTCCTTGTCTACTTCGGGCTTGATCTGTTCGACAGGTTGGCGAGCCACTCCGAACCTTCAGTTCTTGCCAGAGGGAATCGATCGTGAACTGGGATTCCCGTGGAGTAAGGACCCTCTCGACGAGAAGATGGTCAAGTCTGCAGATGAAGAGATCTTGAACCGATTCCCTCGTCTTCGCAATGGGCCCACTCCCAACCCAAAGTATCGCCCGTTGAATGACGAGGCTGAAGCCTCCGCGCCGCATCCATTTCGCCTGGCTCGCTTTATGGTGCCTCTCTCACAAGTTCGAGACCGATCTCTTGCATTTATGGGCGTCACCATGACCATCAATACCACTCTCATCGCACAAACGCAAGCTCTCTGGATCTCGGCCTACTTCGGCGGCCAACTCACTCCAACTGCCGTCGAGAAATGTCCAGCTTCCGTGCGTGCCCAATCAGACATCAAGACTGAGGATATCGACGATATCAATCTCGCCTGGGAGACCGCCCTCCACTCCGAGTTTGGCCGGTATCGATACCCCGGTGGGTTCGGCCACCGCAACCCGGATTTTGTCTTCGATGCCATCCCGTATCTTGACCTGATGCTGCGCGATCTCGGTTTGGCCCCGGAGCGAAAACAAGGCTTGCTCGCCCGCTGCTTCCATCCGTACGGCACCGAGGACTACCAGGGTCTGGTGGATGAGTGGAAGGCGACTCTTCCGACCGAAAGAGCAGTTGAATAGTCGTGTGTGGCTGTATTGGATCTATTTTGTTTCCCTTTTGTGAATTCTATTCGCGCATCCCGCGAGATACCCATTTTCATTTTCCTCTTTCCAAGGTTGACTGGACTATACATATCAGTATAGCATAAACCGCATAAACCGCCTAGGTATTCGATTTGAGCAAAACAATCCATGGACGTAATCCGAATAGCCTATTTTCTTCAAGTTAGCAGCCGATACCTACCAGCGGACCATCTCGCATTTTGAAGCAGCAACCATCTATACGTACTACCACTGCTTAGTGGTAGCCCCGTTGGACAATTAGCATTCCACTATTTTCTCGTTCATACTCCGAGTATCGAATACTGAAAGGGTAGGGTAGTCCGTAAATATCTCGTCAAGATCAAGGAACAGTGCAGGTCGGTACTGTTCTGATGAGAGTCAAACGCGTATCTCAGAGAATTATCGGATCTGCTTCAGTTCATCCTGCATCGTATCGAGTAATGATGTGTGTGATGTGTGAGTACTATCCAAGAAAGACAAAAGAGAAAAGAGAAAAGAGAGAAGGAAAAAGGAAGAAGACTGCAACTGAGGAAGGTGATATTGATGCCTGAGGCAGTCAGGCCACAACTACAAAATAACCTTAGAAAAGTAGCAAAACCAATTTATAATACTAGTAGTATCATAATCTAAATATAACAGCTAAGAAGAGCCTCGCTCCAGCATGTGAAACTGTTCAAAGACCGCCACTCCAGTGAGAGAAGACTCTCGCACGAGAGACTTGGATGATGAATCCATTCCCATTTCCTCCACCATCTCACCCGTTATACTCCCCGTCCATCGCATATAATACTCTCCATCCCCAGCCACTTTGGATTCCGTGGAGACATTCACTCTTAGCCGCTTGTTTTCCTCTAAGACGAAGTCAAGCTTGAATCCATCCGGAATATCGCCGACATACGGAGGGTATCGGGAACCAGTCGTGTTCGGGCTCCCCGTGGGACGAACAGTGAGGAGTGAGACATCGCAAGCATCTACGAGAATCTCACCATCACGAGCGACGTAGCTACTCACATACGTTGTGTTCGTTAGGTCGTTGATGGCGAGGTAACTGAACCAGACAATCGAGTAGGCCCCGAGTCGGCCATGGCCCCAGTACCAGCTTCGGACGGACTCGGTGAAATTTCGATCGGACCAATTCTATACGTATTGCAGTCAGTGATAATTTCTTGCAGGATTGGAGGCAGCGTCGATTTACCTTGTCATGATAGGCAGCGCCTTCAAATTTCAATTGAGTCCCTCGGATGGTCACGTCGACGGATCCCACGGCATCGGGTACCAGATTCACCCACCCGATATGAGGAGCAATCTGCAACGGTGTGGTATCAGACTTAATACCGCAGGGTAGATGAGGGGGGGCTCTCTGAATCAGTCGTCAGCAGATGAAAAAAGGGAGGGAAATGCAGATAGAAAGAAGACGAACCGACGTGAAACTCAAGGTCCCCTTGACATCCAACTCTGGCGAATCCACCGAAATCTCATAGGCAGATAGATCCTCTTTCGAGGCATTCCATCGAAACCCCGTGTCCTCCCACATGCCCGAGCTAACGTTCCCATCAGCCTCTCCATCTCCACCAATATCAACCGTCGCCAGCGTCGCAGGAAGATAACCCGCCCACGAAGACCCATTGCTAAACGAAGCCCAAGCATAGGCGATAAGCACAGATTTCTGTGTCGAATCCAAAAAGGGAAACGCATCAGCCGTGGCGGTGAAAAAGGTCAAGACGAGCGATTCGCGCGGATCATCCAGGGAAACCGCATCAAAGTACCACCAGTCAAAGACGGAGCTATTGATCGAATCCAGCATTGGCGCATCGAGGCTCTGTCGGCTCTGAATGCCCAATATGCCGCCCGGAGTATCGACTTCGAATCTTACATAGGCTGGTTCGTTCTGGACTGTTGCTGGAATGCGATAGGTCGAATGGGTGGTGGAGAATGCTGATGCGAATCCCGGCGCGAATGATGCAGCTGCTGTTAGAATGACAGCCCAGCTCAAGGTCAATACGGCCATCATGAAGGCACTCTGATGAGGATTATAGTGAATTAGGAGCAAGGAGCGAAAAAAAGGAAGAAGAAAAAATAAGAATGGGAAAACAGGAGATTCCCTTCCACCGCGGGGAAATGTTTGCTCGCTTGTAAAGTCCTCAGCTGCGCAGCGCAGTGCATTACAATACTCCGTACAGTGCAATGCGATGCAGGCCTCGGTTATAAGTACAGCGCAGGATCTGAAACCCACCAGATCGCTCGATGGTGCCACAAAACGCCTCTGACGGATCGCGGGTACCAGGCCTTTTGACTGGGTCTGGCTGGAACAGGGCCACACCGGGCATAGAAGTAGATAAAGAGATCCTTCAGCGGCTTGGCGGAGAGAGAAGACCAATCGTGGGCAAAGGACGAGATGGTGAGTGGATATCAAGGGGTCGAGTGGCATCGATCGAAATAACCTTTCATTGTCTTCAAAGGGGAAACGGGGAGGAATACGAGGGCAAGCGTAACAGCAACACAAGAAATGAATGAAATGAGATGTCAATAATTGCACAGTTGCTATATACCATCAAAGCACTGGACTTGAGAGACCAAGTATGCTGGATCAAGTCACAGAGAGAAATCAAGTACACACGTCACACGTCAGGCTAGTAATCAATCAATCAATCAATCACAAAAATGAAAAGAAAAGAAAAGAGAACGTGAAATCGGAGAAAAGTCAAACACAAAAATCAAAAAAATACACAGCCCATCCCAGATGCCCAGTTCACCTTCGCCAGAAACAAAGCTTTCAAAATCAAATCAAATCAAATCCAGTAGTATCAATCAAATCAAAATAAATCCCCGACTCCCCCAGGCCACTGTGGGTCCCCGAATCCGTCGTCCGCGTTTCCTCCCCGAAGATAGATACAGGAGGGGAGGGGAGTACCCGATGGTCGATGGTAGATGGTATGTGGTATGTAGTAGATGGTATGGGAGCAACGGCGGATGCGGAGATGCCACAGGGATGCAGAAACCAATCAATTCACTAGACCCGCCCGTTGAGGATGGGACTGCCGTCTTCGCTGTGACCTTCTCCTTTGAGATCGGGGTTGTGGTTGGTCGAATCTGAGTCGCCGTCCTTGCCGCAGCCCTTGACTAGAATGTGCCTCTGTGAGAAGTTAGTGGGGGGTTCCAAGGCGGTTTGATGATAGTATATGAAAAAGTAGATTCCATATGCATACCTTGAGGGCATCCTTTCTGGAGAAACTCTTATCGCAGTGCGAGCATGGGAAAGGCTTGACGGCCAGATGAATTCGCTTATGCCGCTTGAGATCATGGTTTCGATTGAAGCTCTGAGGGCATTGGTCGCATTTGAATGGACGATCGGCCGCGGGGGCGGGCATGCCATGAGGTGGCGGATGACCCCCATAGAGATGCTGCGCACTGGCGACATGTCCGCTGTTGAAACCCGGCAGCAACCCAGGTTGCATGCCGCCCATCATCGACATGGGGCTGTTGGGACTATGGACATTGGTCATGACGGGACCATTCATGGCGGGGAGCGAGTACGACGGCCACGGTTGGCGCGGATAGGCGAGGGGTGGTTGGCCGCCAGGACTTTGCGCAGACATGCGCGCCTGTGGATGAATGCCCAAACCGGCGGGGCTCATGGCGTGGGGGCCGCCATACATCGGGGAGAAGCCAGTTTGATGCGGACTGGGCATATGGGGTGATGTACCGTACATGGGAGGTCCTTTCGGGGTGCCATAGGGGTCGTTGGATGGCAACGGGGCGGGCGAGGTCGCGTGGCCGTGGCCGTGGCCGTGGCCGTGACCTTGATAGAGAGCCATGGAAGACGGGGGAGCGGGCAAAGCCTGTGGGAAAGTCAACGAGGGTGTCTCGAATGGCTGCGACAGCCCATCCGCGGAAACGGGAGCCATCGCGATGGCCGAACGACCCACCATCCCAGACGGCGAGTAGGAGTTGCGTTGTGAGTAGGCCGGGTTGATCCCAGACCACGAGACGGCACTGGCCCCTCCTGCACCCGCCGTGCCCGTCCCTTGAGCACCGTATGGCGTGCTGGGCCAATAGGTCGGCGGCAGATCGGACGACGAGACTGGGGCAAGTGAGTGGGACACGGCGGTCTCGCCAGACTGGTTTGTGGCCGGGGGTGTCAGCAGGTTGCCCACACTCACATTGGCGGGAGGATGCGAAGCCGGGGGTAGATTGTGTTGATTATGATGCAGATTGGAGGGTATCGAGGACCACTTCCCTGCGGGTTGATTCTGGTGAATATTGGTGGAGTAATGGGCGTTATGGGCGTTGGCGTTGGCGTTGGTGGTGGCCGCCAGGGTAAATGGTGGCGGAGGCAACTCAAAGCTGGGGAGTGTGGGAGCCGCGGGACGACGAGTATTTAATGTTAACGAATGGGCAGCCGATAAGTCCAGAGCCGACCCCATCGCCGGGGTGGCAGACGGATTGACGGCGAGAGTCGCCAGGTTGGAGGTATCGCGAGCGAAAAGCTCTTCGGGAATGGCGGAGGGAAGAACGGCGACAGCAGCAGCAGCGGCGGCGGCGGCCACAGGTAGACCGTACGAGGTAGTTCCGTGTAAAGACCAATCTCGACCTTCAGATAGGGCCCCCGAAGGGCTCGAAGGATCCAGGAGGGGCGAGTGTCGATCGCGGAGGGTTGCGATCGGAGAGCACTGATGACAGTGGAGTGGTGGCGGTGGTGGTGGTGGAGGAGGTGGTAGAGAGGATTATCAGGAGATTAGAAGGAGGAGAAGAGAAGAGAAGAGAAAGAGAAAGGAGGTCACGGTCGAGAGCGCATGATAAAATGGGGGTGGGAGGAAGTGAAGTGAAGTGTAGAGAGGAGAGTGTAGAGAGAAGAGAAGAGTGGAGCGTGGCGTCGAGGCGCGCGGGGAAGAGAATATAAGGAGAGTACGGAGTAGGAACAGAACAGAACAGAACAGTTAGGGATTTGGGTACGATATCAGAGTTAATTTGGGCGATAGCATCTAGTATTCTAAAAAGAATAAATAGGATGGACGAGAAGGGTTAGAGTAAACGAGTTGAGTAAATAAAAACGGAATAAAAAGAATAAAAAGAATGGATAGGCCCACGGTCGGTGCGGGCCTGGAACGTGGTTGACATACGCAGAGTATAGCTAGCGAAGCGTAGCGAGCTAGTATATACTAGAATACTATCTACTATCTACTATATACTATATACTATATGTATGAGTATTCTATATAATTTATTATTAGTATCTTAGAACATTATCAAATAATATTCACCCAACCATTAGGGTTTTAGGGGCCCCAAAAAGAGGGTTTATGTTGGCGGTGGTGGTGGTAGTGTATGTATATACTGTATAGTATCATACACCCGTGTGCATCCAGAGTCTACTCCGTAGTCTATTGCTGTATAGTATACAGTATACACTGTACGGCGTATACTATACCGCGTATAGCAACAACAGACATCTCTGGCGAGCAAATCCCCGCCTCTGATTGGCCCATCCCCCCCCATCCCCCCCCAATTCACCGGTCATCTGCCACACTCGGCCCCCACCCGAGACTTTCCTCGCTTTCGGTCTAAGACCAACCCTCTGCTTCTCTCTCTTCTCCTCTCTCCACTCTCCACTCTCCTCCACCCTCCTCCACCAATCGTTCCTCGTATCCAGTCCCCAGTCCCCGGTTCGTCGGGTCCAGATCGCGGAGCGAAACAGAGCGAGAGAGGTGAGAGGAGATGAGAGAGTGTAAGACCTAAGACCTAAGGTGAGATGAGTCCTCCCTCCTCCCCTTGTATGGTCCCTGATCCATGGTCCATATGGTCCATCCTTTGATCCCCACTTCCCATATGGCAAATCGATTACGGATGTGTATCTGACTACGGAGTAGACTCTGACTAGACTCTGTCTACTCCGTCTACTCCGTACTTCTCCGCCTCTCGATCAATCTCGCCTCCTTTCACTTTGCCCTCTTCCATGGAACACCCCGCTGTCAGGCAAATGGCAAAATTCAATTTGGGCACTGACACTGACACCTGATGGATCCATCGCTCGCTCCGTCCCGTTTGGCGGTGCCTGTGCTTTGCTTGTGCTTGTGCTTTTGCCTCTCCAGCATGCCGCGCATCCCTAGTCTCCTTTAGCCTCTCCTGGGCATGCCGACAGTAGGCTCCTTTTCTACTTTCCAGTTACTTTGGGATTACATTTGGACTGATTTGATGAGTCCATGGGATTCCCATGCCCTGCCCCACTGTATCACAATCGGGTCTGCATGGGTTCGTGCAATTGCCCACTGCCCTGCCCTGGGCAGTGGGTAAGATTGCATTCCATAATAATAATAATAATAATAATAATAGGAAATAATACAGTAATCACACCGAGCACTCCCATCAGTACGGGCAATATCAGCAAAGTAATTTAAAAAGGGGCAAAGCAAAGGCAAAGCAAAGGCAAAACTTAGACACGGAGCTCCCGGAAGGGTCTCCGTGCATTCCTCCCATTCCATTCCACTAAATCCTTTGTCTTTTTTTGTTTCTAGCGTCTCGGGTATTCAGGGCTCCAGGGCTCCATCGCTCCATCGCTCCAGTCCAAAACACCCGAGGGTCGCAGTGCTCCGTCGCATCGCTAACAGTAATAGTCTCGGACGGCCTACCGCTCTCGTCTCGAATTCCGGAACAAAGCAATGTAAACAAAGGCTGGGAGTACAGTACGAGTAGGAAAACAGGAAATAGGGGAGGGCCATACGGGGATACTCTCTCAAAATGAGAGTATCACCATCCACCACACTCCCACCACCCACCACCCACCACCCCATCACCATCACCACCACGATCGTCGATCGCAGCCCACCATCGATCCGGTTCATCGCCGATTTGCTGTCGGGCTCCAATCTCATGCAAGGCGGCTCCAGCTCCGGTCCTGGCCCTGATGTGACAGCGCGAGTGGATCTCGCTCGAGCCATGCGATCGTCAAATTCACGTCGGTTCATCCCGGTGGCTTCGGGCGTCGCGGCTGGCGTCGACGCCCTCCTGCCGATCCGTCGCCAGTGGCACTCTCCTAGCCAGTGCCAGTGCTCCTAGCTACTGAACTCGGGAGATCTACACTGACTGTTGGAGTGTGGGTATATAAACCCAGTACTCCATAGTCTGTAGGGCAGAGTGAGGAGTTGGCAGGGCAGGGTGCAGGGGGTGAAAGGAGTGGTGGTGGTGGTGGTGGTGGTGGGGAGCCACCTGCAGTAACTCAGTATGTACTGTACTAGTACTGTAGTGTATACATAGCAGACCCATCCATATTATCGCTTCGATTCTCTTCTTCTTTTTTTTCTTTTTTTTTCACCTTTCTCCTTTTCTCCAGAGCTGAGAGTGGAGCACCTGGGCAAGTGATGAGTCGAGCGTCCGTGGCAAACAGACTGCAACTGGAATTGGTGGATGGAGCAACGGCCAGTAATACGAGATGCGATGGAGTGCTCTAGAATACACACATAATATATAGAATATTAATATATACATACATGTACATGTTCAAAACTCAGGCTACGCAGTACCGAAGCACTAGTAGCATGCAGCATTCCTGGATATCCAGGGAGGCCATACTCCAGGGCATAGTACTACTAGTATTCCTATTATACTATACTATTCCAGGCACAAGGCAGTGTAGTGTTGTACTTGGACTTGTTGGCATTCGATTACAGTAATCATTCAAGTTCTAGAGGCTATCTAGACGGGTGTCATTGGCAGATGAAGTAGTAGTACTACTAGTAGTATAGCTGGAAGCCCAGAATATGTACCTGCTACACGCTACTTAGTAGCAATATATATCTTCTCTGCCAGTGGCATCCATGGACCGTGACCCGAACTCGATCTTCAAGTTAAACAACAGTTACTCACCTGGGCAGTCTCAGTGATTAATACTTATTGAGTATATATTTTAATGAGTAGTGTCTACAGATACTATTATTATACTATACTACTACTACTACGATTCATATAGGCTACCTAGGTATGTTGCTTCGATGACATCATCCGGCGGGGTTGACTCCAACAGTTCGCACTTCCGCGTGAACTCTTCCACTTCATTCAAGTTTACTCACTTACACACTTACACACTTACACACTACACTCACACTACCACTACCCACCATGTCTGGAATTAGCAAAGCTTGCTGCTCGTTCGTCTCCAATGCTACCCACTACCTATGCCATTCACATCCACTGACCGTGACAACAGCATCCCGCCTGTCGTGTCCAAGGGCTACCAGGCCAAGGGCAGCTACCAAACTATCAATGGCCTGAAGACATGTATGTGGAACTTGAACTTGAACTTGATACAGCTCAGTGCAATCTTCTCCCAACGCTAACCACTTGAACTACTCCAGACGTCACCGGCCCCGCGACTGCCACCAAGGCCATCCTGGTCGTCTACGGTGAGTCCTACCTACCCTTCCACCTGGAAACTGGCTTTGAATCCATCGCTAACAATGCAATCGGTAGACATCTTCGGCTTCTTTGACCAAACCATCCAAGGCGCCGACATCCTCGCCACCTCCAACGACCAGAAATACCGCGTCTACATTCCTGACTTCTTCGAAGGCAGTCCCGCCGACATCTCCTGGTACCCCCCCCCACTACCGACGAGCACAAGCAAAAGCTGGGCAACTTCTTCCAGACCCAGGCTGCCCCTCCTAAAACCCTCTCCAAGATCCCCGACATCGTCAAGGAGGCCAACCAGGCCGCCCCCGGCGGAACCTTCCAATCCTGGTCCATCCTGGGCTTCTGCTGGGGCGGAAAGATCGCGGCCCTCTCCGCTGGCGCCGATAACAAGATCTTCAAAGCGGCGGCACAGTGCCATCCCGCAATGGTCGATCCCAATGATGCCAAGACCATCAATGTGCCTTTCGCCTGTCTGGCGTCCAAGGACGAACCGGCCGATGACGTGAAGGCCTTCAAGGCGAACCTGACGGTGCCCAACCATGTGGAGACATTCTCGACGCAGATTCACGGCTGGATGGCCGCTCGTTCTGATCTGGAAGATCCCGAGGTTGTCAAGGAGTATGAGCGTGGGTACAAGACGGTGCTGGACTTTTTCCACAGCCACGCTTAATGAGGTGCATATATGAATTCGGCGATTGGATTCCCTGAATAGTTACGCATCGAGTGAAATGAATTTATGTACAATGCCAAGTATTTTCCATGCCAGTGGAGAGAGTCAAGTTCCGAGTCTTTCAATAAACGCGGGAAGGGAAAGCGAAGTACGGAGTAGACGAGCAACGAAAGAAACCTTGGCAATTGACCTCTATCGCCGCTAAACCAAACACCAATTAGAGTCTAGCAGCTAAAAAATTTCAAAACAATATTTTCTCCCTTCTTCTCGATCTGCAATCGGCCCAAACTCGGGTATATCGGCCCATCTGCCGTTTGCCGTCCCCGTTGCATTTTGGCAGTTCCGTCGCGTGCCGAGGATCAGTGGGGCCGCCTTCACTCTTGACTACTTCAACCCACTTCACTGCTTCAACCTAGTACGACAGAGCATACATTGACACAGCATACACTCACATTGAACATAATATATCATCCAAGACTTGCAAGTGCATTTGATATGTGCTAGGCGACTTTCTAATGCCTCTCTTCGGGCGACGTCGTTCCCTGTCGCTGGCCGACGAGGGTAGCAGCACACAGCAACTCCCATATCATCCGGCCTTGGGCTCTCACGAAGCGAAAGAAGGAATCCTTCATGGTCTATTTCGCAGACATAGTGAAGATTCGCTATCTCCGGGCGCACCCCAGCGTCAAAAAAAGCAGGTTCGTTCACTCACGCAATCTCCTCCCATCTCTGTGACGGGAATACTGACAGGAATCCAGAATCATGAAACCCCGTCTCATAGCGACCTAGACAGATCCCAGAGACGAAGAGGCCGAGATGAATCTTGTCAGAGCTCCGGAGATTCCACCCCAAGTACCCCGAATGACGCGTCGGCTGCAGCTCAAACCGAGCCAAAGCAACCGGGGAACATCCAGGATTATCTGGAGCACCGAATTGAAATGGCTAGCAAGCCACGAGAAAACCTTGATTCGAATGTTCCCGTGGATGATCGCATTCTAAGCAAAAAGGAGATCATGGCGATCCTCTCAGGAGCACCACATTTCTTACTGGAACGGGGCAAGCATAAACGCTGGTATCCCCAAGTGATTTTCCCCTGGGATGACCATAATCCATCAATCCAGCGGATGCTGGATCGCAAACCCCTCTCCCACCCGGCATTCGTATTATGTACACTTCATGCGCATCTGCCCGTACCAGACGACTGGGCCGTGAGAGGGGGCGTACCAACTCCAATCGAATGTTGGGGTCGAAGCGACGCTTCCAAAAGAGCCACGTTCGATGTTGGCATATTCGAAGTCCCAAATATGCTTGGAAATAATGGCCGAGAACCGGGGACTGTGGGCTTTCGACATTTCCTCGAATTGCCAATGTCGGACGCAAGACGATACACTGGTCCGGAAGAGCCACGCCAGGCCCCCAATATCGCGAGCCTGAATTCTCTTCCCGCAACGGAGGCTTTTGATCTCATGGAGAAATACAACAGACCTTATTCGCAGTGCCTGAGCGGGGCCATCTATGACCGGCGACAACTGATCCGAGATGGTCCGAATGCCTGGAAGCGCATCGGAGTCCGCGACATCAACTTACCGTCTTTGGCAAAACGGATCAATCGTTTGCGGCAGATTCGTCGCGATGTGCTCCTTGACGGTTCAACGAATACCATACTCGATTTTGAAACATCGCACGAGCAGTATAACCTGCTTCATTCGCAGTTTCTCTACCCCCGCCCACCACTGGCAGAAGTGATGCCAGGACACCCCCAAAGTATCAAGTCTCAGATCAAAACGTTAGCTACGGTGTTGGCTACTCCTGGAGCATGGGTGGATTTCAGTTTGCCTGAATGGCGCTTTCGGGCCGGTCAGCTTCTTTGGGAAGTACCTCGTCAGGGAACAACCTCGAAGACGTCAAAAGAATCATGGATAAATGATGGTATGGAGAGGAAGTGGCTGCTGGTTCAGCTGCTTCTTGCAACCGAGCTACTATTGCGCCTGGATGCCTTTGTCCGCGTTGATATGCTTCGCGATCCCCATGGTGGCCAGATGACCGTTCAAGAAGTATACAACTTTGATAAACTTCGCGAAGGCAAGGTGAACTGGGATCTTGTTGTCGTACGCCGCTTTCTTGACAATCTCGAGATCGAATGCCCATCAACCTCGCCAGCGGCGGCGGCTGAACCAAATACACCCACCAAAACAGCTCGATTTTCTTTCTTTGAGTCCATCGGCCGTCATATCTCTTCTGTCACCGAAAAAGCCGATTTATGTTCCCCCTGGCAATGCCATATAAGCTCGCCTCACACCCGCCAACAACTTGAAGGGTTATACAACTTCGCCGAGAATATCGGCTGGCCAAAGATGGATGCGATACGGTCTACCTTTGAAGTAAAGCTACAAAAAAACAGGAGTATATTCTTCACTCAGCCGAACAAAATCCCTCGCGACAAGGAACATGCACCCAGCCAGCCCAGTGCGGCGCTACTGGTTGACGCAAAGGAAATGTATAGCCGTAGCCCATCACGCCGTTGCGTTCGGCTCCACAGCGAGTGTTCAGATGATGGCGATCTGCAAGATGGTGAGCCTTTTGGCTGGATTTCTCGAAGCTGGCTGTCTGGATTTGTGATTCCTGGCGAAGCCATCTGCCACCTCCTAATTGGGACGCTACTCGAAAACGACGAAGAGGCGATGCAGCAGCTTGGCCCGATGGCGAATCTCTACGGTGGCTTTGCCTACGCAGGACGCAGTTGGTGGAGCAAATCGTGCATTGTTGGGCGTGTCTTGTCTAGTCTGCAAAGTACCAAAACTTGCATGGGGTGGGTCGGAAGTGATATACTTCCCCGCGATGCGACTACATTGGAGGTACTAGGAAATGGTTGGTTTGAAGTTGCGGTTGAAAACCCGTTGGAGCGGTCGGGAAAACCCAGAATCAAGCAAGGAGGGAAGCTTGCGGCTGAGTCGACACCGCTGGGGATGGGAGATATCACAGCTGATGCATTCACTTTGCCCATTGACCTACCACCGCCGGCGACAACTACCGTCAGCTTGGGTGCATTAACCTTGTCAGTCAGCACCTTGATTAATCGAGGCATCACAGCCAGTGAGGAGACATCGCTTTCTTTCTCCTTACAGGGAGAGGGAAATTCCTCGACTGCAGTATCCTTCCCACTGAAGCATAACGTGCGATTTATATCAGCCCATGCATGCCGCCCACCGCTCGGCTTTACATCACACCATCACCCTCACCACGACCAACCATTGGAAGACGATGCTGCGGCTGATAACGGCCAAGAGAAACCCTCGACTTGGGGTCAGTATACACGTCTCCCCGGGCATCCCTTACACCGGTCTTTCCCGTATCAACATGTGCAACTTGACGCCCTCCCCAACCATCGGGGCCCGCAAGCCACAACGGGGTCCAGTGCAGACAAGGAAGTGCTAGTCATCGACGCCCGTGGTCCTGGGACCAAGGAAACTTTTGTGCGAGCCTGGTGTGCCTCAATTGGCAGCCACGCGCTCATCGGTCGTGCGGGGCGAACCTGCGTGGCATGCTGTGTGCGAGAGGCAAGGGCAGTGGATGTTCAGGTCGTGGTGCGAGTCGGGGAGTGAGCGAGCGAGATTTGCCTTCAATCGTCGTCACAGCACCAGCGATCATCTCACCATTATCCTCTCGCCATCGTTGTTGATAAACATAAACTCGCCCCTTCGCGACGATCCCTTCCACATGGCTTGTCAAGAAAGGGGGGGCAAAAAAAGTAAGGCCGCACCTCAGGTGGCAAAATGGAGATGTACAGTAGGAACTTACTCCGTACTCCATACAAAGAGGGGGAGGGAGGGGGAAATGAGTAGATTTCCTTAATGGCAGTTACTATGCGAAAGCTTTTGTGATTTTGACTTCCCCGTTCTGTTTCGTGGGGAAGATATCTCGGCATTTCGCCGGTAAGCCCCTATTTTGGGGGGACAAGATGTACCATGACCTACTACGGCGTAGCAGATTGGGTCCCCATTTGCCCGGTCGAGCCGGTGCGAGACTTCGGGCAGAAGAATCGATAAGCAAGCCCATCATTTCACAATTAAGATGAGCTCTGGTCATCGCGCGACACCCAGAAAGGAAGGAAAATCAGGTAGCCGAAGTTCCAGAGCTCCATTGCATCGACAACATAGTGGCACGCATGTGGCAGGGAACCACTTCATACATACTCAGTACTCGTACAATAGTTATGTCGGAAGTTTAACCAATCAAGATGGGCAAGGAAAATTGAGCCATATCCATAATCATGCTCAGCAGAACGAATCAAAGACATCAGGGAACAGGAAGCCATGTCCACTCCAAGCTCCCCGATTAGGATCCACGCATAGGGCAGTGCAGACCCAGAGGAAAATTTTTCTTCCTGGGGGACGCGTAAGTGCGAGTTGCAGGTTTACACCAAACGGCCAAATAAGGACAAGGGCCCGAAAATGGTGAAACAACGGACTCCCCGTTGGACCCACGCCAAGGGACCAGTGAGGGTCTTACATCGAGGGTCCACCACGATCGGAATAACCGGACAGATCTCGAGAAGACGAAGTACGGAGAGGAGAGGGGACGCTGAAGACGTACTGTATCTCTCCCCGTGCTCCGTAGAGGGAGTGTAGATGCGAGGCATCCGATCTAAACTTTGGGATATGGAGACTCCATATTTGAAGGATGGACTGTACTGGTAATAATAGTTATAGTTTGTCGCAGAGTCTACTGTACATACACCTCCTTGGTGGAGTTGTAAATCTTCGAGACGTCGTCTTTTGCCTTCCATTTGAATGATCCATGTCATCCAGTTTTGGACAATCTAGGGCTTCCGAAGGACTATCCGAAAAAGACACCGTGCGGAAGCTTGCCATGACATAGTAGGAATACTCGTACTCGCCGAAACAGCCGCAAGAAAGCAATCGATACATGATAGAAAACATCCATCCTCCGGATACTAGCATCTCAAAGCAGTATCAATGCCGAAGGATTCTACATAGAAGGTGTGGGCAGACAAGAACAGTGGGCAGACAATCGATGCAGGATGCGCGCCATAAAAACCAAAGAAGCAATCCCGCGCCCGGCAGTTAGATTTTGGCAGGCAGCCTGATTAATTTGCTAAACCTATTGTGGTCTAGCGAGAGGGTCAAGCGTGCACGTCAGCCAGTCGACGGAGATGTTGTCCGGATAGAGAAGGGTCTGTACGAAAGGCTTGTAACAGTGTTTGAGATAGGTACAAGATGTCCTACGAGAGCGTTGGATGTATCTCTGCCGTTGGAGAATAGCTACCAGCCAACTTAAGATTCACCGGCCTGCTATCATCTTGGAACCATCTACTGATTTACTATTTTACTCCGGATGAATACTCAACTAGTGGCTAGAGGCGAGCCAAATCGGATGTCTCAGATGTCTCCAGAGATTCAATTCAGCCCTGGACCCTGGTTTCATGAACCGATCGCCGCGACGTTTCAACCGAGGGCCGAAGCCTTCTTTTTTGCGCTCATTTTTCCACCTCATTTTCTACAATTCTATTTTATTCTCCGACATGTGGCCGGAAAAAGTCCCACACCAGATCTCGCACCAACTGCAACTGCAAATGCACCCCGACCTCTTGGGATACATGTACATATTTGCCCCTCCTCCCTTGATGGCCAATCACCAAGCGACTTCTGGCTTGTAACAAGGTCCGGGCTGCCGTCGATCGTGCACCCATAACGTGGCCATGCGGGGCTTCTATCTTCTCCAAAAGGGCGGTCGGAGGAGGAAAGCATACTCGTATGGCTCCATGAGAGTACTTCGTAGGTGGGAATGGGAATACTCGTCCGGAGTGATGCAGACGCAACCACCCCTTCGGTCAGAATGATGGTCTAAGGTGATTGGCTACGGCCATGTCTTCTCACATAATTCCAATTCATGAATGGCTAAGATCGCCTCGCCAAAAAGGCTGTTAATTTACAGCTCTACTCAACAGATCATCGGGGAGGAGGAGAGGAAGATGGAGGTGATGGAGATGATGGAGATGATGGAGCAGGATGAGCAGTACGAGTACATACTACATAGGAGGGGAAGGGACATCGCCGATGCCCACCCCCTTTTTTTGGGTTGATTGGCTTACGATTTGGGGGTGACAGGATGACTTGCTATACTTTATCCCCTCTTTGTCTTTCTGGGCTCCATCGCAGATCGCTAGCCCCTTTCCACCACGAGGTGATAGTCCGGATCGTAGAACGTCCCTTACCCTTCCGAGGTTCCTTTCCGCGTGTTTGCCCCATGCAAAATGGAAGCTCGCTTGAGGCTTCGAAGAACAAAAAAGAACGACGATCGTGGAACACCATACCTCGTTCCGACGGGGGCCAAGGGTCAATTCTGTAACACGCTACGGCGTTGCGACGATCCTTAATTAAACCTTGACCACCGGATCCACCATAGCGGGTCCTTGTTACAGACTCAGACTCGATCGCTTCCTGCATCTGCCCTGGCCCCCCATCCCTGTCGTTGCGAATAACTAGATGCGTGCAGTGGTGACCAATGTCTTTTTCAAGCCTTTCGGACTGCTCTCCCACTTGGGCGTAGTCGCTAGAAGCGAAGGTTTCTGGGCGGTGATTTCATACTCGGTCTCCTCCGTGGGAACTAAACCAACAGAGGATGCACAGGATGCTACGAGCTCGTAATTACTTACTGCACTTACTCCATCATGTACACCGTACACATATGTACTTCGAGTCGAGGCTGAGCCACTCCAGCTGAACCCCAACTATACTCCATCTACTCCGTAAGAAAGTTCGATATTAGGATTGACCTGATTGACCGACTGGGGCCTGTCAATCCAAGGTACGACGGGGGGGTCCGATGGGGGCTCCGCGTAACTCTCTGCGGGTACAAAGAGTGACTAAGGAGCGATCCTTTCCCATTGGCGGCTGGATTGGAGAAGCTGTTGGCATGGCTGATTGTTTCAACGCAGTTGAAGTTAAATGTGGAGGGGGCAAAATAACGTACACGAGTTCGAACCTTGTTTGGTTAACGGAAGGCGATGTCATCGACATCCACTAGGGAGATTAAGCTACGGCGCCGGTCAAGGTTTCGAAAAAGAAAAGAATCCCCGTCGAAAAGGGGGTTGTAGGCTAGACCAGTTCCGAAATGGTAGAGTAAAATGTAAAATGATAATCAACTTGAAAGAGAAGTACTCTACGGCGTACGAAAGATTAGTTACATTTGTGGCCGAAGTACTCCGCAGTACTCCGTAGATTGAAAAGAAACAAAGAAAGCATACGGAGCACGGAGTACAGTACAAATATCTCAAACAGGAGCAGAAAGAAATTAAACGATCTGATTCATCGCGTGCTGGGCTCGGTCGGGGCTAATACAACATCAGCCGTGGACCCTGAATCTGTTTTTAGCATCGCATCTCTGGTTCGGTAATGGTGGATTTCCGTTTGGAATTTCTCCACGGCGGACTCCGATGTCTACCAAAGATGAATGTAGGCAGGGGGATCTTAATGAAGCGGTAATTTCTGCTTTTTCTTGAAGGCGTGGAAGGCCAGGAAAATCGATCCCAATTGTACGGCACACTATACAGTATGACGCTATACTGTTTGGACCGATAGACTGTCTTCTCGAAGCCACCAAGGTTCTAGTCTAGTGTGATCACCTCCGGAAATAACCAGAGAGAGAAGGTTCTTTATGGAAGAGGGGCATAGGAACAACAAGCTCATTGGTTCTAAGAGCCGACCCAAGCTCGCGTCGCCAATCAACCCGGGACTTTGAAGGACGCATTCCCCAGTCCATCAAGGATTGACTGGTGCATAATAATACTCGTACCCAGCTAGAGTTGGGTCTGGCACAGAGGACAAGGCCTCTGGCCACATGCATCCACCCACCCCACTGTGTCAGGGCTCCCAGACCATGGTTCCTCGTCGCCTCATTTGCCATGAACCAGCCCTGGGGGGTCTATCATACGCAATCAGGGGCTATTCCAAGTTACATAATCGGGGCCATGGCGGTACGGGGATGTACATACTCGTGGGCCCCCGACTGCTTATGCACATCTGTCCATTAGATGTGTTTTCCATCTTGCCATCGGGGCAAACGAATTGAGGAGGTATTGAATCAAGAAATAGTCGGGGAGAAAAAGGAGATATGCACTACCAGAGTCTATTTCGAAGAATCAAGTACCCCAAGTATGAATTTAAAAGTAAATCTACATAAAAGGAAGTTCTCCCCTGAGATCATCGATACTCCATGACCTGCAGTTGAGTTGGGCCAAGTCGATACATCCTTCTTCGTCCTAGTGTCGGTCTGATGCAGAGCCACTGTGTTCCACGTCTGGTGGAAGGGGTACAAAACTGTGGGATTTTAAATTTTTTTGGGATTTTCTTTTTTGATTTTGATTTTTCCCTTTTCCCGTTTGAATCATATTTTGTATTTTTTGTTTTATTTTTATTTTTTTCTGAACAGCAAAGCAGTCCCTCTCACCCAAAAAATAAAATAACAAAACCAGTCCTTGGGTCGTTTCACCCCGCGATTAGCTTGTTCTTCTCCCTCGACTCTATAGGACATCTTTCCTACCCTTCATCTTTTTTTATTTTTTTATTTTTTTTTATTCTCGCCATCCACTTCATTCACTCCTTAGGCTCTTGATTCATCCTTTTTTATTTTCCTTTTTCTATTCTATTTTTTATACCTTTTTTTTACTAATCTCCTTCTGGTGGTTGTCTTCTTCTGAAACTGTTCGATCTCCAAACCATCACGCGTCAATCTAGAACCCTAACCAACACCCCCCTTTCAATGAAGCACTCTAATTATACTCTATAATTATCTCATTGATTAATTGCTTACCACGGTATCAACGGGGATTTTGCGGACCATACCAATTTATTCTCAACCATCAATCACTTGCTCCATCGCGACGGTTGCAGTGTCTCTTTTTACTCTCGAAACACGGCGGAGTCCCCCCCCCCTCATCCTCCACCGTCGCTTTCTCTCTCCCCTCCTTTCCTCCCACCTTTTCGATACACGTCGACAGGCCTCTGAAACACGCGATAATCCAGACACTGCCGCATCGACTTACCGGTGGATCTCCGAGTATACTCAAAACAATTGGGAGGAGGTTATTCCGGCGCATTATTCATTCCACCCTCAACCATCTCCAACCATCTCTCCGCGTGGCCTGAATGGCCCACCTTTTCCACTTGAATCGCTCTACTCTGATCTCGATACCTCCTCGTGCGCTTTTGATGCGCCTAGGTCTGTGGTGGTGGTAATATTTCGCTTTTGCTCGTGGGAGCTATGCCCGCGGTCGTCGAGGCGATGGCAACAACACCGAATTCCGCTATGGACAACGATAAGAAACGCAATAAGTTGGGATATCATCGGACATCTGTCGCATGTGGTCAGTATAAATTCTTGAGATCCGGTTATCTTTTGCGCATTGCGCCGACCCCAGGCGAATTGTGAAATGCGAATGCGAATGCGCTGCTTAGCACGTCATCACAATTATTCACATGCTTATACTTTCTTGCCTCGCAGTGCATTGCCGACGTCGCAAGATTCGATGTTTAGTCGCGGCGGACGATACTCAAGGCCGATGTGAGAATTGTATTCGGCTACGTAAGGAATGCCAGTTTTTCCCAGTCGATCAGCAACCGCCAATTGAGAAGAAGTCGCGGCCAAGTTCGCGATTGGAGTCGCAACCGGGGGATCACTCGGTGACAACACCTATATCATCATCCCCAACCAACTTAAACCCGGATTCCGTCGAAGCTTTCTATCCGTATTCGCCAATGTCAATGAATGCGTCTTCCGCGCAGGATATGACCGGCTTCAACCCCGCTGGATATCCTGCAACCCCGATGTCGGGATTCCCAACTGGTAGGTATCGAATATCGATCAGTGCGCTCGCCCTACCCCGGAATATTGCGCGAAACTAGCTTTCTTTCAACGGATTTGAGATCTGACCGAACCTTATAGATCGAGCCATGGCCCCAGGAGAATTCTCCGGCCATCCAACAATGGAAACCGGAGTGCCCTGGGATGAGTTCACAACGATATCCGACCCCCAGATGCTAGCCACAATAGCCGCCAACAAAGGACAGATGATGAATCTCGCACCGGGTGTCTGGAATCCAAACGGCATGCCTCCAGCGTCGGGTCTTCCTCCAACATCGCCCATGTCTGGCGCATCACCAATGGCAGCTCAAGCGCAATCCATGAACCCGACTCCAGCATACACAGTGCAACCCGATGGATCGGTTTGGCCTGTACCGCCACAACAACCATCGCGAACAATGAGTTATCCCGGTCAAGCAGACATGAGCTCATCGTATCCGAGTCAATTCCCGCAACACCAGCAGCAGCAAATGCCACCGGACCTCAAGCGAAGGATGACGACTCCAACACACCCCACCGGATCAAACCCTGAAATGCAAGCCGGACCGGGTTCAGTCTCTTACCCACCTCAAGCAGGCATGGGATATGCCCAATGGCCCATGAACACCATGCCCGTGAACGTGGTTCCATACCCGATGTACACAGGTGAAGCAGTTCAACAACCTCCATACCCCCCAATGGGACACCCGCCAGGTCGATCAGGTCCCTAACATAAGGAGGACTGGGGGTGTATTTCAACACCATGAAAGCCGAGTCCCTCCAACGGCACTTTGCCAACCATATTCAATTCTCCTCCCTTCAACCTTCACTTCGAGTTCGGTCATTTGTCACCTTGCACCATTCCTAGACGGCTTGTTTCATTTCTAATACCCAGTGGGATACACATCTGTTTATCACATTCTTGTGATTCTTTCTCTTCAATATCCATTCCCCCATATCCTAACCGTTATCATACCTCTTTTTATCTTTTTATCTTTTTTTTTTTCGCCTTATCCTCATACACCGTGGCAGGTCTGCTTTCGCAGCTAGTCATTAGCGGGCGCAAGGGTTTTCGGGTGGCATATTCATGCATATTCTTTTTTTCTTCTCTCTTTTCACATGGCATGGCCCATCTTGTCTGACGGGCTCTTTTCTTTATCATTTCTTTGCACCGGAGGACTTTTGTTTTTCTTTCTCTTTTTCCTTTTCGATTTTCCCCTTTCCCCTTATCATCTTCTCTTTTTGCAATTCTTCTACAGTTGGTCACACGCTCCTCGATATAATCCCGAGACATCGCGTGCCGACCGCAGAAGATTGTTTCGGGCACCCTATAGACTTTCTTTTGAACTTTTCTCTCTTCCATTTCTTATCTTCATCTTCATGTCTGCAGCCCGGTGGTACTATACTTGTGCGTGTTGGTTTTGGCCACATATTCAAGGGGATACCAGTCAATGCCAACTGGTTCGGGCGACGAGGACTGGATGAAATGTCTCCGAGTCGGTCTCGATTAAACTTGACGCCCCAGGCTCAAGTCAAGACAGACACTGTTATGAGCCACTTTGACAGGAGACAGCCATGTTACGACGTTATTGATTTCACCCAATTGGGATTGCATTACTGTATATATTATATTATATTCGATACATGGAACTGGAACTGCATGTCTACTACTAGTAACTACCACTTTCAAGTTACAACTTGTCTAGTATTCAAGTTCACTTGGCGATAGTCGAAAATAATCGGATCAAATGTGATCAAATCACCCCAAGTCCAATGCCCATGCTCACTGCACTCCCTCCCCAACGGTTCCCAAAGGTTCCAGTAGTTTGAATCCAATCTCCACGAGTGGAGCTCTAGCCGAAGTTAATTGCAGATAAGAAGAAACACTGCCACACTGACAGTCGCGCCATGGCAACGGTCGGCCTTACGCTAATTGGGAGTGAATTGCCTCGCCTCAGCACACCTCAGGGGTAGCCATTCTAAGATTCAAGTCCGGAGAATCTTCTACTCTGGTGGCGAGACTGGTGAACTTGTTTCTCTCGATTTAAGACTTTGTCAAGAAGAACGGGGATAGCGCAATGACGACGTCAGTCCATCAATACTTAATCTAGGCACTGCTCCGGGGCAATTTCGGCGTCGCGATGATCGCTTGCTTCAGATGGTCCATGCTCCAGCGAAGATGGAGCGAGGCGCGGCCTTGGGCAGCATTGCGCCCCCTGTATTCAAGCTCCATGTGTTCAAGAGGGAGGTGAATGGCGTTGAGTTGAGATTTTCCTTGCCCATGCTAGTCTGTTGTCAAGCCCACCTGCCTATCATAGACTTTCTCCGGTTGTCTCCAGCAATAATGACACCGTTGAAGATGGAGATTGTCCGCGACCGACGCTCCCAATGTTGTTCCCGGGGTGTGAACTGGTTTGGATCACCAGAGACAAATTATTTTTGGCCCTACGTATGCTGTAGTTTTGAGCAATTCTATGTATACCCCCCAAGGGATCCCAACCGATCCCATCCCATCCCTAGTTAGCCCCTGACATGTGAGTACGACGTTATGATAGTATGATTAGCTATCGGCCCTATGAAAGACAACTGCTCCTCGAATCTATGAGGCATCTCCGAGGAGATTTCGCTGCTAGGATTCGCTGAGACTGGTGGTGACGTGATCGATTGGGAGATTCGAGGCTGATAAAGTCGATGGCGTCAGGCAACTTTTGGTCTATCACATCTTCTTCTGCTGCCGCAGCAGCATATCAGCCCTTATATGAAGGATCTGTCAGACGCAAGGCATCTCCAGAGTAGATATGTGCAGAGATACCAGGAAGATACGAATTTTCCCTTCCAATGACAGCGATCAGATGGGTATCTTTCTGTCGACGACACATCGAAATGGATTATCAACCATCCCTGTATCTGCACAGCCTACCAGAGACAGTCTCGCGGGGAGATAAGACCCGGCCGCGGAGACAATGCGGCACGGAGGATCACCCGGGGGATCCGTCGGAGAGCGATTTCTGGGGTTGAAACCTGGAGATAGGCGATGGTGGCTGCTATCAAGGGGTATCAGTCCAGCACTTGGTCAACGACGAGTGCATCCTCAGTGGCTATGGCAGGGGACAGATCAGAAGATAAGGATCCTTCAAACTGCCCAGGGCCTACCAGGGCCTACCAGGGTAAGGGTTATGGGGCAGTATCGGTGCAACTCTGATCATCCCAGCCCCGGTCATTGTTATCAGCGATATGCAGCAGACTTATCTTGGCTGTGAGTTGGTCGAGCACAGAATCGGCAGGGGTCGGATCTGCCACGATTTCCCAAAGTTTGCTGTTGGGCAGAGTCACGCCTTATCGAAACGTTTTCGGGTGATAAACGCACGGTCAAGGCAACATATAAAGAGCGGTCCCCAGCAGAGGCTGAATTTTTGGTTCCCCAGACTCAAGTCTGCAATGGGGAAGGTGAGGACCAGAGGGCGAGCTGAGGCGAAAGAGTATTTTTCACAAGCCTTCACCAGCAACCTTCACACTATTTTTCCCCCCCTGACCTGGCTCGAGTGGAATGAACCGAGTGGTCAACTGGAGTGGATGGTCCATATGCGCGGTGCGATTTCCTTCGTCCACGCTCTGCTCGGGGCAACCCAGCTCTGATATGGAACCTGTCACCTTCCTTGCACGCTGAAATTCACCCATAACCGCTGAAGCCGATCAAAAAAAAAAAAGCAAGCGAGCTTCAGTGCTCCCTTCCCTCCCTCCCCCCCCCCCGGGAGTTTCTGGACCGGGAATAAGACGGACACAAGTACCGGCTGTTAACGGGTGGACAGCCCACAACCATCAATCATGCAGGACGCCACCAGCAGGAGCAGCAGAAGCAGCAGCAGCACTAATGGTGGGAGAAATCGAGCGGTATCAGACAGATTGGTGTTATCAAGCAGAGAGTGGCAAGGCCGTGATGACCCCCCCTGCTAGTGTTGATGGAGCCCCCCCTTTCCCCCCACACAGGACCGATCCCCGACCATACAGATCAGAGATGGGAGTTGGAACACATGCGACAGTCAGACAGCAGATAAGATGAACGGGATTGGGAGTCCAGCCAAGGACCAGCAAGCCAATGAAAGGCAAGCTGGGGGGGGAGATCAACGCGCCTATCAGGATGACCACGGCTAATTAGCATTAGCAGTTGGATTCGCTGTTATCATTGCTTATCTCCTGGGGGCATGCGATGCATGTGGATCGGTGGGGCAATGACGGGCGCAGGATTGGCGATGATGTCGTTGTGAGAGGTCAATGGGGGGGGGTTTGAATGGATGTATGCGATTGAAGTGGTTTTGAGAGGGAGGGAGAAAAGGGGAAGATGGAGAGAGGAAGTGAGTGAGTGAGTTAAGTGTGACTGAGTATTCAACTCAGCTGATCTGAGAGAGGGAGTTGGTCAAACCGGAAAGAGCGAAGGTCGGAGTTACCGAAAAGGCAACGCCGTTCGTTCCTGCCCCAGGCTGACCAATACACTGGTATTACCATTATTACATGGAATTACCTTGGATTACCTTGGATTACCTCGGGTAAGATCGGAGCCCGGTGAACACTGCTCCTCAGCACTAACCTAGCACTAACCCAGCAATATACTTAGTACCAGACTGACTCGACGTTATTGCGGATCCGCTGGCCCTAGAGTATTCTTATCTCTGGACACCTTATGATATACCATTATGTACTGTATACATGTTCTGCATTATGAGCTGACTACTGTATGACAGAGTAACAGTATGAATAGACCATTCATAGTATAAAGTACTAGCTATAGTATACCATACTATTCTGCTAGTAGTATGCTATATCATATACTATTGTAGCATATGTTGACATCGCTCTATACTCCGACTCACAGACCATGTCTCCATCCGGAGGAGTTCCAGATGGCTCCACCGGTATCTGCGGTTCGGAAAAGGCTGGCATCCACTGCTATACTGGTACTCCAGTACCAGTAGACTAGTAGTAGACCAGTCTGGCTATTATCTACCCCAATTCTACGGAGTATATCATATATATTATAATACTATGAGTATACTCTGTATACTCTATATCTGTACCCATAAGACGTATGTATCGGACTCGGCCCGAAGGCTAGACCGGCCGCGGCTTTGGTCAACCGCGTCTGTTTAGCCTCAAATCCATCCACTCCGATTCGTGGACTCTGCAGTCAAGCAGCAGGAGTAATCAATTTAGAAAATAACATGATTCGGGATATCCAGTGACAAAGTACGAAAGTGCACTCATATATACTTCTATATGGAGTCGAGGGGAACACATACTAGTAAGTAAACGACTCCCGTAGTTCTCTGTGTAATGGTAATACCAGATTACCCATACACCTCCATACACCCCATACACCACGAGCGGAAATCGCAGTGTTGGAAAGAGTCGCAGTCGCAGACATATCATCTTCACTTCACTCCACTCCTCCATTCCAATTCCCTTTCTCTTTCTTTTCCTCTTTCTCTCCCTCTCCCCCAATATCCCCACCCCTCCCTCGTGGTCAACTCGTCTTGTCCCATTCTTCCGAATTGCTCAATCGCCTTATTGAGCATTCTTCTCCCCTTCCGCCTCCGCTCGGCGCCACACTCTCGCCTGTCGCATTCTTCCGGGGCATGAGCGTCTGGAGGGTCTAGCCCCCCCTCCAACGACTCGACACGACTCCAGACAAGGTCAATTTGGATATACGGGGTTGGAATTTTGTGTGAAGGTCCTTTCTCAAAGACCCCCCCAGCTTATCCCACATCGATCGGCCTGGTCGATACAGACCCTGGTCGCGGGCTGCGCCATCCTGCCAATCGTCGTGCTTAGCGTCACTCGATCATCTATTTTCGACAAGGGTCTCGTTTACGGCGGGTACGGGGGAATTCCAATTCAAACCGTTTGATTCATTTCATTCGGGGTGTGCCAGCTTGATCTCTTCCCCCTCCCTTCGCCTTCGCTCCCCTCTTCTCCTTCTCCCCTCCATTACTCCCACTCTATGGAGGGTATCAACCATGCCGGGCATGGGGCCGCCCGACCGCAGAATCCCGGCTTGCCTTTCTTCGGTCTCGACGACCCTCACATGATTCCCGATGACTTCTCCTTCGGTTCGCCTTTTAGTCCGACCGATTCTAATCAATCCAACACCAACGATAATCCCCTTCAGGATCCCATTTTTCCGGAGTGGAAGACCGGTGCCCCGCGCGGTGGCGATAACCCCGGTGATTTGCAAAAAGAAGATCCCTTGGCTGCTCAGATCTGGAGGCTCTACACTCGAACAAAGTCCCAACTACCAAACCAGGAGCGCATGGAAAACCTGACCTGGCGAATGATGGCCATGAGTTTAAAACGCAAGGAACGGGAACAGTTGGCTCTGGCTCAGCAGCAACAACAGCAGCAGCAGCAACAGGCGAGGTACCTTGGCCCCATCTCTCTCACACCCCCATGTTTTCCCCCTCCCTCCCCTCCACAAAAATCCCACAGTGAAATCCGGGGGGCACCTTGCTCACCTTGGCTTGCAGGACCGCACAAACGAACACCGAGGACCATAGCCCCGCTCCCAGTGGTATTGCGCAACTACGTCTGTCCGACCATGACCACCAGATGAATATGGATACCACGCCGGATGGGATGAACCTGGATGACTTTATCGTCCCCTTCGACTCCCCGGTCGACTATTCCTCACATCCCGCCGTTGACCGCCACTTCACCGCGACTCCTACCGCGGCCTCCGCGTCGATCCCTATCAAGTCCCGTAAAGATCACCAAGAGCAAATGATCGATTCCGCCGCCGCAGCGTCATTCCCACACCCCGCGCCGGACCAGCGAAAAAACAGCGAGTTTGGCTATGTGACTCGCCGAGTTCGCAAGACCAGTGTGGACGAGCGCCAGTTCTTTGCTGGCCTCGCCGTACCCACTCGGAAACGACCTGCAGAGGCGTCTCCTCAGGTGCCACCCGTCTCGAACGCCATGATGGCACAGCACGCCGGGCTGACGACCGGCTTGCCGGATTACTCTCTCGACCAACCCTCCGCCTTCACCATGCCCGGAAATGGTACTGTTGGTGGCGGCCCGCGGCGTCACCAACATCATCATACAGCGTCCGGCATCCCTTTCAGCCTGGACACATTTGGCATGGGCGATGACTCTGCGATCCACTCGGCTGGCCCGTACCAGCAGCACTTCACCTTCTCGCCCTCCGACTCTCCCATGACCGCCAGCAATCCGTTTACCAGTCTTTATGCGCAAACACCACTTGCATCTTCGCTCAACTCTACAGAGTTCTTTTCTCCGCCGCCATCGGGATACCAATCAACGGTTTCCACCCCCCAGCCGATCTATGAGGGAGAGCAATCCATATTTTTCAATGATGCGTCGACAGCCGAGTCTCAACCACACCGCCGAGTCCCCAACTATATCCAGCAACGGTCGTCCAACCTGTCGGCATCCCTGCAACCGCGTCAAATGTTTAGCTCGAACGGCGAGTACCAGTCACCGGTGCCAGGTCAACCGATTCACTCTGGATTCTCTATGCCGCAGCAGCATGTCGACCCGTCACATGTGCTCGGCAATGGCGAATATTCTACCACTGCGCCCTCGGGCAACATGTTCACTTTTGGTGGTGACTCGGACAATGAAGATGACGACAGCCACACTTTTGAGCGTGGAGGAATCGCCATGCCCAACGATTTCTCATCCATGGACGACCCCAGTGATATTGGTGCTGGCTTGACTTGGGATGCAGGATTTCCTGGGTCTGTCCAGTCCTTACCGGGATTCACTGGTCAACATCGCAAACATGTCACCATTGGATCTACTGATATGATTGACAGCCCTGGAGAATGGCAGCACGCAGGAAGCTTGGGTCGTGGGCATGGCTCGGCTGCCTCAGTCAGTGACGTGCGCAATCGCGATCGTCAGCAGAAAATCGCTCGCACCTCGTCCACCCCCAACGCTCAGCAGCTACTCCGCCAAAGCATGAATGGACAGAACAGCCAGCCTCCCACAAACCACCCATCCCCCAGTACCCCTCCTGAATCTGGTCTTAGCAGCGCCGTGCCTTCGCGCCCGCCGAGCCCCGGTGGTTCCAAAAACGGTGATCCCAACGCCGGGCCCACGACGTGTACGAACTGTTTCACCCAAACCACCCCGCTTTGGCGACGCAACCCTGAGGGCCAGCCACTGTGCAATGCTTGTGGCCTGTTCCTAAAGCTTCACGGTGTAGTTCGCCCTCTCTCCTTGAAGACAGATGTTATAAAAAAACGCAACCGCAGCAGCGCGAACACCTTGGCTGTTGGTTCCTCCCGCTCTTCCAAGAAAACATCTCGAAAGAACTCCATACAGCAAGCTTCTCTCAGCGCAGTTGCCTCCCGCACCCCCAGTAACAATGCATCCGAATCACCGCCCGCGATCGCCGGATCCAGCACTGCAGTCAAATCAGGCGTGGTTCCCATCGCCGCTGCTCCCCCCCAAAGCTGGCCCTCCCGCCGGTGTTGCCCAAGCTCGCGCTGGTGTGCAAGTAGCGCCTCGACGACAACGCCGCCTCGAAAAGGCGCCTACGGGATCTGAGCAGGATCCCGAAGACAACTATAGGGTCAATGCGCCAACCAGCCGATCTAAGGTCGTTCCTCTAGCGCCCGCTATGCCACCCCCAGCAGCCGCCAACCCGGCCAATCACAGTATCGCAGGTGGCCAGGGTGCAAGCCAAGAATGGGAATGGCTGACAATGAGTCTGTGAACGATTTTCTTTCTTGTTTTCGGTTGACCGACGCTATTTCGTTTCTTGATCTCCTTTCTCGAGTCGATGCGACCATGACGGGGTTGGCCACCACTCCTCTAATCTCATTCATACACGACTAATGTCCTCCCGGTGGACCATCGATATCTTACTCCATTCCGCATCGCATCGCATCCGTGATCTTACTCATGCTTTCTCCTCTTTTCTTCCACCGAGCCATTTCTATTTATCCATCTCTTTTCTGTTTGTCTTTCTTACGTTGCTTTTGATGATCTCTGTGATTTGATTGATACAATCGCGTCTGTCCGGATCCCGAACTGATTGTTCTGTCCTGGTCTCCCATTTTGTTTCGTTCTGCTTTCTTATGTGCAGTTCGGGACTGGGCAGAAGTGCGCATCTCTCCTGTTTTTTTTTGATTTAATTTGCTTTGATCCCATTTCTGGTTTGATGTTCTCTGATGTTTACTTATGGTATTTATGCAACGCTAGCCCTGGTGTGTTGGGATTCTTCTTCTTTTTCTTTTCTTGATTTTATTAGACTTCAATTTGATGATTTTTACGACTGCTTCTGTCCACGACTCTTCGACGCAGTGCTTATAAGTAGTGCAGTAGTGCAGCAGTAGTTAACAAGTAGTATCTGTCAGTTGTAATTATCTTCACTAAAGTTGAATAGTTCTGTACATACAAGACTACTAGTACTGGTATCCAGACACTCTCTGGTAGAAGCAAAAGCAGTCCAAACGCCGTGCCCAGTGGAAACAAATGAAAACGAATACAGTGTTCCAGGCTGCAACAACGTAAATATAAAGGAAAACCCAACGAAAGCCACGAAAAGACGCCCCTGATTGGGCAAATCGGATAATACTAGCAGTGATCAGCATGCAGTGCCTTGGGGCTAAATCCCAATTCTCATGTAAGTGAATTTCAATGCCTTGCATCCTCGCAGATAGTTCAGTCCAAGTCTCAGGGTTGCACGACTCGCAAGAGATCTTTCGCATAAGCAGCTGCCGTCGCCGTCGCATAGTCCTGCCAATGGTCATTTTTATGGTCATCAGAATAGTTGCCAATCCCCCTGATAATGACGCATGGAAATCTGTTCCCAAGTCCCGCAGCTTCCATTTCGAAGCAACGTACGCCCCATGTGTTTCTCAGACGATCGCGATGGGCAGCAGATCGCATGACAGCATTGCCCGATGCTATGAGACCATAGTGCACAGCAGGGTGATTTGATCGACGCTCAAGTCGCTGTTCTAATGCAGCTGTTCCACAGGCTGAGCAGTCAGTCCCCTCCTTCCCTTTGTGTGAATGAGATGGTTTGTATAGCCGATCCAGGTCACGACCAGGGAAGCGAAATTCCGGTGCTGCTGACTTGCTAAATTTTGTGGCCGCGCTCTGGAAGTAATCCATCATTCTATCAAACCCTAATTGACGATCTGATTGGAGAGCTGCCATAGCACCTAACAAAAGTCTGGGTGGCCGGTCTCAGGTAAGATCGAACCTCAAATTTACCATCACCATTCCACCGGCCCTTGTCGTATTGCAACACCCCACCTTGGTCATGTCAGAAATAGAATACTCCGAAATAGATGAGAGAAAGCATATATAACCAGAATGATGTAGATCATACCGTGAGCTTGGTTGGGCTGACTGACCACAACATCGCCAAGTCGAATATCATTTAATGGATTGGTAGGATGAGGTGCTGAAGGCGCTCCTCCTCCAGTGCCCACCATCAATCCGAATCGGATATTATAGAACGTCCGAGTCATATGCGCCACTGTGTGTGCGAGGGAAACTGGGCCAGAAGATTCGACAAGGAGAAAGGCGATCACCAAATAGTGATTCCCCATCCGCCCAACAATGTAGCCGTTCTCGTCCCTTGGCTGTAGTGTCGGTGGTGCATATTCTTCATCCAAGAACCTCCGAGAGATATTGGCCTCCGCTGTATTGGCACAAAGCCAGCCTACTGAGTAGACACTGCAATCCAATTGTTGATTCAACCGTCGACCCATAGCGGGGATATTATTGATAAATATGGCGCTGAACCTTCAAGTTTTCAGCCCTGGAGACGATGAGACTTGGGGGGATTTTCACGGAAATAAATAGAATCTCATCAGCCTCAGCTTGGAGCAAGATAGCAGTGAGCACCAACATTGGAACTAGATGCAGAAATTAGGCGCTTGGAACTCATTCGATAGCTGCAATTTAGACCAATGGCGAGCAAAATGATATCCCGAAATAGTATGCTACAAAGAAATTAGCACTGGGCGACGTTTGAGTTGTCGCGCGCGTAGATACAAATGTACTTTGTGTAGTTCGGTATTATTAGTATTGATAATACTGTATCTAATACCCGATAAGGTAAGTTTTGCCTGAGGCTGTTATCGCAGTCACGTGGATCTTTCGTATCTCAAAAAAAAAGCTCCGCGGCTTCAATTCGACTCCACCACAAATCGCAGCCATGGGTTCCAGCTCAAAACGGAAGAAGGAGAAGCAAAAGGACTTTCAGGTGAGTATGATCCACATCGCCGAACTGATATCCCACTTGGAAAATAACCATACTGACTGTGACCCCGCAGAAACCCAAGCTGAAGGTCGGCAAGACCAGGGCTAAGCCTGAGAACTTCACCGATACCAGTTTCAAGTCCAAGTGTATGCTTCGTCACCCTGCGCAGCTCACCCTGTAACAGCTATACTGACTTGGAGTCCAGCTATTGTACTCAATCAACAATCTCTACACCTCAATGCTCCCTCCTCCAACAGTGTCTTCACCCACAATCTCTCTCTCCTCACCTCCAAATCCGACAGCCAGCGTCGGGACTCCCTTGCATATCTCACCACCTCGATCGCATCGCGTCCTGTCAATTCTTCTCTCCCCCAGCCAGTGAGCGTGATGCTCCCTTCGCTTCTCCCCTCATTCTCGATGGAAACACCAATGTTCGCACTCAACTTGTCAAACTTCTCCGCACTCTACCACGCCACGACATAGAAGACCATGTTGCGCAGCTCCTTCCCTACATTCGCGCCGGAATGACACATCTAGCGGCAGATATCCGCGTGTCTGCCGTGGAAATCCTATCTTGGATGGTCGAGGCCGCAGGCGAACAGGTGGTTTCCTGCCCAGGCGGATGGATCAAGACACTCAATTGTTTCCTTTCTGTTCTCGGATGGCACACAGAAGAGTCATCGAAGTGGTCGTCGAACCGCGCATCATTCGGCAAGTCCGGAAGTCAAGGCCGACCGATGGTGAAAGTTCTCGGCGTACTGGCTGAGTTCCTCGATGCTGGAATCGGACAGCACGATGCCGGTGACGATGAATCGCCAGAAGACGATGGTTTCTCCTCTATATGGCCCTTCCCACTTTCCTGCACCGGTCAACATATGATCTCTGACTCGTCTGCGCCCTACGCCTACTTGAACCTCTTCGGGCAGCCGCGTGACGAGGAAGGTGAAATGTACGAGACCCGCGAGGACCGATTCCGAGTCTTCTCCAATCGTTTCATGCCTGTCATTGAACGTGGCGTGAAGAGTGCCCGAGAGGAGGGAGGTGAAATGGGCCGTGCTTCGTCTGGCGTGAGCAAGGTGCTGAAAGAAGCTATTTCGTATGGACCTGGTGCATGAACTTGACATCTGCGGCGAAGCACAATATGCCAATACCAACCACCGATAGCTGTCGTTTCAAAAAAAAGTCCCATCAAAACCGACTTGGGTCACTCGGGTGCTCGCAAGAGCGACGATTCTCCCTTTCGGGCATCGCAGATGAATATGGCTTCTCGATAGAATTACCTTGTCCCACGCCACTTCGGTTGACAAGACGGACACACTGGAGAACCATTTCTCCAAGTCCAAACGCGACTGGAAAAGGGGGACATATCACAAGGGCCGCCAAAACCAAGATACCCCATGTATAGTGCATAGAGATACATAATGCATCAAATCATATAACGAAGCGAGAATAGCTTCTCAGTTCACAAGATATCCAGCTTTGTATAGATTATTATTTTCCCTCTTTTTCTTTACATATGCTCTGCCAAAACTAGAACTCATTCTCTGTCTAGGTGTATACGATTCATGATTGTAGTACTAGTAGTAGACATACTGAATAAACTACGCGTTTTCCAGATCCTTATATCCGCCATCGGTTTCTCTTTCCAAGATCAATGCTAGACTAGAAACTGCCATTTTCAGCCAACACACCTTGCTGACAACACCCAACTTTGAAATACAGTATTCCATAGCGTATATATGATAGATACCTTCTAGACTGAGGTTTTTACTAGGGTATCTCATCCACTTAGTTGTTATTATAGCATTCGTCTGTAGTACTATATACTAGTATGAAGCCCAGAACCATGCTCTATAAAAAATACGTCGCTAATAATGACGTAGTTAATTTGTCTCGCTATGTCTTTTCCTCGACATATGGGCAATTATTTTCACCTCAAGTTACATCTTCCGAGACTTCACGCGTAACTATGTACGGTCTTCCAGCGGAAACACCAATGTTCCAGTTTTATAGAGAAGAGCAATGCGGTCAGATTCTAGACCAGCAGCTCGACAGATTTGAGCGTACTGGGGAAGGACCCTACGTGATCATAACTTCAGTTGATGAACGTTCTTTCCTCGAATGCTTTACTAGGTCTAGATATGATCTTCTACGAAAATCATGTGTGTCTTACGATAAGCAACATTCTATTATTCTTATAGAGATGGAGTCGAAAGTACACGCCTCTGCTTGTCATTCTTTTACAGGAATTATTGAAACTTGGGGCGGCCAGGCGGAAAGTATCCTTATGCCATCAGGATCTGCGTCGTTTCGCGGCACTACACGGACAAAACGGGGAGACTGCTCCTGGATGCCAGCTGAAATTCCATCTGGACGCAGCCCGAAATGGCCAACTTTGGCTGTAGAAGTCCAGTGGTCAGAACCGACATCGCATCTAATGGATGACATTCGTTTTTGGTTGGATGATTCAGAGGGAGATGTAAGGATTATACTTACTATTTCGATCTCCGCTCGTTATACGATAACCATTCAAAGATGGTCTCTACGTTATCGCCAAAATCAATCTAAGCCTCTTCCATTTCCGATCGCAACAGTCCAAATCACTAAGGGCCCCAACAAAACCAGTCAGCCTAGGATCACGGGCAGTATGACTATCCCTTTTGAGGAAGTATTCCTTCGGCCGAGACGGCCAACAGAAAGTGACCTAATTCTCTCGCGACCTGTTTTGGAACGTATGGCTTTGCAGATTTGGACTGCTCAAGATCAGCAATAGGTTCGCAAGACCTCTGGTTGCCCTATACCTAAACACCACTTCATCTTTACGTTCATATGTTTTCGGCTGAGAAACACCACTGTATTCTTACGTTTATTATTAGTATTTTCACTGAGCCAAACCTTGAATGATATTTTTGCTCAGTTTGAAAGTTTGGTTTCTAAATCTTGACATTTTCTTTGAAAAATTCCCACAACCACCCTTGGAAAGCTGACAACTACAGGCAGAAAATCAATACTACTGCTAGTAGATGGATACATAACGCGAGGAGGCAAGTAGGGCTCATAACACTGGCATCTACTTGGTACTGGCTCAGGCTTGTTCAAGTTCTTGTGAGGGTGGATCAACTTGAAGTGAACCCTGGAGGGTGAAGTGGCATGCTAACCCTGGAAACATGCCTAGGTATAGCACATCAATTTACAAAAAGTACCTGGGCAGTTACTACATTTCTCCCTCCAATATCTTGAAATAGTCTTCATGTATTTACAAATCCTAGATTTGTTTCAAACTACTTTGATATCAGCTAAACAATCTTCGTACTGAAGTCACCGGGCAGCTGCTTCTCTACCGCCGGTGCTGCTGCTTTCTCCGTGCTACTAGCATCCGTATCCAACCCCTCCACAACGACGTGAGTGTCTGCCCCTTCGTAGACTTCCTCGGGTAGTATTGCACGATGGATCTTTGTTTCCTCGGCAGGGAAGAACCGAGATAGGACTAGATAAACCAGGGCCGTCGCAAAAAAGCCCAGTAGCCAGCCGAATTGATACGGATGCACACCTACTCCAACATCAATCTTCGGATTAACTGCATTGATAAGACCGGGCAGATTCGGGGCGACGCCGACAAGGAAGGCGACAAGAGCGCGCCAATTTATGCCGTATATCGATCGTGATAAACCGGGAAGTTTCCAGCTATACCGATAAATCGGGTTCCAGGGCTGATATAGCGCCAGAGAATCGTATCGACGACGATTGACGACCCAAAAGTCAAACAACATGATTGCCGCAATGGGACCAAGAAATATCGCATACGCAGACATGAATGTGAGGAAGTTACCTGCTGATTCTAGGATCTTCCAAGGGACGAGGGCCCACGATAATACGGCGCAGAGTATCTGACCACGACGAATATTAAGTACCTCGGGGGCAAGCGCTGTGAAATCATTGGCGGCAGATATGGAATTGGCCGATATATTAACACCCAGTGATGCGAGGGCGAATGAGAAACCAGCGAAGAACCGACATGCCCGGTTTGGCCAGTAGCTGATGAGAACCAGTGGGTCCCAGGGGAGCTCTGCTAGATTATAATGGGCTTGGCCGGCAGATGATGCTGCAATACCAATGAATGAGATGAAAGTGAAGACTATTGGTAGCATGGGAATATAGAGAAGTTGCCATCGAGGGCTGACGCGCGAATAGCGGGAGAAATCCGACTGGATGGTAGTTAGTCGGGCGGAGTTCTAACAATGCAGTAGTAATATACATGGAGAGAAAGGAATTTGGGGGAGGTCGAGAAGGATGATGAAGCTGATTATGATGAGGATTAAGATTTTAAGCTTAAGCTCAAGTGGATACGAGGATCCGCCGACCTCAACTTGAACGTACCTGATTAACACTGAGTGTGGCATAGTTTCCAAGCACACTGGTCATATTGGCTAGAAATAGCCAGCTATACTTCGATCCAGAAACAGAGGGCTTTTGCTGTTGGAAGATTCCTCCTCCACCTTTCTCTGCTACAAAAGCCCAAATCAAAATGGCGATCCAAGCGATGGGAACCAGTACGGATTTCACGGTGAATAGCCAACGCAGTCGGTTGGGGTGTAAGCAGAGAAAAGGGAGTTGGACGATCCAGAAAATGAGAAATCCGATCATAGTATTGGTCGTGATGCCCTGAGATTCAGGGATATCGCTGTGCAGTGTCAGATAACTCGGCCAGATGGCTCCGATCATGACTCGGACCGCATTGGCTCCATTTACATTTTGAATCGAGAACCAGAAGATCGCAAGAATGAGTCTGGAGATAATGGCAATATATGAGCCCCAGAAGCCCCAGCTGGCGCGTGCAATGACGGGAAAAGGGACGTGGTAAATGGCACCGACCGCACCGTTCCCCGCAATGACGAAGGACATAATGAAGAAGGAGATGGCCACGATCGCGAGAGCCTCGCGGTAGGTTAATCCGACCGCGATAATACTACTGGCAAATTGCCAAGTAGCAGCGTTGAAGGCATCGGAAATCCAGTAAGCTAGGGATGGCGACGGTGAGTGCAAAGATGGAGGAATAGGTAGACCAACAGTGGCATACCTATGAGACTAGCAACTCCCCACTTGCGATCCAGACGAGCAATCGGATCAAGATCACGATTGGTCCAGCGAGCATTTCCCTCTGCAAAGGCCGAACGAGCCTTTGGGACGCGGAGATGAGGCCAAGAGAGGTGCATGGTGTATCGGGAGCAGAGGGATTAGCGACCAGCACCTACTACGATGCCTCAAGGTGTACAATATGGAGGAGAAGAAAAGAAGAGGAGAGGAGAAGAGGAGAGGCAAGTCCTGAATAGCCCCCCTACAGAAGAGAGCGAAGATAACAAGAGGGAGAGGGTGATATTAAATGATCATCTCATTGGAAGTAACCGTGGGATGGCGCTGAAGAAGATAAGATAGTAAGACCTGCAGCTGATTGGATGCAAATATGCATCCCTCGTATTCTCCTCTCCCCTCCTCAGCTGAACTCCTTCATCATTTCACTTGCTCATCATTAAAAACATCTTCTTATCGCTGCTTCTCCCCTGGAAGTCGCACATCTTCCCATCCGCGTCCATCCCCAACAGAACTTGACCACTGCCGAATTCCCTTCCATTCCGTCACATTCATCCACCCGATCTGTTGCACGTCACCAAATCCACCGATCCAGTATGCCTGTGTGACCACCAGTCGGGCCCAGAAGCTCGCGTGCGGCGCACCCGATGCACCGGGCAGCCACATCTTCGCGTCCGGATGCGACCGCAGGAAACACTTCTCCAGTGCCGCGGCATCGTGGCGTGAGAGCGAGGGCAAGGGGTCGAAGTATCCGAACAATGTGATGCGAGGCAACGCAGCAGGACTGTGAGGCAGACCCGGATAAACAGGCACGGCGTCTTCAAGATGCTCCCACCAGTCCAGTTCGAGAGAAATGTTCGATCCAGCCCCGATATTCCGGAAAGTGGTGGCAATGCGGAGGGCGAGGATAGTCGGGTCACCGTTGTCTCCGAATGAGAGACCGTCCGGTAGGGCTCTGTCACAGTCGGCGATGTATTCGCGTAGTCCGATAGGAAGACCGGCGACTGAGGCTGGGGTGCGCGAGGAGGGTGGGATCGGATCGGGGAAGACAGTCGATATCACACCGGAAGAGGAGAGGGCCAGCATGCGGCGGGCCAGCAGGGCGGACTCAAACCAGGTCGGGCGAGTGAAGGCATTTGCTTTGTGATCGTGGAGCGAGTTGGAGCTGGGGTTGCTGAGGACCGCCTGCTCGCCGATGGGCAGGACCGAGGTAGAGACGAGAGCACCCAGGGCGAGTAGCCCGGTGAGGGGTTTGACGAGCATACTAGGAGTGTTTGATCAACTGGAGAGTAGCTGAAGAGCCCGAGGGGGGTATTAGAGTTGAGTGAAAGGAAGGGAAGGAAATAAAGGAAGGGAAGTAGACAAGGTGAAAGAAGAAAAGGTGGCAAAGGTAGTCAAGGTGGGGTGCGGAGAATCTCGCCGGGTCCGACCCGCATCGCCTGATCTTATCAGATGCTCCAGGCTAACGGTGGTGCATATAGTATTAGTATAGTATAGTATAATAAAGGTATACTGTGGTAGTAGTATAGATATAGTATTCTTTTTATTATTATTACTGCTATAACACATAACACACATGAGTTACACGTAAATCAAACATCCTCAGAACAGCACCGGATTAACACGTGCTGGACTAAGGAAGACCCCTCTTAACTCATCCAGTCACGCGATATCTACCAAAGCTAAATGGGAGATTCGGAGATTCGGAGATTCCACGAGCACACCTGGCAGATAAGTCAAGTTTACCTATGCCATGGACTCACAGACTAACCAAGTATGGATGTATACCTAGGCTTATAATAGCTGGCGTAATAAATCGAAACTACACTATTACCGGTACTGCGGTGAGTATATACTGGTACTTCTCTCGAGGGCATTGGCCTCGCTCCAAAGTGGGGTACTGCCAGTGGTATGACGAGTGAAGGCGGAAACATTATAGCATGATCACTGCAAGACCAGGACTCGGAATTCATGAATCCTACTAGTAGTATCGATACTAGTAGAGAAATAACTCGGGGTTTACTAGATATAAAGTTCAGTTCATCTACATAGTTCCCTGCTTTTATTTCCATTGTGCCATTTTTGTTAACGAAGGTACAGTAGGGATTACAAGTATGATATTTTACGGCTGATATATTTACTAAAGAGAATGATGAATTTCTAGGTTTTAGAATCTTCTGGCAATGATTTTGGATTTTTATCTACTAGGTACTACCTGAAGGTATTTGTAGATATTTTGACTCGGTCGCGGGCGGAACACAACCTGGGAACTTGAATACACGGGGAATTAAGGAAGCGAGTATAGAATAGAAAATAATATAAATCAGTGCTTTAAAGGGGCTATTGGGTTTAAAACGGCAATACTTTGCAACAATATTTTCTAAATGAATACCAATATCATTGTGGTGATTTCCGACCGTGGGATAGTTAACTATTAACTAGTAATAACTAATTACTAGAATACTAGTACTAGTTGGTAGTGGTCTAGTACTAACGATTACCCGTGAGGACCTTGCGGGTGAGAGAGAGTGAGGACCTTGCGGGCAACTCCCCCACAAATGAACCAATCGACGCAAATCCAGTGGACTGGCCTTGGTGCAACTTTATTTGGACCTCTGTTGATTATTTACATCCTATCTATACTTGAAAATGTGCTGCATTTGGTCCGGTTGGCAGCCTGGCCCTTCTACACGTCCAACGGTGATGCCTAGCCTCTCACTGACTCCCAAAAGTCCCTATTCCAACGTTTCTCTCCTAGGAGGCCATATAATCCTTGGCAATACCCCTTATGATGATTACTGGGCAGTAATAAGGTGATTCGATTCCCCATCTGGTCATTGAATCCAACTGTTGTTCGATGCTTGGTAGCAGTACCTTATCTACGGCATCTTTAAGGCTTATTTACCACTCCGGACTCTTGATAGCCAAGTTCCACATGTAGAATAAACATGAATTTAAGCTACAGGTCGGACTTGAATTGTTTATATTGCTCTATAAATGTGCCTGTGGTACGAAACCAAGATAAAATCGACTTGTGTACATGATTGCCCCATGTTAATCCAGTGTTATGTTTAACACTTTCGCCTTCAAATAGACCGTCGATATCTTAGCAATCCTAACTCATGAAGTCGTTTGCCAATACCAAAGCCAGTACTATAAAATATGAGATGGTCGATTATTTTGGTAATATTAATCTCGAACAACAATTCTCCAAATTTGCAACGATAGAGACTGGAGCTAGTTATCATGAAACAAGGTTTGAGGTGACGTGGCTGAGTGATGGGCCATTTCTGTTTACCTCGGGTTGTCCATATGGTGGAACCAACGCATCTCGATTTGATTCATTCATGAGGTTTGAAGATATGAACATAGCCAACATGACCTGTAATAATTCGCATAGAAAAGGACACTCATGTTAATCCTATGTCATCAGTTCATGAACCTCAGGCTGCAATGGAAAATAAACGCATTGGCTGGAAATCCATCCTCGCAGAATAGAAGACCCTGGAAGGTACCCGAGTGGGGATATCTATGGTAACATTTTGCACCCACCAATTACTGGTCGGCGTTCCTAGAAGCATGGTCCCGCGCCACCAAAAACATTTCAATCCGGGAACCGATCCTCGTTGGGCTAGGGGGCTGAATTGTGCGGCCTAAACTCCTAGCATTTCTCCTCTCGTTTTCAAAACCCGTGAATTTTCATTCTTCTCGGATGCTACCAACATTACTGGCCTACTTTCCAACATGGCGTTTCATTTGACTCAGTCTCAGCGTTTGCAGCTCGTCATCTCTATCTCTTTCTGCTTCTTTGTTGCGGAAATCTCTGGTATGATCACAAACAACTCCCAGTCATTCTTCAGACACTGACCCTTGTCACCTTAGTCGGATTCTACACACGTTCTCTAGCTCTCGTGGCAGATGCATTCCACTATGTGTGATAGCCTTTTATACCATACTGACTTCCACTGGCTAACCTGTCCAAGCTAAATGATCTCATCGGATTCATCGTTGCATTTGCTGCTTTGAAGGTAGGTGTCATGATTATCAGCCACCCCCGCTCTTCTCTGACATCAACAAGATTTCCGCGAAGAAAGATTCCCCCCATGACCTATCCTTTGGCTGGCAACGATCCAGGCTCCTGGGTGCATTTTTCAACGGCGTTTTCCTTCTAGCATTGGGTGTCAGCATATTTCTACAATCTATTGAGCGATTCATATCGATTGAGGGTATGCTATGCCTCGTTTGCCGACGTCTTATCATTCTACTAATCAATTCATATAGTCGTGGAACAACCGAAGCTTGTCCTCATCATCGGGTGCGTCGGCCTTGCACTCAACATCATAAGCGCTTGTTTCCTTCACGGTATGCATCTAGGTCGCCCGACCGCGTCGCCCATCGACTAACCTACGATTTCTTCTAGAACATGGCCATGACCACGGTCATTCGCATGGGCATTCGCACGGCGAAGAATCAAGAGCCACAGAGACTGAGACTGTCGACAATACGGAAGATGGAACCCACCAGGTATGAACGTCCCCCGAGATGACTACGGAGATGCTAACTCAAGTCTCCTATAGGTGTTTACCGTGCACGAGAACCATCGCCACAATAACCTACAGCCATCCAAGAAGGGGTACGATCTTGGAATGTTAGGAGTCTTGATCCATGTCCTGGGCGATGCGGCCAACAATGTCGGCGTCATTATCTCGGCTCTGGTGATCTGGCTCACTTCCTATTCGGCTCGCTACTACGCGGATCCTGCTGTCAGCATGGCAATTGCCATTATCATCCTTACAACTTCAATTCCGCTGGGTTCGTACTTAACCCCTTTCATCATCCGATTCTATTTATTTATTCAAAAATGTCCCGTATAGTAAGGAACTCGGGAAAGATTCTACTGGAAAGCGTCCCGACCGGCATCAATCTTGAAGACATCAGACATGATCTCGAAACGGTGCGTTCTCCTTCCATCCCGGTTAATCCCTGCTAATACCAACGATGAATCCAAGATCCCCGGAGTTCTATCCATCCACGAACTGCATGTCTGGCGTCTGAACCAAGAGAAAGCGATAGCCTCCGTCCACGTCACCATATCGAACGATACCATTACCGAATTTGTGCAGATAGCAAAGACAATGGGCGACTGCTTCCATAGCTATGGTGTTCATTCGGCTACAGTTCAACCGGAACTTCCATCGCCCTCTGCCTCGATATCGTCGGGGACTGAGACTCAAGAGGGCTGGTCGAAGCTGTGCCAAGTAAAATGCGGTGCTTCTTGCGAGACTTTGACCTGCTGTGGGTAGTCTGTCTTTGGGAATCGAACCCCAAGCAAGCCATTGTGATGCAGAGAGCTGTAAGAGAAAAAAGCTGCTTTTTACTAGTACTACTCATTCTACTCAGAATTGCCATAATAATTGTGAAGTGAAAAGGTTCTGCTACTCGTAGAACCTATCGGTTAAATTTCAAGATCAAAGGAAGGATATTCTGTTGAAACAATTTAGTGAAAGAAATGACATGTGAGCATGTTGAATACTTCACAAAATCCAGCTTCGTGCATTAAACTCTTAGATTCAAGGCAAATGCAAACCAGCACAGTTCTGCACGTGAACAGACATCAGTATCGTATGAAAGCACATTAGGGACACCCAGCTCAAATTTGAGACCATCGCAGTAGCACAGCGGCGGCAATGACAGGCAGCACTCTGACAAGCTCCCCCAGTCCCGCAAACTCGGGTGGAATCCGAACAGTCACAAAGGCTCCCGCGGCGAGAAGCACAGCAAATGTGTTGTAAACGAAGCTCCACCCGAAGTTGAACTTGATTCGTCGCACGGAGGCCTTACTCGCGTCGATAATTGTGAGAATCCCAGACAGATCTGGGCGTAGAAGCACTATATCGGCAGCCAATTGAGCGATATCACTTTCTTCGTTGATATGAATCCCAATGGTTGCATGCGCCAATGCAACTGCGTCGTTGGCGCCATCGCCACAGAAAATGACAACTGGCTTTGTATTGGTGAAGCCATCCAGGAGCTTCTTGATGTAAGTCTGCTTGTCCCCGGGAGAGCTGCGTGCATGCACATTACTTTCCGTTATTCCTAGCTTTGTTGCCATTTTATTAACATGGCCCTCGTTGTCGCCTGATACAACATGGACTGAGACACCACGTTGGTGTAGATTGGATAGAAGGTACTCTGCACTGTCGCGAAGTAAATCCTCGAGACCGAAGACCGCGCACAATGCTCCGTCGATAGTGAAGCAGAATGTGGTATAACCCCGAGAGAGCACTGGCTGGACTAGGCTGTGTGTTGAAAGATCCAGCCAGCGAACGTTTCCGGCTTTCAAAGATTGGCCGGCTAGCTCGGATTCCACGCCACAGCCGGGGACATTGATGGCCCCTGGGACGGTCGTTGCAAGTACCCCCTGGTCCTTGAGATGATTCTTCACAGCAACAGAGACCGGGTGCTTGCTATCGCTAATAAGACCCAAGAGAAGGGACAATTGGTCTCTTCCATGCTCGTTGTAATGGTCAACGGCTACACTTAGCCTCCCTTGGGTCAAAGGCTGCCAAGAGTCCTACTGAGTTTGGTCTCGCATCCGGTGCAGGTCATTCCTGATATCGCGAGAACAACATGCTCGACACCCGAAGCTTGACTTTCGGGATCAACAATTCTGGCTGCTGGGCCAATGTTCTTGCTGGGACAGGGGAGCCCTTTTTCGGAGATGCAGCAAGCACCACCGCCGCCGCCGCCACAATTATTCCCCGCTCGTGAAATCAATTCGTGGCTGGAAGGAGGGTCCTTTGAGGTGCGAGCTTTGGCGGTCGTACCGCTAATGGTCGCATTCTTAGGTCTACAGCATGGCTTAGTCGAACACTTATCTTTGACGGAATCACTAGCACTCGGTTTGCTGCGAGACTTTAAAGACTGGGGGATGCTTCTGACCGGTGAAAAGCCCCGAATACTACCACTGGTGCTGCAGGAATCGGTTAAGTCTCGCGAGGCAGACTGCCTTGTTAATTTCTTCGGCCCCTTCTGTCCATCTAGCGAGGAACGCGCCCGAGGTTCGCAACAGGATTATCGGCCTAGAGCAATGAGAGAGCGGCAGATGCACTGCAGAGCTGTCAGTTTGGCAGCGTATTGCTTGCGAACTGAATGCTGATGATGGTCGCAAGCTTGGCGCGTGTTATCGTGCTCGTCGGTCAAAGCTGATGGACATTCCACTCGAGGAACAGTGTTAGTGAAGTAAATCAAGGGGCTTCTCATCGGCATATTTCATACTCTCTCGGTCGACCTAGCTTTGGAGACAATCCGAACTTGCATCACATTCACGAAGGGCTAAACGGTCCAGGCAGGAGTCGTTACAACATTGCGATGACTTGCCACGACAGCACTCCGGCGAATCCGTTTCTTCGGAGGGAGTAGGAGTTGGGGTTCGCGGAGAACAGCAGTTGCTTCCAGGGGCATCGGAATGACTCTTTTTGTTGTAGCCTATATCAGCATTGAACTCGTGGTACTCGTATCCATTTTCAGCATATAGGTGAAATGACATGGAAAAAAAAACTTGAACTTGAACTTGAACTTGAAATCTGTAATTTGGCTTCCGAGAACTTGAACCAACTTGAACTCTATATTATATCGCCAGATACGGGTAGTTCATGAGACACAGCGGATCCACATGGATCGTCCGGAAAGTCCCAGTATGGACTACTGGGGGTTTGGCAATCAATCTAGATTCGCAAAACAAAGAGACTATGACATGTTAGAGATCAAGTGCGTTTTAACCTCAGTGCTACTTACTAGCAGTAGTAACCTTGGAAGGTAGCCCTTTGTAATTTAGCATAGTAAAGCAGTAACCCCCGTGCCCAGGTGTAGTACGGTTAGAATCAGTTAGAATGCGCCGTCTCAAGCTATACTTCTGTTAGTTGTGACAGTTAGCTGGACGCTTGGACAAGCGTTACTATTACGCCGCAAGCACAAGGGTAACCCGGCACGTGACCATATGAGTATGCCATACAGTATGCCTACAGGTAGACGTAGTATTTGAGATGGTATCTTTATGTGTCAGCATGGGATAACTTGGTGGTTCGGATCAGAGTAGTCCGCTTGTGCTGACACTTCGCTCTCCCTGTTCTGTTGCAGTAGTCTGGTAGCATCCTATTCGGGATGAAAAAAGCAGATAAATTCTACTCAATCAGCCCCCGGGCTGAGTGTTTAAGGAAAGAGGTAGATAGAATGAAACATATACATCTATTCCATAGCGTCGCTTAATCACTTCGAGCCCTCCTCCTAGGCCTGGACAAGTCCGCGAAGAATCGCCATTCCCTCCTGAACATCATCATCATCCCACGGCTTCAGCCCATAAGATTGCATAAAGTTGGTCCAGGAACCGTAGGTCTTGATGACCGCGCGCTCCTCGGGGGTGAGGGGTGGTTCTAGTCACGTTGCCTGATGAGCAAGCCAATTCAAGTCCTTTCCTGGAGGGAGATACTCGTACGCAGTGAATCAGTAGCAGGCATCGTGATGGTTTGGGCGGTGAGCTTTCCTGATTGGATTGATTAAGTCCGTGGATGGATTCTTCCAAGATTCAAGTTGCTTTGATGGAAATAGATTGAGCAGATGACGGGAAGAACCTTGTGTGGACGTGGAAGTGGAAGAGGAGGAAGAGGGGAAGCCCTGGAGGAGGGTTTGTTGACATCTGTGGATGGAGTGTCAGGTGATCCCATACATCGATGGCCAACAGCAACTTGGAAGTCTTGAAAGGTTCAAGTTTTACTAGTAGACTCAATCACATTTACTTAGACTCGGAGATAAAATATTTGATTATTATTATCATCATTTATTGAATTTGCAACTATGAACAATTTACGATCTCTCGCAATATTATACAAAGGTCAAAGCTTGGGGTTTAGGCCGCCTTCCAGAACACGCCAAGAAGCTTGTATATCAGCCTATGATATACCATGTGGTAACTACAGTCACAGAGCAACCTATGACATGTATCTCATGACATAATGCATACTGCATAACATCCTCGGAGCCCTGCATGGTATTATCTTCCAAGCCAAGGTTTACTGGCAGGGCTAACTAGACGCAGTCATTGTAGTTCTGTGTCCTAATTTAGTATCACGAAGACCATCGTGCTGGAATGTATGCTAAGCCATGAGTCAGAAGCTCCATGGTCATGCGAACCACTCGCCCACCGATCGCGTCAGTAGCCCTGGAGTCTCCGTATTAGTTTTCTGCAAATATGTTAACATAATCTACCACCTGTGGCAACACAACCACCCCGAAATCGGACATCAAAGGTCCTCCGCTCAGCTGACCCCGGCTCACAATGACTCACAGCGGAGCCTTTAGGTATCAGTGGCGAAGTGCCAGGGGGTCAGTGCAGCCTACGAGCAGCCCAATACGAGCAAAGCTAAAGAAAGAAGAAAAAAACGAAATGAATCAGAAACTGTACGATTGGCTATCCTTGCGAACCTTTCCGAAAGTCCGGACGCCGATCCGAACCGATCTCCTCAAGGCGCCCACAGCGCCAGAAAAGAGGAAGAGGAGGGGAGGGACGAGGTTGAGACTTCTGTAGCACAGAACTTCTGTTGATTGGATGGCCAATCACCGTATCACCAAATCCACACCACCCATAAATAAGCCTTGGAATAAATAAACAGAGAAACCGTTCCATGCCCCACACACTCCAGACGCAACAAAGCAGACATATAAAAAAGGTTGAAAAAATAAAGAAGGGACAAGAAATAGAGATGACGAGGGGACGGACCAACGTACATCGTACACATTCACAACAGTAAACCCCCACGAAATCCGTAGATAAAGTAATGGGATGACTGCTGCGCGGCGACCGTGAGCCCGGATGGAAAGGGAGAAGAAGAGATAATAAGGGGCTATGTACAAGCAGGGACAATCCGGGCTCATCCGATCGCCGTGGGATAAAACCCAGGACAAAAAGGACAAAAAAAGACGGGCTTTTTCTAGTAACCTCACCACATAGGAAAAGGAAGACAGACCGTAGCACCGATTCGATCAATTCAGGTAGTCCGCACGAATGCTTGGGTTCAGGGCGACTTTGCGCGCCTCACTGCCGCAGCAGGCCCGCTTCATACCGGCAGGACCTGAGACTGAAGGGCCATTATCCATCAGGAAGGAGGTCGCCAAGTGCCCATCGGGTAATATAGATGATGGGACACCAGAGGCGCCTACATCAATCAGATGGCGAACGTGGTTTTGAAGGAGGAGATCGTCGGAACCGGTGCGCCCACGCTTGCGACATTGTCGGCGCTCGGGGGTTGCACCGGAAAGCTCGCACAGACTCTGTGCTGCTTCGCTCAGGCTGGTATCAAGAGAGAACTGCGACAAATCTGGTGCGGAGCCCATCGCACCCGGGTAATCGGGCGAGCTGTAGAGATCGGCCAAGGTGCTTTCGTCGATCGGCGAAGCGATGGCCAAAGTCTTGCGACTCTCCTTAAGAGAGTTGCTAGTACAGCGTAGAGTTGCCTTCACGGCAAGCCGTGAAGGAGCGGGGGCGCCGGCGCCAGAAGCAGTAGATGAAACGGATGAGGAGCGAGAAGAGCGCGACGACAGGGTCGACACGTCGGACACCATGGAGTCGGGCGACGATGCTGAAGATGTTGATCGAGCCAGAGAGGACCGGCGGACCGTTGCGGGATATCCATCGAACGACTGAGCCCGAGGGTAGAACGAAAAAGGCGGGCGCTGATCCAAAGTAGATCGCGCCATGCCCATGTTCTGCGCCTGGGACATCGCCGTACCGATGGAGGGGCGACGGGGACCACATGCTGCCGCATTCGCAGCAGGAGTGCAAGCAACATGTGTCTGGGGGGTCATCTGGGGGGGTAGGCAGCATCTGAGGCCGCGGGAGGGATGGCATCGGGGGGGTTGACAAACTCCATCCGAGGAGTCGGCTCCAGAGTCCGGGGCAAGCTGCGCGGGCGGGTTGGGGTCTGCTCGCGGGAGGTCGATCGGATCGACTCGTTGCTCGCCGCACTACGCGGGGAGGGAGAGTCGGCCAGGCCTAAATCCATCCCACCCATCGCCGAGACCGGGGTCGTCGGTTCAGAGTCAACGGAATCCAACTCCGGCGTCAACCGGGGGAGAACCGTCCGCCAGCACTGGCCCTCACTGGCTGGAGGACCACCGGCACCAGGAGTCAACTTGAGAACCAAATCGGTCCATCGCTGGAAAGTCGCCTCCGAGATGTGTAGCCGCCACCCAACCGCTTGCAGAAACATCAACTCGTTTTGGTTGATTTCTAGGGTGTTCAAGCCCGAAATCTTACTCCAAGCACGGGCGGAGTAGTTGCGGTCCTGTAGATACTTCGAAGCGAGAATCAAAGCCGCCAGAAACATCCGGCGACCACACTGCATGGCCCGAGTAGCAGACTGATCCCGAGATTGTTCCCGGGTAAAGTCGTTACAGGGCACATGCAGCTTGATCTTAATCAAGTAGTAAAGGGCCACCTGCAGGGTGCTGTAGCTAGTGCGCGACCGACGAAGAGTCTCTTGGATGAAAGTCCGGAGAGGCAGGACACCTTTTGAGCCGGTCGCGGCATCGCTGCGGGATGCCGCGGCAGAGAGGGGCCAGATGTTTTCGACGATTTGCGATGCCGTATCTTTGGAGGATGTTTAGCGAAAGGACATCCCAACGAGTGTGGAGAATCCGACACAACTTACCGACAAGGTTATCGACGAAGCTCACTTTGCGCTCCGACTGACGAAGCAGACAAGGTGGGGGACGCGCGCCGGGGCCGTTGGCCGCGACGTTAGTGCGCCGGGGATGCGTACGCAACTCCGGCGGGACCGGACCGTCAATCTTGGGATGAACTCCCTTGACAAAGGCCCGGGGGCATGCGACCGAAGGTCTCGTCGCCTGTTGGTTATCCACATCATTCTCCCAAATCACATCGACCGGGTTAGTGGCGGTGGAAGAGATGGAGCTCTGCGAGGCATCCAGGGAGAAGACAGAGGAGGACGAGGACGAGGCGGATGAGGCGATGGAGGAAGCATAGGGGTGAGGGTGGGACGCTTTCGACGTTGGGTTTGAGATGTGAAGACCCAAGACGTCCATCCCCGACATCTCCGAAGACGCGGAGGGATTCATGAAGGACAGGAGTCAAGTCGCGAGGAGGGAGAGGGAGAGGATGAATTCGATTTCGATTTGGAAGCGAAGTGTGTCAAGATACCGTTAAGCAGGGAACCGGGAACGAAGGCCGAGGAGACAGGAGCCGTCTTTGCGGAGGCGACGGCAAAGCCTAGAAGTTGATATGCGCCAGGTTGAGGTAGATGAAGGTTAAGTGGAAGTGGACACCGAGATAGCGGTGGGGAATAAGAGGGGATAAGAAGTAAGAGTAAGAGTCACGAGGACAGATAAAAGAAGGAGGCAAATATTAAGTGACGGGAAAAGGGAGAAGGGAAAGAGAAAGAGTAAGATAAAAGGGTCAGGGACCGATCACACCAGTGTTGAGGCTATCCCCGAAAGTGGCAAAGATGACTCGAAGTGACTGAAGTTGGCTTAGGCTTGAACAGTCACAATCAGGCGGGAGTCGATAGCGGCAACACGGGCGATCGGAACGGAGGACTCAGTATACATTTTGAAATGAAGAAAGATGGGGGAAGACAAGGCACCTAACGGAGCATGGACAGGCAGACCTCGGGGAAGGTTGGCTGTTCAGGCAGTCGTTGGGTGACTAGGCAGAGGGCGAGAGAAGGAGATGGGGATGACCAGGAGGGTCCAGGTCCGGGTATCCGGGAGTGGCGGTGGTGGTGGTGGTGGTGAGAGAGTAGAGTGGTGAGAGAGGGGGAGGAGAGAGGAGAGGTTGAGGATGGAGGTGAAAGGGTGAGGATGAGGGTGAGGGGGGGGGGAGTCAGAAGAGGTTTTTCAGGCTCACCACGGATGAGTTGACTAAGAGCGATGGGAGAGTGGCGGGTGGCGGGTGTGGGAGGAGGCGGTGTTTGAGTCACTGTCTATTATTACATACAATGTACAGTCGTAGTATACAGTATTATAGTATACTGTATACTATAGTACTATCTATTATTCTATTATTATTCTATTATTATTCTATGAATATTCTATATATTATCTTCTCTATCTACTCTACTATCTCTACTATCTCTACTCTATACACTCTGTACACTCAGTATACCGAGTATACCCTCCTCCACTGACTCATCGCCGAAGCCGGCTTGCCACCCGGACCAATCAACGGGGGTTTCCCGGGGAAAACCCCCTGAGTCTCCGCTGTGATTGGTCCACATTGGCCCCAACACCAGATTACCCGCTTCCCCATTGGCGCAGTCTTTGGCCTGGGGAAAAGGTTTGGTATGGCAGTGCCACCTATTACGCACTGGGCACTGGCACTGGGCACTGGGCACTACACTGCACTGGGCACACCGGGCACTGGTGATTTGCTATTCTAGGCAGCCTACAGGACCACAAGGCGCTTATTCGCTAGGGCGCCAATCATAAAATCTAGTGTACATACACTGTACGGAGTACAATGTACATACTCTGGTTGGTACTTTGACTCACGGTGGCAACTTATGACTCAAGCAGATTCTGATGAACACATGGCCTATAGAACCACTGCCTGAATGCCTGAATGCCTGACCCTCTGAACTCCCGGCTATGCAAGCACCTCCTGCAGCACCCGAACCAGTCCCTGCACCTCCGCCTCTGCTGCCTGTTAGTCTCCACATATAGGTATACAGTACCTAGGTACTCCGTACTCCGTACCTAGGTACGAGTATGCCATAGAGCTTAGGGATAGGACAATACTCACCACTGTTATAATGCAAAAAACTGACCCTCACCACCCCATCCTCCACATCCGCCAACCCACACACCTCCTGCAACAGACGATGGCTGTACATGTGGCCACTCCGGAACCCAAACGCCGATCGGGCCTCCACCGCCTCCACCAACGCCTGACTCCCCACCCCGTCCACCGTAAAACTAATCACCGGCACCCTGACCTCCTTGCTCGCCGACCGATCCCCAATCACTCGTACCCGACTATTCGAGTTCAAAAACGACAGCAGGATCGCCTGCAGTCGTTCCTCGTGCTGGGCCATCTCATCCCACGTCTTGGCGGGTGTCGCCCCAAAGTACTCCACCACCGCTGGAATGCTATTCGTGAGCTCGTAGTTGGCCGATGCCAGGTTGAGCTTCAGGTCTAGGCTATCCGTGGGTTTGAAGAAGTGTGCCAACGACTGGATCTCCTCGTGGATTCGTGACGAGGCGTAAAGTTGGGCGATATGCGGGCCGTATACCTTGTACCACGAGAATGCCTTGAAGCGGGGAAACAAATTAGTATGAGTCCACGCTAGTACTGTAGTAAATTGTAGGGCCTATGATAGGACAAGACAGCAAGGACGGTAATGTACTCGAGAACAACTTAAACTCACATAAAAGTCAACATCAAGAGCCTTAACATCAACCTGTCGATGCGGTGCCAGAGCAACACCATCAACGCAGAGAAGCGCCTATACAATATATCCACAAAAAAAATCAGCCCTCTTGTCCAGTCCTCTTCAAAACCCACCTGGTCATATCCGGGATATAGATACATACGCGTGGGTGCACATGAACTGCATCGGCGATCTCGCGGATCGGACTGATGGTACCAGTGATATTGGACGCATGGGGACAAGCCACCAGTCTAGTCTTATCTGAAAGAAGGGTCTTCAACTCGCCCACATCACACGTTGGGTTGGTTGGGTTGGACGATGCCCAGAATTTCACCTTGAGCCCGAGGTGCTCCGCAATCCGGACCCATGGTGCCGAGTTGGCTTCGTGGTTGAGTTTCGAGACGATCACTTCGTCGCCGGGTTGGAATTTCAGCGCCGTGGAGAGATTGTGGAAGAGTTGGGTGGTTGAGACGCCGAGGTTGATCTGCCAGTGGTGAGTAAATCAGCATTGCATATTACGTAGGGCCACTGGCAGGTATCTACGAGTGATATCCAGGGCCACTGGCACTCTTAGCGTACCTCCTCTGGCTGGGCATTGATGAAACTCGCAGCGCTCTTGTATCCGTCTGAGAATCCGGCCGTCGAGGCTTGGGATGTCTTGTATGTTGCGCCAAGCTGGACATTGGTGTTGATCAAATACGAGCGAATGCTGCCACGGCCCAAGTTAACTTCGCATGAACATATACACAGAGAAAAAGAACAACCTACGAATCAACGACGGATCCAAGGACCTGACTTCCACCTGATTCGAGTCCAACTTAGCAAATCATATCCTTTCAACCTTGGAAGTTCCAATATCGGCCAAGGCTTCCCAGGTGCTTGGGTAATCTATATCCCACCTGCATTGTCCATAAACACCTGTTCCTGCTGCAGAGCCGGGAACTGGGCCCGTGCCGCCTCGACATCATAAGTAGCAGCCATTTTGAAAAAAGACCAGTATAGAATATATTTTATTCACTCGAGTCGGGGGTTGAAGTAGCAGTTAGGACACGAAGTCATCTCCGAGAGGGGGAGGGGTAGTGGATCTATGTCACCCCGGCTAATTTGATAGCGGAGTTACTCCGCCGAGATCAATGCCACATCCACTGACATGAGTAATGGAAATGATGAAGTGCACGTACATACGGATACAATAGTCTATAGTTTGAGTTGGACCTGTTGGACTGGTATGAACCTACTCGTACTGCTGGTACCTGGTGCTAGCAGTGCTCTCCTCATTCTGTGGCGCTGCTCGAACAATGCTCCAGTTCATAGGTGCCTAGGTATCAGAAATTGGAATGACCATATATAATAGCCTCGATATATACCCATTACTTTTCACCATTGAGGATTTTTGTGCCAGTCTCGTCTGAATGTCTACACGCAAAGCAACGCCAATTTGGGGATATCCTGCGAATCATACTTGAGAATCCGAGGTAGGTGTTTATTGAGACCGTTGTCTACACCACTGCCGTCGGTACGAAGTACCCAGCTACTAAATCTTTGTCCTCTTGATACTAGTAGGCCGTGTCAACTCTGATGCGTATCTACCAGTACGCCTGGCTCATATTCTGCCCCTCGTGGAGACCTCGGGATCCGCCAGCCTGGACGAACAGATCGAACTCAGCAAATTTCAGCACAAATGGCAAGCACAGAGAATGCGAAATCATACTTCAATCGGGTATAAGTGGTATAAAACCCAAAGCCAAAAGAGCCCACATAACAGATAGATAAGACAAGAACCCCGAATCACCCACAGACACCGCAAGGTATAGCAAAGCAAAGCAAGCTAGAGAAGAAAAGAAATCAGAAATGAAATAATGGTTGAATTCCGAGTATATCACCGCGACCGAGCACCTGCAGTGACTCCCGCACCACTCGCATTGGTCGCGTCATGTACAACGCAAAGTAGATATTTCCGATCCGGCACTACAACAATCTCATGTTTGCGCGTGCGCATCCGCAATAGTTTCACCTCATCCTCCTCTTCACGATCCGCAGAGTCTGGATCGGCGTCTTCGCGCGGGGTACTCGTCCCATTGGCGTATACATTATATGCGCCTTCCAGGGCCGGTGTCCCGCGCTCGTCGGCCTTGCCCGTCGGCCGTGAAAGCGATACGCCAAGGGCGGAGGCGCTCGAGACGAAATTAAAGATGTGCGCTGCCAGCGTCTCTGCCTGCGAGGGCTGGTAGGTGGAAGGTGTGGGTTGAGCTGGAGAGGACGGGGAAGAGTCGGTGGGTGGTTCGGTGGTGGGCGGGGCGATCGGGGCTGAGCGAGGTGTGTTGGTACCGCTTTCTAGCGGTGCGAGGAGTCCGGTGCTTTGAATGATAGATCCATCTTTGCGGGAGAGGATCAAGGTGGATTGCACCCCTGGGCGGGAAGTGAGGTGGGAGAGCAGCGCGGTGACATGTTGGGGCACCTGCTGTGAGCGCTGAAAAGGTTCCTCCTATTAGCAAGAGGTATATTTGTGGACTGCAAATGGTTTTTGGAAACTGACCTGGGGTGGATTGGCCATGGTTGGTGCGCGGGGAATGTTTTAGAGGAATGAAGAGTAGCGGCGGAGAGGCGGTGGTCGCTGATGGGCGATGGGTGGGTTTAGCAGGATATGGTGGATCTCATCGCAGCATGCTTGTTATGACGAGTTATCGTAAGGTGGTAAACTGGACTGGAGACTGAAAATGTAAGTGACAAGTCTCTCGAGTGGAAATTAAATTGTCTCCTCGTCGCAAACTCGCAGCTTCAAGCGATATCAACAGTGATGACTCAGCGGATCACATGGTCTGTGAAGTATAGCAGGACAAAGACAACCAGATCAATGAACATGAATAGATACACGCTGGATTGGATTGGATCAGATAAAGTGCCAGTAATCGTAGCCTGAAAAATGAAAATAAAGGAGAGTCAGAATGGCACCTGGGTCAACTCGGTGATAGTGGCAGAAGACATGGGCACTAGGCGAGTTTGCTGTGCGTAGTCCGGTTGGAGACCAATTTCTTTGCAAATGGAACTTGAAGTATCATATGAATTTACCAGTGTATAAATTCACAATATCCGACCTTTTCCAGCCACTACTAGTATTTGTTGCCTGTATACGTAAAGTTATCAAGCTTCACTTCAAATTCCGTCTTGGCCAACCCAACCCAATCGGGAACGCGTCGCGCAGCTACGACAAGATTGCAATCACCCGCCACGAACTTCAACTTTCGCTTTCAGCAACCACCTCGCCAATTCCAACAATTTTGGGCATTCGAGGAACTTGAGTCTTAAAGTTCGCCCCTACTCAATTTTACACGAGCGTCAACATATCAATCTGACTCCCGCGACCCTCGGTATGGCGCAAGCCGCGAAACGAGCGTGTGCAAACACGGCAGGGGAATCCCACAGTATTGAAGCCACAACGACTCCAGAAAGGACCCAACAAGACCTCGTCAATGTCATCGAACTAATCAATCAAACGGATCTTGTCAGTATCATTGTCTGGGCGGCAGACAAACACGACGACGTGACGAGAGCAGTGGCCGTACTCGCCCGCAAGGCTCGCGAAAAGCAGCGCGAAGAGGAAGAAAAGCAGCGCAAAGAAGAAGAAAGGCGACGCGAAGAACAAAAAAAAGCGCGTTATCTCCTTCGAGGGGCGAGTTGATAAAGTCTGGAAATTACTCACCAATACCCGTGGCATGAGTGACCGACAAGAATACAATGCATCCTACAAAGTCTGTATCGGCATTCAAGGTATTATCAAGTCAATCAGACATCAATGTGGCGAACTTTCAAGTCCTGCTACCAGACGTAACGGTCTCTCTGCTCTTGCAGATATCGGCGAATACGTTGCGGAGTCTCAAGGGAGATTAGGGAGCGAAGTACGGAAGGAGCTGGGCCGTAATCTGAAGTTCGTGTCTACACTAAGACACATCGTCACTATCATGTCAGAGGATGAAAGGAGGGTGGTCAGACAAGATAATAAAACCCCGGGAGGATTGTGGCGGAGGTTAAAAGAATCCCTGCGCACCACCAGGGCCTACTGTCTCTTCGATGGATTCGACTCGATACTTGAGTACTTCAAAATGGGACCCGAAGAGAGTGAAGATGATGAGGATGAGGATGAGGATGAGGATGAGGAGGAGGAGGAGGAGGAGGAGAAGTCACGGCAGAAGATGAATGGCGAGCTCAAGTCGACCAATGGATGAAGTATATCAAGGGAGGAGATGTGGACAATCCCATTCCACTTTGACATTTCTGACTAGTACTACCATCGCCCCAGGTGAGCTAGTTAAATTGCTGTTTCTGAGTGAGACTAAAGTCAAATCAATACCAACGGTCTCTTCAATGGGTTAATGCACATTTCATACCTGATCAACACAACCAATGATGTATTCAGATTGTCATGATAAACCCGAGTCTTATAGTCCTTGCCAGTTCTCCTACAGTCATACCTAATCAAATGGCATGCCCTATATCATTAATGTGGATTTCAATTGATTCGCCGCTTTTGTGGGAACACCAATCGATCCTAGTCTCATAGAAGAACAATACAGTAGATAGCCAGATATCGATGCTACCTCGAGTACTCGTGCGATATATGAGTCATGGTATGCAATGCGGACAAAACAAATCCGAGTCTAGGCGAGTGGAGTGTTGTCGGAGAAGCAGCCTATCAATTGTCTTGCAGCTCCGCAGCCACGGCGCTGACATCGAATCAACCTCGGTCAATCCCCGCGGGGAGGAAAGGCACCAGCTTTAAAACAACACACCTCTCTCGCCTTTCAATTCGTACTCAAAACTATCCTTCAACCCAAAATATTAATATAACTGTGACAATGGCAAGACCGCGTGGACCATTCGTTTCTCTCCCTCCGGCTTTACTGCCGTCGAACAAGACCGTCCTCACTGGGCGAACAATTACCCTCGAGAAGCTTCAGCCAAAGCACGCCAAAGACCTCTTCAATCTCGTTGGAGGTGAGGAACCTGCCAAAAAGTCCCTTTTGGGACTACATGGGCGATGGCCCATACGCACACCTAGAAGAATTCGAGAGAAATATCGCAGCACGGTCGGCCTCTCTCGATCCATTCTTCTTCGCAATCATCGATAAACGCAGCTCAGTGCCTACCTCCGGTAAGCCTATCGGGTATCTTACTTTGATGCGGATTACTCCGGAACAGTGGACTGTCGAGATTGGAAATGTGATGCTTTCGGCTGCAGTTCAACGCACAACTGGTGCCACCGAGGCGTTTTATCTTCTAGCACGACATGCCTTTGAGGACTTGAACTATCGACGATTCGAATGGAAGTGCGATTCTTTAAATTCTCCATCGCGCAAGGCAGCTCTGCGATTGGGCTTTACCTTTGAAGGTATCTTCCGACAACACATGGTCGTCAAGGGCCGAAGCAGAGATACAGCCTGGTTCTCTATCGTGCGAGACGAGTGGGATAGCGGTGTCAAATATGCGATGGAGAAGTGGCTAGACGGAGAAAACTTTGATGAAAATGGTAATCAGAAGAAAGCACTTCAAGATTATAAACTGGGGTCTACAGCAAACTGAGTGGAGTATCTAGACTTGCTGCAATTTTTATAGAGCTTCAATTTATTGTTCTATGGTTCCGGTGATGATGCATCCAGAAATTTAGAAAATAGCGTGAGTGTTCCCATTTCTCAACGACCAAATACATCGATCTTTGCCTTGTCAGGTAAAGCTAGATTATAATTAAAATATATGTAGAGACGCCACGATGTGATCCAGCGGAGACATGGCCTCTGATTCGGCAGGTCTACTCAGTGGGCCAAAAGGCATAGGCTGCCTTGGAGTAAGCATTATTGATCCTGATAGACATCGGGCTAGTCAGTCCAGTCCCAGCTCCTTTTGTCACCCCTGTCCCATCTTCGCCAGCTTCGTTCGACAATACCTCGGTATGGACTTATGTCAATGAAAGCAGCAATGTTGCCAATACCTTCAAATATTTCATTCACGGAACTTCTATCGTCCTGATTGATGGCTGCCAAGCCAAGACAAAAAGCGGGAATGAATAAAAATGGCGAAACCCCCAGAAGAATCCAGATGCTCGGTGCTGACCAGACCATCCCGAACCACAGATTGAAGTTTTTCATCCTGAATTCCGTTGGGATGGATGACCAAGTATAGCCACGCATACAGTGCTGAGACACAAGAAGCATGTAAATCAGAGTATTCTCCGTTATCAAGAGGAGGTTGAGGTTTCAACTCATCAAGGTCTTTCCATATCTCAACTGCGTCCACAATCAACCGTGATTCTAGGTTCGGAAGTACTTTTGAATTGATATGTAGAGAGTAGATCTTCTCCATAATGTCCGAAAGGCCATCCTCGATGCCAAATGTAGCCTCCGTTCTGCCACCAGGCTGAAAGTTTTCCCTTGATATAGTAGGAAGCTGCGATATGTTCCCGGCAGAGATTTCGTGCAAGCCAGAGAGTCTGTCCACTCTCTCTGTAAAAGCGTAAAGAAAAATATACTTTTTGTTGGAGATGAGAGACATTTTTAATTCCGGATTTCGGTTGGTCAAACTTTTTGGAAATATTCACGACAGCGTGAAAGGAAAAGGGAAATTGAAGATAAAATAAAAACCAGGATGAGAATCATCTCTCGGAGAGCCCTTCCGACTTCTTATAAAAAATGATCGGTGCAACAATCCTTGACCTAGATCAGTCTTTACCACAAAAGTGGGATTCCCCGTAAAATCACTTACAATACAAATCCACTTCGGTAAAAAGAATCCATCCTCATCCCGCGACTTTGCTCAAAGGTCACGGTGTGGTTCTCTACAGTGGATAGAGTCTCGCTATACCGTGGAACTAAAGTGCGTAAACTTGGCCGTGCACAAAATACCTGACAGTGAACTATTCCAAAGTGGGCTATACCTAAGAGAAGCAATTTGTCTTTCGTACAGATATGATTCATTTTCATACAAACACAATGTGGGAACCATCTACAAACAGACCATTTGAATACCAACCATGATGATCTCGTCCACCTAGCCCCTGTAATTATATGGACCGGGTCTCATTTCATTTGCTAGCCGCTCTAGCCGCGGTACGCGGATGCTGCGAGGATCCACTGTTGTGGTGGTCACTGGGAAGGCTGTGGATACATCAAACGCCACCTCCACACCATGCACTGACTCCAGTCCACAAAACAGAAGTAATTACGCAGCGGAGTGTGCTCGGCGCTTTGACCAGCTTGCAAGAGTTGGTGAGTGTAACCAGTTTTCACCCAAAAGCATCCGGGCTCTAGAGAAAAGCTAGATCCTTGGCTTTGGTATGTAACAGTCCTCGAGCTTCGTCTCACCTCTCTATGGATCAGTGTTTTCGGTACCACTCCGAAGCAGGAAATCCAGCCGTGTTCTTGGGTAGCACCAGAAATTCTGCAAGTATAGATAAAATTCAGTACTTGAGGCTATATGCAATCGGGACCCACTTCCCATGGCCCCGACAAGTGGATGTACTTTAGAGACCTAGCTAACCCAGATAGGCCAACGGGGAGAGGGGCTGTGAAAAGACAATAGTGGAAAGTTGATGAAGGATTGTGTGCAAAATCAGGTAAGTCTCGCGGGCTGAATGGTACTAATCAAGGTGCAATGGAAATAAATCAGAGCGGTTTGTAATTTCTAAGAAATGTAGAGTTATGAGTACGAGATTCTTCCGATTCCAACGGCACATTTTCGTTCATGTATGCAAAAGTAGATCCTTAAAAGTCCGTGCTCATAAGTGTCTGTGCCCAACCTGGTCTAGAGCTAGAGTTTTAGCTCGGCTTTTGGCCGCCGAAAATAGCCCCGAGGGCTCATGCAATATAACGGGGCGATGCCTTGTCTCTCCAAGCTGCTGCGGGGTTAGTCACATCCCAGTGTTCGGTTTAAATTTTATCATATGGAATTTCCGCGGCCAATTCGGATGGTAAATTATGCTAGTCTTCAGGCTACTAAGAAATACCTTTCAACCTCGAAAGATACAATCCATGGATACTATCAACCAAGAAATCACCCCAAAATATTTAGCTATTCGAAAAAAGCAAGTATTCGGTCAGCAGACGGCAAAAGCAATAATCCGCAAGACATATTCGCACAATAAAAGCTAATGCATGTCAAAGTACCTAGGTATGGTGCTTATGCGTTTCTTGACGAGTATAAATTTACTGACTTCAAGTTTTAGACAAGTAATTGAGACCCTATGATACTCTCAGTTTTTTAATTGCAGAAATTTCAGGCTCGGGGCTAATATGACTTCCAATGTTATTAAGATACCTAAATCTCCCTCGATCAAGAAATAATTCCCTGCCAGAGACGCGTAACTTTTGTCGTGGCCAACATTTCAACCACCGAAGCATCAGGGAAGCATTCGCCGCCCAACAACCTAAGAAGCTATTAGACTGCCGCGACATTAATGACACAATGACATTCCGACAAACCATAGCGGGCGAAGAATAACATTCAAATTTACAGATTGATTATACAAATTTTAGTCTCGGTGGGTCTATATCCTTAAGGTGGGGGCCTGATTTCCTAAACCAGTTGGTAGTTAGCGCGCTGGAAGGGACTCCTGAACAATTTGGAATGTGCCAAACGGAGCTGAGCCCCAAAATTTGTACCTATTACTCTAAGGGATACATTCTTGAACTCGAATTATTCCTGGAATTCATATCCTCCTTACGGAGAAATTTTGCTTTTATGGTAACGTTTTGAGATATACCCATGAAGAACTACTAGTAGTAGAGCTTCTACTATTATTCCGACAAATACAAAATAAAAGATAAGCTATTAATGTGTGTATAAGAGATAATCGTATTATAAAGCCAATGGCAAAGATCAGTTGCATTTCAAAGCAATGGTATCGTCGAGATAAAGGTGATCAAAAAGTATTTCAGATGGGAAAACGAAAAGAAAATCGAAAAGATCGTCACTCTAGTCTCGGGTATCGAGAAACATCATACAAGGTCATAAGAAAGAAGGGGGAATGGTCAAGTGAAGTGGGAAACGAAAGTCTCAAAAGTAAAGCATATCTTCAAAAAGGGTATAATGAGTGATTATGAAAAATCAGCGATTCCGAGCCATGCGAGGTGGCCCACTCATACTCGACTTATCAGACAGCCAGCCAGCCTCGATATCTTCGATCATGTTATCCAGCTGGCGAATGTTCGCCCGGCTGTCTCGCACTGAGCCCGGAGTTTCGAAACCACTGTTATCACTGCTGCGAGAAGAGCTAACCCAGCTCTCCGGCCGGGAGCTATACTGCGGCTGCTGCTGGTATCGACTTTGACGCTGGTAAGGGTTTTGAGGTGCAGCTGACAGAGGAGAAAGTGCAGCCTGCAAGCCGTCCATCATTCCGCCGTCCTTCACGCCTGCGTTGAGGGCAGCGAGGAGAGCGGCTTGCAGGATTTGATTCTGCCGTTCCAGGTTGGCGACGCGGTCTTCGAGAAATTGGTTGGGCTCTTGTTGCATATGGCGACTGCTTCGAGGTTCTCGAGAGCGGTATGTGGATTCTGAGTTGATTGAACTGGGGGACGCGAGGTGGTCAAGGTCACGACTGCTGCGACCTTGAGGTGTTTGAGACCGCATTGGGAGAGGATATCGCAGCCGAGTGTGTCCGGTGCGTCCGTCCACCGTGTCATATTTGTGGCGGGCGGGATGAGCACGCTTAGGTTGTTTTTCAGCCTGGCGGCGAGGCCGGATGGTGTCTGCAGCTGGGCCAAACCCTTCATCGTCGGAGGATGGAAGTGGGGACTCCGCTCGACTAGGCTCATAAGACTCGGGGATACTCTCGTGGCGGAGGCTACTGCGAGAGCTGCTGCTGCGTGAGACCATCGAGGCTCGGTGGTGTGCAGGACCGAATGGCGCCTCCAAGGATCTGGCAGATTGTCCCGATGGAGCAGTGATGTTCCTCTGGGCTTTGATGCGGTGATTTGATGTTTGTAAAGATGGATCGGGAGGAAGGGCTCCACTTGGTGGAGGAGAAGGAAGGCCAAAGGGGAGATTTTTGCGGTCGACATTTGGGTCGATCTGGAGAACCTTGCGAGAAGCTCGCTTTCCACGATGCTTGCTCGGTGTCATTTGGCCTAGAACAGGCGAATCTGCGAGTGGTTCTCCTTCTGGACTGCTTGACTCCACAAGATCCTGCATCTTAGGAATACGTACGCTGGAAGCGCGCTTCCGAGGTCCTTGTTGTTCTGGTGATGCCGAATGTGGTCGCTCAATTGAAGCAGGCGACTGACTACTGCCATCATCCACGACCGAGTCTGCCTCACCAACAAAATCTAACGCGGTTGCAGACCGGGTTTCTTGACTTTCCGGCTCATGGGGATCCTCTGCGATGGGCGAAGGCTGACCAGGGGGTAAATCCATCCCCTTTGCCTTCTGCCGAGCCATCTGTACTGTGAGGCGGGATTTATCGGGGGTTGCGGGTGGTGCACGCGAAGGCTTGGGAATGGACGGCAGCGGCCTTGTCGGCGCCGGAAGAGGGAAGGCCTGGAGGGTACCCAGGGCCAACGACGTGGGTCGAGGTTTGCTCTTAATTTTGTCGACGGCGTTCGAAACAACAGTTTCTTGGGTGGGTTTTTCGACAGAGGTTTCTGGTGTTGCGAGAGCGCCAGAGCATTGAGCAGCATCTTCAATCTCAGCTTCAACTTCAACTTTCGTGGTGATTGGTGGAGTCTTTGGCTTCTGTATCTTTTCTTCGGTAGGCTTGATGAGATCCTTAGCCTCGATTGAAAGGTTTGACTTGACCGAGGGCGCTAGGCTAGGAGGCCTTTGGTATTGAGGTACCGACGATAGTCGCCATGCATTCTTGCTGGAGATACGCGGTGGTGCAACATCAGGGAACAATTTGAGGGAGTGCTGTGAGGGATTCCTAATTGCACTGGCGGTCGAAGTGTCCATACTTGATCTAGAAGGCTCTGTGCTCTGATCTGGCTTTGACACGCTGCTAATAGATTGGTCCGATGATCCCACTTTGTCGAGACTGGCTGGTTCGCTCTTGGAGCTAGTCAGGGAGGGCGCCACGACTTGATCGATAATGCGAACGCTTGAATTGCTGGAAATTGAAGGCTGCCGGGTGTGATCACTCTTCGGGCCACTTCCCTGGGTAGCGACGACGGATGTCGACGAGATCGAGGGATCGGTGCTGGTGGAGCGAGTCTGCGACGAGACTGGGGTCGGAAGCTCAGATGCCGGGGTTAGGTTCACGCTCATGTCACTCTTTGCTGCAGGCCTGCCTGCAATCGAGGATTGATAAGGTGGAGGCGAAGGATCATTGAAATCCGTCATGGAAACTGCGACATCCACCAGAGATCCGAAGTCACTGAGGTCCAATGAGGCCAAGCGGCTTCTGGTGTCTGTTGAAGACGTCTTGCTGTGTCCTTTATTATCGAGCCATGGTCGGCCGATGTTTTCGACGTCTTGCATCTTGGACGACTTTGATGATTTGGAAGTCTTGGAAGTTCTTGACAGAGTTCTTTCAAGACTACCCTTTGAATCCCTTCGCTTGGGAGCTGCAGGGAGAAGATACCCTTCTCGCTGAAGAGCCTCGATTTGTCGCTGGTTATCCTCCTTCTTAGTTTTTGGCGTCGTTTCCTTTTTCTGGCGTTGGGTAAACTGAAGTAGGCGTCGATGCAAAGGCTTCAGCTCTTTTGTGACCTCCTCCTCGGGGACCGGCGTCGGTCTCTCGGGTGATAGAAAAGTCGGCAGGGCAGTAGTGCTTTCCGCAGGAGCATTCTGAGTTTGAAAAAAGCGTACAAGATCCGTTAGACTTTCATTCCGGGGAGCCCTTTCGGCCATGCCCGCAGAGCGAGCCTGGGGCCTTGGGGAGCTTACTCCTCGCGGGCGGGCAGACTCTGGAGATCCAGAGGCCCCAGTAGACATGCTGGACTGTCTCCGCTTGGTTTTTGGTTTGGATGGGGGATCGGGCCTGTATGTTCGAACAATGGGGCTCGGTGCGATGTCACTTTCATACACGGTATCCCAATGATGCATAGGGGCATCGATTGGCTGCCTTGGCAATCCGGCTGACCGCCGGGTTCATAAGGGCCTTGAAGTATGTTCAAAGGGGAATAGCAACTATTGCATCGTTAGAAAGGAAAGGATAGAGAAATGGGAAATATAGTATTGCATAGCACGCATGCCTAGAAGGCGGAGCTCACCTTGGTGTACGTAGCAGCGAGTTTCAACAGGGATTGTGGCGAGGTAGATATAGGCGCATATGCAATGCGAAATGATAGGTATACTATATACAGACACAAGCCACTCGTGGTATGTACAGAGAGATTTGAGGGTGGCGTCTGGGTCAAAAGGCGAAAAGAGAGAAAATGCACAGCTGAGACGAGGCAACCGAAAGGGAGGGTAGCCGGTGTTTAAGTGTGAGAGAGCTGCAGGATTTTAGAGTTGAGCTGTCGCATCTCCTTGAAAGAGAAGAGGGGCGGCAACGCCATCCTGGAGACGATCCAGACGCAGGAGTAGTTCGGGCCCGCCATCGGTAGCCTGGAAAGGGCGCAGATACAGTTGAAGCTAAAATCATTAGTACCTTCGTAGGGAAGGAGTTCTAAGGTCAGGCCCAAGAGAGCCGGGCGCTTGGCCATGATTTCATGATCATCTGGGTGTGACCCTGTGCAGCGCGGTTCGGGGGATCGGAGCGCCGCAATATGACACAGCGGCTGGATGGATTGAAAAACTATTTCGGCCTCGCCCAGCATCAACATGCATCGGCCACGGTGATTGGTGTGTTTGCTGAGGAGTTCGCGAAAAGCACCGAGACCGAGTGCTGCTGCTGCACAATCCCCTTCGTGGGCATTGCATTGTGCGACCTGGCCTAGTATTGAGATGGAAGGAGGCGTTCGTTCCTCCATTTAGAAACCAGGAGCTGAGCTGAGCATTAGGCCATTGCTGTGCTTTCTTTTCCTTCTCTGACGAAGTTGTTTCCCCAGTTGCTGCACACGCAAGGGGCCTGACCCAAATGTTTGGGCCATTGGCCTCCCCCCTCCTTCTTCTCCTTCTCATCGAAAGTATAAGCGACGTCAGGATGTGAGGTATCAGTTCCCCACTCGGATAGTTCGCCGCAGATCCCAAGGATCCCCGGTGCGGGTAGAAGCTGTCGATCGTGATGAGCTGCAGCCCCCGTTGGCCGTTGCTTTTTTAGCAAGGTCGGGTCCATCTGCAGCAATCTAGCAGCGTGGAGTAGCAGTAGAGGGGAAAGGGGGGAAGAAATGCTCTAGGATCCGCCCGAAAGTCTAGTGTTGCTGATTATTGAGAGCGAGTTGCGCCTGGGCGATAGATCGCCCACACTTGGTGGGGATCCACAGGCCCTTGCGTAAGGGATCTCACGCAGCCCTTTCGCTTTTATTCTCCGTGAACGGTCTTGCCGATGCATGGTCACGCATCGTTCCTGAAATTCTTGATTTCGGGAGGCGCAGGAAGATGGAGAGAGGTGAACAAGCCGAGATGAGAAGATGAGAAGTGGAAGAGGATGTGGGAAGTGCGGGCAAACACACCACTTCACCTCCTCCACCACTCCACTCCGCTACTGCACAACAGACGAGATCTGTCAATTGCCCCCACCTGTCATTGGAAGTGACCTTACGGTTGATCGGGCTTGGGCTTGGGCTTGGGCTTGGGCTTGGGCTTGGAATTTTCGTTTTTAGTTTTTCTACAATCTCTGCTTACAAGGGGGAAAATATAGCCGTGTGGGCTTGGAGTTCCCACGATGGTGTGGACTCCATAGAATGGATGTTTATACATACATGTAGAGTACATGAGGGCCCAGTCTAATCCAAGCTGGTGGTGTACGGAGTAGTGTAAACGCCTTCTAATGCTTTCCTTGTAATGGCGATTGCCGACTCGAGCTCGTCACAAGTCAGCAGAATAGTGTAAATGCAAACCAAAAAAATGAGACAAAGATTGAGACAGGATAGAGTGATGGGTGGATAGGTTCGTATGGTTCGTCGAATCGAGGAGAGTGGCCCTGGGCCTGACCCTGGCCTTCTCGGAAGGAAATGTAGAGCGACAGCACAAGTGAAACATGCCCATCTATTTGCGTCGCTGTTTGGGCCGAATGAATGGGTCTGCGTCTTTCTTCTTTCGCATCATCTGTGGCCGTGGTTTTGGCGGGGCCTAAATAGATTAAAAAGCGGAACGAGTGAGCGGACAGATCAGAAACCCAGATGAAAACACTAAACAACGCTTACCTCTCCGGCTCTGCCATCCGACGGTCCACTTGGGGCCCGGATTGTCGGTGCTGGTGGCTTGCCTGTCGCATATGCTGGCCCATCGCGGGAAGGTTTGATGAGATCCTGCGTAAAGTTCAGTGTCAGCAGTGGAGATCCGATATCTTCATCCAATACATTAACTCACGCTTGGTGGGACTGGATTCCGAGATCCAGTCGGAACATTAGAACCCTTCGGCCCTTTGGGGCCTTTGGGATCCTTAGGCGCATCGGGAAGACCATCGGTGCGTTGTCGCATTGCCTGCGGAGCATCGGGTGCCGAGTCATTGCGTTTGCGCTTTTGGTGACGAGCAGAATTGTTTTGGTTTTGATTCTGCTTCTCCGTTCGGCGGTCGTTCTGGTACTGATTCTGGTGCTGGTTCTGGTGCTGGTTCTGAGCCTTGTTCTCCTCTTTTTTAACCGGAGTTTCAGTCGTTGCTTTCACGGTCGGCACCTGGGGGATTAACTCTAGCAACCTGACGTTGTTGCTGACGGTCGGCGTTCTGTTTCCGAAGGTCCTCGAATTTGCGTTGCTGATTTTGTAGCTTCGACCTTTCGAACTTGGTAAGTGTCTTGGGCGGTGCTTTGCACTGAGAAGTCAAATGACCAAGTTGACCACACTGAAGACAGAGCTCAGCAGTGCATCGAGCTTTGGAGTGGCCAGACTCCCCACATCGGAAACACTTGCCACGCGATGCCTCTTGAGCTTCGGTGTTATCGCAGTTGTATGCAAAATGTTCATTGCTACCGCAAATTCCACAGTTCCTAGTAGTGTCTAGCCCCATTCTCCCACCTGAAGGGCCTTCAGGCGGTGCGTTCGGAGTGTCCCGACTAGGTACCGACATCGACACCGAGCGAGAAGGCGGTCCAACAGACGCCGGAGATTGTCGAGAACTAGGCGGCGCTGGGGACTCTGCTTCCGCCGAATCCGGAGTTTCGACTGACGGTCCAGATATGAGTGGGCCGGCATCAACCATCTCAACTTCTTTGTAGCCAGTAAATTGTGGTCGCTCGAGCATTTGAATAATGTCTCCTTCTGTATACACCTGACGCCCACGCGCGTCTTGGATAAGGCTATTCCAGAACTGGCCTTGCTGAAGGGCTTGGGAGTTACCAAGCACCCAGAGCGAAGATTTTGCACGAGTCAATCCGACGTTCATACGACGGATATCGGCCAAGAAACCGATACCTTTGTTGGAAGCGCGGACACAAGAGAAGATGATGACTTCAGCTTCCCGACCTTGGAAGGCATCGGTAGTATTGAAATCCACTTTGGTAAGAATTTCCTCGCCGTATCTGGCAGCAAACTGGTTCTTCATTTCTCTGAGTTGGCCCTTGTACGGGGTGATGACACCGATCTTGCCTGCGAAGTCGTAGCTCTTCACATCTTTGACGAGTCGTTCGTAGAGCTGCATTGCTACTCGCACTTCTGCATAGTTGGTCAACGAGTGGCCTTTAGTGGCACTGTGTTGCATGCCTTGGACGTCGAAGAAGCGATAGGGGCTCAGCAAATCGCTCTGATGCCATGGGCGGCTTCGAAGCTTCGCCATGTCGGGACCATCCTCAAGCTTGCCATCGTAGAACGTGAGACTGGGGAAGCGGCTGATGTCTGGATGCATACGATACTGAACATCCAGCAAATGTACGTCCTTTGGATGATTCTTCTGCATACGAACGAAGAGACTTTGTTCGTACTGGAACGAGGAAGCCATCTTCGAGAGAACAGTAGGAGGCAATTGTTTGGGATCACCGACCAAAATACACTTGGAGCAGCCATACTTCAGCGGAATGAGCGCGCTCAGCTCAATACACTGAGCCGCCTCGTCGATAATGACGGTTTCGAATTCGACGTTCATGCCCTGGAAGATTTCGTGGCCGGAACCGCTGAGAGTGGTGCAGATAGCATGCGCGCCGTCAATGACCTCTTGCTGGGCACGTCGCTTGTTGAGCTCGGCGGTTCGGGTCTGGGTGTGAAGTTGGTCTCGAGCCTTGTCGATATCCGTACTCAGCTGAGACCTCTTCTTTTTCGTCAACTCGAAATCGCGCTCGAGTTCCTCCGGAGCAGGCAGACCCTTGGCCCTGCATTCGTCCAAGGAAGTACGGATCTCTTTGAATCGAGTATCAGTGGCCTTGTGCTCTTCATAAAGCTTCTGCATGTCAACACCATTGCTAGAGCTGGTGTTCTTGTTGAGGCGTGCATTCACCATCTCATCGAGAGTGACGTCAAGAACATTGGAATTGATGGCATCGCTTCGTCCCAGGCGGACAACTGAGAGCTTTTCATGGTTGCCATTAGTCGTCTTGACACCTTCCTTTAAACGCATCACCAACTCGTCGACGGCAGCGTTACTTGGTGCACAGATCAGGATCTTCTTCCCTGATGCTTTAGGCTGGTTGGCATGGTATCCAGGCCCAATCGAGACAGATGTCTTGCCTAGCACATTTGTCAAAAGACTTCCAACAAGAGCTGTAATGGTTTTTGTTTTTCCGGAACCGGGGGGGGCCCTGGATCAGAGAAAATCCATCGTTGTCCATGGCGTGCCTGATAGCCTTAGCCTGGGCACGGTTGACAGAGTAGTTCTTCATCAATGGATCCAGCTTAGCCTCTCCGTATGAAAGAATAGGTGAAGGCTTGGCTTGAACAACCTCGTCACACAGATCGTAGAACTGCAGAGCCATAAGGGCACCATACTCTCGCTCTACGGGGATCAGAGAGGTGATCTTGGTAGCCCAAGATGTTGAACCCGTACCGAAGGAAGAATGGAACTTGCTATTTCCAATATTCATCCGATACGTGACTTCTTGCTTGCCGCCTTTACGATTGATACCAGCCACGCGTGCAAGTACATGTCCGGCATGGGGGTCCCCGGTCGGGTTAGACGAGCTAGAGAATAATACGAGGTCGCCTTCACCCATGCTGAAGTCTTTCAGAGGCATTCCAACCGGTTGCGTACTGAACTCAATCCATGTATCAACTGTCAAGCGGGACATGATCTTCACTTCAAAGGGACGGAAGGAACCTTCCTCTTTGGCCTGTTGGAAGCCCTGCCAGGCCTCAAGAATCAACAATGGCTCGAATGTATTCTGGTACTCGGTGGAGGTGCGGAAGGTGTTGGAGACCAGAGTATAATCAGAGCGACCAGATGAGGAGGGGAGATCGCCGGTTGAGAAGAAATCCCACGAAAGGATTGAGTGGTGGAGACTGGAAAGGTCGGGTGCTAGACGAGCACGCATATCTTTGATTGAACGATGACGCTTGGTCTTCTTGACGGGCTGCTGCTGCAGTGACTGCTTCTTGCTTAGCTCATAGGCGGCCACTGCATCAGGCTTCTTCGCCTTTGCGCCAAACAGCTCCTTGTCCAATTCATCCTCGCTCTCGGAATCCGAATCTTCGCCAGAAGAGACCATCATACTGTCGGCAGGGAGGGCATGATCTTTGCCCTTGACGCCGATACCCTTCAGGCCAGAGCCCTGCTCGGCTGTCAGCTCCGCAACACCGCGTGCCGGAAGATTCTTCTTCATCCGTGCGGCGATTTCCAGATCACGTTTCTTCTTGGCTTCTTTCTCGCGTTCACGCTTCTCACGGAACGACAACACACTGCTAGCATCGTCTTTCGGACGCTGGGAAGAAACCTGTTGAGAAATAGGGGGGCGCCCTCTAGAAGCCACCAACGAGGACTTTCCAGCTTGCAAAGCTGCTTTACGTTTGGCCTCAATCGCAATACGATTCTTGTTGAGCTCCACGGATCGAGAAAGGTCAAGGAGCGTGCTATCGGGAATATCGTCAAAGTCATCATCACTCGGGATAGTACTAGCCTGGCGAGATGACGGGCTTGAGAGCTCTGACGATTTGGCAAATGCCGTGATAGAGCTCTGCTTTTTCAGGGCAGCAGTAGAAGCCGTGACAACAGGCTTCTTGTAGTATGCCTCCAATGAGCGAACCAACTCAGCCTTGTCGCGTGTAGTCAGGATAGTACGAATAGTCCCATTGACAGACACGCCCTCAATGAACTCTAACGCGTCCGGGCGAACGGTAGTGACATCCAAGCTACCTAGTCTGCGCAAGAGCTTAGAGACAAGGCCAACCAAGGTAGTAGCAAGATACTCGTCCTTCAGCCTCAACCATTTCACCATTGCACTCATGGTGACGGTGGGAGGCTTCAGGAAGTTCTCAGACACTGACTTTTGACCAGGATCCGCATCTCCCACTGCACCAAGGAAGACACCATATTGGTCAAACAGAAAGTCGGCGAACTGGATTGTGTCTCGACAGAACTCAAGCATTACGGATTTGTCATTTCCCCGAAGATGCCAAGCCTCAGTCTCATTGAAGATGGTTGTCAACGCCTGCCACAGAAATTCCCAGAGTTTCTGCAAAGACAACACCTCGCGACGGTCCACAAGATTGCGTGTACGCAGCATACCAGTCTGGCTATTACACAGAATCTCTACGATATCCGTACCAGTGTGGAGCATTCGTGGGGCGGGCGCGAAGGTTTTCATGTTGGAGATTCGGCGGAAGGACCAACTCAGTCCATACATAGTTGTCACGAACGTCTTCTGTAGCAGATAGGAAATGGCGTCTCGGCGAGCCGAGTGGCCGCTGAAGTTCTTGATCAAATCGACGGATGCTTGGTAGGTATGCACATCGGCGGCGAAGAGGGTTGAGATAAGAGCACTGCTGGTATCCTGGCTTTTGAAAAGCGATTCGAGGTGGTCTGGCCTGAATTCCGCTAGGCGTTCGATAATCTGGCAAGAAAGGCGAGTAAGGTTGTCGTATGTCTCATTGAAGGTACCCTTCTGCTTCTCCTCGCTTTTGGTCGGGAATTTTTCCAGGCCGACGAGGGGCAGGATTCCAAGCAATGCTGCCTTGGAAAGAGCGGGATTGTCCTGGTGAAGATGTTTGACAACCGCACCCCATATCGGCGGAGAATACGTCGAGACTCTGTGTGAGAGAGTTCCGTGCTTGAGAATTACTTCGTAGTCACTCTTCAAGGACTGACACTCCAGAGCAAGAGTGTTGCGCACGACGTCCATGCAAAAATCGACAATCTCCTGTTGGCGGCTCTGCTCAACGGCAAATGTCGGCGTGTTCAGGATGACTTCAATGATATCACTCAGCACACCCATGGTAGTCTCCAATACAATGTGATCCACCGAGCTCCGTGAAGATTCATTGTCTGTAAATCGACGAAGGGTATGGAGGAGACTTGTAAGTCCAACATGGAAACAGTGGTATCGAGTTAATTGGGGGTATTGTGGATCCTGCAGGCGTCTTAATAATTGCAATGCGAGGAACCGGGAAGCAGCCGGTGAGTGTGCGGGCTTCAAAGAAGCCAAGAATGGGTCAATCCATGAAAGCATGTCCTTCATTGCTGACTTTTCATAAGGCTCGCCTTCAGTAGTTTGCATGAGGAAAGTGTTGAATTGTGTGTTGAAAAAAGTGTGTTCCATGAGAGCTTGCGGGGAGATTGTCTGCATAGCATCCCAGAAATCGGCCGGGGCCTTCTCGAGGAAGGTCTGAATAGTGTTCAAGAGGAAGCGCAGTCCTGGCGTTGGGAAGCTCAAATGATCGACCGAGAGGCGGAGAGGGTCAATATCAAGCGCGCGAAGTTTGTGAGTAATCTGCTCTTTGTCAAGTTTTTTGACAATCAATTGCATGCCACGCCAAAGGCGTTGAATGACGGTAAGCTGTGGTGGCTGCATAGAACCAGATTGCAATGCACTCAGAAGACCATCGCGAATCGCCCAGTCGAACTCCAGTGCGGTTGGAGGTCTTCCATATCGTGTCCAGGTGGAGATAGCCCAGAAACTGCGGAGTTGGTTTGAGTCGAAAAGGAAACGAGTGACGGCCGGTACATAATCAGAAATCTTCAACGTCCGTTTTGTCTGGATGAGTTTGAAAGGCTCATCAAAATGCTCCGTCAAGAGACTATCACTGCGCAACATAGCCTCACAACTCAGAGTTTCAAATATAGAAAGCAAGGCAGCTCTTTCCAGGACATCCAGCGCGATCTGCTGCGGGGGCACACTTTTTAATTGTGTCGTGGCCGTATCTAAGTTCCGCGTAATGCGCTTGATATCCCACTCATCGACCCGTTGAAAGAAAGCCTCGATATCCTCGTCCTGGTAGTCCATCTTAAGCTGATCCATGAGCCAGATTTTCCCCGCGTAGTATTGTTTGATACAGAGGTCGCATTTCTCCAGGTTTTCGTCGAGTTTCGTTAGAACCCAGGTTTGGAGTTCTTCGATGCCATCCGCATTATATGCAAGTATACGCATGCAAGAGAGGAATTTCTCTTTTCGCGCAGTTGCCACAGCCACCTGCTCTTTGACATTCTTTCCTTGTTCATCGACATGTTCTAAGTCATCGTATCGGCCGTAATCTTCGTCGTGCTGGCGCGGGCAGAGGAGGTGGGTGCCATCCGGAAGGGCTTTAAGCTCCCTATGCAAGGACAAACGATGGTTAGCAGCGTATGGCGGCAATTCATCTGGACAAAGGAGACTCACCCAATCGCATCCACGAACTCCATAGCTAGAAATATCCAAGGGAAAGAGTTACTGAGTTTCGCTCAACATCTGCCGACTGTTTTCTTCTCCCATCGGAGTATTCCTAGCACATATGTCGTTCGAATTCCGGGTGAGATGCTGATGTTGAGATGGAGTGGAGGAATGTATTTCGGTTTCTTTGTCTGAGCTGACACACTGAGACGCCACCAATGATAGGTATGGTGAGATTTGTGAAGAGAAAAAGAAAGCCTAGATTTACACTGAGTCCCCACAGCTCAAGTGAAGTGGCCAAGATGGACCTTGAAGCTTGTTGAGCGAACAAAAATCACCAAGAGTACGCGGGCAGAACGCAGCTGCACGGGACTTGGGCGGTGAAGGGTGAGCGCGACGCGCCGCATTTTACTGGAGTGGGAAGGATTGTACTTTTATGCATACTACACTACATGTACTATGATTAATTAGTTACTACTACTTTATTACTTTGTTACTTATTGGTAGGATAGAAGACCGCACATTGCACTATTCATGGGATATTCGCATTAAGTAACTCTCCCATCGAGGGCATAGAATAGAATACATGAAGACCATCCCCAGCAAAGCCAGCAACACCCTCGAGAGAAAGGATGGATGAACCAGCAAATAGAGAGAAGAAAGGAGAAAAAGGAAAATATCAAGGAAGATGACCTCAAGATGAGACGCGAGGAGAGTGAAGACCGCGTGTCGAGCACAATAGGGGGGAAGGAAAAATGGAGAGAGCAACAACGCTTTTATACAAAGAGCGAGAGCAATATGAGACATGCAAGGACAATAAGGAAAGGGGAACCGCCATGGGCTGCCATGTATAGGATAAACGGGGAATAAGATAAAGAAGAAAAGCAAGAGAGGGGTAGGAAAGAGAAAAAGAAGGGTAAATGCGCCAAACCACCAACCGGGTGGAGTATACCAAACGCCTGCTTTCTATCGGGGAATATCAGAGCTGTGTGTGAATATTGAAGAAGCGGGAAAGAAAATGAAGCGGATTGCGAGAGAGAATTAAAAAACCGCGCAGCATATTGCTCATGAGGATATGGAACAAGTACGATCTGGATAGGAAGATCGTACTCGCCCGCAAGAGAGGAGGGGGGAGGTCGTAGTCATCAGAATAAGTCTATGCAAGACCGCAGGTGCGGTGCCTCAAATCACATTATGTGCAGGGGGCTCGCCAGGGGCCCGGAACGGATCTTGAACAGTCTCGTTCCCGTGACTAGATTCCATCCTCTGAAGCATGGCGGCGGAGGTGAAATCATTGCTTTGCTCGAAACTTTGCCTCACGCGTTCGAATGAATGCCGTGTCCTGTCGTGAGATCGCCGAACATAGTCCACGGATTGTTGTCGGGGATATTGGTCAAGGCTCGCGGTATAGTTGGTCCCATTGCTTCCGTTTTGACTGCGTGGATTGTGGCCGTTCTGGTGGACGGTCGCTGGTGGATAGAAAGGCCGCTCATCATCGGGAATGCCGGGATCCTGCTTCAATTGCGGCTGAATCGGCTTGGCCAGCTCTGAAGAGGCCGCCGACTCGTCAGTCGAGACGGCAATCCCGGCTCCCCCTTTTGGGGAAAGATCATCAACATCGTCTAGATACTTGAACTTGCCGAGTGTAACCTGTTCGCGAATAATGTCAACGTCGAGAGGGAAGAAGACTTTCTGGACGGCATTGTAGGTGAAACGCGGCAACAAGGAGATCATGGTTGTAATGAGCAAGACGACCCAGAAGCTGAGGGAACCGTAAACTTCGTAGGCCGAATTGTAGAATTGACCGGACGCGGTGAAGCATGAGTAGATACCAGTCCAGAAGAAGATCAGCAGACAACTGATGGCGTTGATCAGAACGGTGAACCAATCCCAGCGGTATGTATTCATCATGACATAGATGTTGCTTGCAAGAACAGCACAGGAGGCAATCAGAACACCCATGCGGGTACGGTCAGCGATGTCGCGACCGCTCTCAGTGGCAAAGTTGGCTGCTTGGTAGAGTTGGTATGGCATGAAGAAACAAATAACAGACTGGTACAGGCCATCGGCCATGTACAACCAGAACTTGAGCTGCGACCATTCCTTGCGCTCGATACCACGCATGTAAAGCTGAGGCACTGCAAGAGAGATCTTGTCATCAACATCCTGGTCGAAGATACCCATAAAGATAACTGGCAGAGAAGTGAACGCCAAGTTGACGAGAACGATATAGGTATAGTCGAAGAGATAGGAGCCATCGAAGTCGTTGTATACACAGTACCAGAAGAGAGCAAATGTCCAAACCAAATTTTTGTAGAAGAAGTTGGCAGTGCACTCTCCTAAACGGCGGTAGGACCATCTTCCATGAACAAGAAGCAGACGTTGGAGGAATCGGAATTGTCCAATGGCGTAGTCAGAGGACATGACAGCCTGTCGGCCTTCCTCACCGGCGATACCAACACCAACATCGGCTTCTTGAATCATGGCCACATCGTTGGCACCATCCCCGATTGAAAGAGCCATGATGTCCAGACCATGGCGGACCATATTAACAACAGCAGCCTTCTGGGAAGGACTGACACGACAGCAAAGAACTGCCTTGCACTGCTTGCAAAGCAAGAGGAACTTCTGCTTCAGTTCATCGCTAAGCATCAACTTGAGAGTTTCACCATCGACAATGACGGCATGAGTAGCTTCAGGGGAGTGTGGTCTGCACGCGCAGCGATAAGTTCCTCGTCCGAGCCAGTCAATCCGAATGTTTGAAGGTGCTTATCGAGATCCGCGGATGCCTGATCAAACTGGCCTTCGGCAACGTTGAGGACGATAAGCTCCATGTCGTTGTTCAGCAGATTGCAGGAGAAACCAATGTTGATAGCAGTCTCGACCTTGTCGCCAGTAAGAACCCACAACTTGATACCAGCATCCGCAAGGAGTTGGATTGTATCTGGAACACCATCCTGAAGACGATCCTCGATAGCAGTTCCACCGAGAAGCATGAGCTCCTGTTCGATTTGGCTCGAGACCTTCTCCAGCTTTTCCTCGCGCATCTCAATGGCGGCAGCAGCGACGTCGTGTTCTTTGTTCCAAGCCTGATATTCTTCCTCGCTAAGGAGTCGGTCGGCAATACACAGAGTTCGAAGACCTTCCTTGGCGTATTCTTCCAGGTGCTCGGCAGTCTTGCGTCGGAGATCTTGCTGCTTACCGCGTGCCAGGCGGGAGTAGATGATACTATCAGCACCCTTGCAGAAAAGACGAATGGTACCATCGGGCATGCGAATGATGGCACTCATACGCTTTCGAGATGAGTTGAATTCAAGGGTGTTCAAGACAGTGTAGGTACGCTCTTCGCCCATGATGTTCAAGAGCAGGTCGTCACCCGCGCGACCGAGAACTGTGAAGCCACAGTCACGGGCGGTGCTGACAAGAGCCGCCTCATCGGGCGATTGGGCCTTGAATTCGATTTGCGGGGGATCACCGGGGGTGTGCTCCGTGATAACGGTATGACAAACAGCTAGAGCGAGCATGAAATGTTCCGCGGCTTTCTTCTGTTCTTCGCCAGACTGTCCGTTCATATCGGTAACATAGTTTGGAGCGATGAAAGTCAAGTTCTCATCCTTCAGGTATGGGTTATCGTGTATAAGACGCAAACCCTCCAGCATTTTCACGGCATTGGCGGCGATTTGGGCTCGGACTTGAGTGGCCTCTGCATCGGCATCAACGCCTTCGCGACGCCGCATTCCAATCTGTGCTTCCGTGTAGGCTTCACCATAGGACACGCCATTGATCGTGCATTTCTTGAACTCCATGACGTTTTGCGTCAGGGTACCAGTTTTGTCGGAAAAGATATACTCAACTTGTCCAACGTCATCTGAAATGTTCCACGACTTAGGAACACAATAGAGACCCAGCCTCTCGTAGTACATGTACAGATCACTGTGGATGAAGACGGCCTGGATGGTGCGAACAATTTCGAGCGAGATGTAAAGCGAGATGGGAACCAAATTCTGGAACAAAATGACAGCCGTCCAGAAGGTCACAATACCAGTCACAGGAGGAGTACCTCCGTAAGACCCGTAGTCGAAGAAATCCAGCGACTTGTCTGGAGCGGCCCACGCAATACCGTTCACGATACCCGCGACCAGACACATGATGAAAAGGATGATGAAGTTGTAAATAACGTTCCAGTTCAAATCTTTCGCCAGGCGGGCACGCTTGGCAGGGGTTGCTCCGGAGTTGAGCATGATTTTGCTCTCTCCACCGGTAAAGACGACGACACCAAGAACCCATTCGGTACTGCGCAAGGAGCAGCCACGAAGCAGCATGTTGTTGATGGTGATGGGTTCGACCATTTCCTTCCGGGGGCCCTCGGGATGGTTCGGATCGCGCTGGTCCCAACGAATCGCACCGTTGTAGGCGTACAGATTGGGGTGTGGTGCCTCGCTCTCAATGGTAAACTCGGCCTTTTCGCAGTCGCGGGCATGACGAACCTGGCGACCGCAGTGAAGAGCGTGACGAACCTTCAAGTTGGTCTCACCATCCAGACCCATAGTTTCAACGTAGCAGGCTCCATCGGGGTCGGAGGTGGACAGAATCACGATATCGGCGGGAATGGGGTCCTCGTTGTACAAACGAACAAAATCACCGACTTGGATGTTTTTCCATGTGTCCCGCTTGAACCGTCCCTTACCAGTGGTCTGCTTGGACATGTCGACGACAGACCCTGTTTTCTTGTCGGGATTTGTTGGAGACATCAGGTTCTCGCGGTTGGCGCTGTCAGGGGAAAGGAATTTGTTTTCGGTGTTGCTTGCGACCGGCCAATCCTCACGGGCTTCAGGTTGAGGCGATGGAACATCGGTCATTTGAATGGCAACCTCGCCGGCCAATGAGTTGCGGTGCGAGTACATTCCAGATTGGCGCGGTGTTGCCGTAGTCATGAATGAATCCCGTCGGGCGGTATCCTCATCTTCCGTGTCTTCGCCCTTCTTGAATTGAGTCTTGATCCACTTGTATGAGGTGATCACACCGCGAGTGCATGACTTCTTGAAGCGACGCCATGGCCCAATGTTGTCCTCGGTCGAATTGACATTTGTCCATTCAATCAGTCGATATACCGGTGAGTTGTTGACTTGAGTGTCGGAAACAGTTCGCCCCCAGTCCTCGATTGCGTCTTTGATTGCAGTTACCACGATAATGACGATCAAGGGAACAGCGTTAAGACCGGGATTATTGGCACCGAAAATAGGGAAGAACTAGAAATTCCAATTAGTGATGGGGTCCTTTTTGGCTGTGATGGCCATTGGGAAGGCAAACGGGGGGGGGCGAAGGGTCACCTACATTAAGAATAATGACGAACAAGAAATAAATATTGGCGATATTGTGGAACTGCAGGAAGACGTTCTTCGGAACGAAGGTGAGCGCGGTATACTTGGCAGTTCGAATCTTGTTTCGTGGATAAGCATGCTTCAACTGTCCTTCTTCGTCTCGTTCGGATTCAGGGATCGGGATGTTGAAGTAGATCGTTCGGTTCTCGTTTCCTTCCGATTGTCCGTCGCCCACAGTTGAAGCGTTATCGCCTGCTGAGCTTGTCGCGTTGGACTTTCGCTTCTCATCTCTGATCTCCGAACGTTTGTGGAAACGATCGATGATGGAGACTCGTTTCCGCATGCCGCCGGAACCAGTCTGGCGCGTGGTTGCCCATCTTTGTCGCTTGGTCGGTTTAGATATATTACTGGGGACCTCCTGGATATCACTTGGCACCTCAAGGTTGTTATTATCCCCGGGAAAATGCACGGAAGCCATCTAGGCTACTGTTGCGCCCAGCGAGGGCATAAAACGTGACGATGTTGTCTTTGGGGTACGAAGCGGAGTACCATCCGACGAATTAAGCGGGAGTCTGATGGCAGATAGGGCCAAGTGTTCGATTGGAAGCAGATTCTTCACGCGAGGGAGGTCGTTGGTAAGCACCAGGTCATCTGGGGGGGACGAATCGCAAGTAGGATGACAGAACGCGCGGATGCGAGCGGGATCGAAGGGAATCGACGGAGATTGAAAGGGGGAAGTCGAGAATTGACGGGGAAAGGCGAATCACCCACGGGGCGCCATGCAATCTGGAGAGCGGAGGGGAGAGGGTGGTGGGGGAGGGTGAGAAAGGTGAGAAAGGGAGGATGTTTTTTTCTCGAGGGGCGACCTGAGCAAAGAAAGAAAAGAAAGGCAGGCTTGACGATGTGAGGACAGCTGGGGGGGGGGGGGGAGGGTATGGTCACGTATTGTCATCGGGCTGCTTACATGCCGGCTTGGTCAGCAGACTTGGCACAGCATATAGCATACAGCATAGTGTATACTAGTACTATAGTAGTAGTATTAGTAGTAGTAGTAGTATAGCTAGTGGTAGCATAATTAGCATACTAGTAATTTAATATGTCTGATATTCTAATTCAAAGTATCCTAGGATGCCTCTACATAATGAGGATTATATTTGTTGCTGGACTTGCACTTGCATTATCTCCGAATAAACAGATCGCCCCAACTGTGAGTAAGTCCGGTAAGAATTGTACCAGAGTGTACCATACCGTACCAGCCTCACCCGTTCAGCGGCATCCCTCACAATCTGGTTCAGCATCTAAATTTCTGACTGTGGCAGTGGCAACGGCGGCTACGGCAACGGGTTGATCTTCGGCATTGCACGGAGTTAGGATTAGATGCTTTATAATATGACATTGTTCAACCCACCGTTGGTTCCGTCGTATATTTCCTATTATGTCTGTGCTTACTACGGAGTATGGTTATGGTTATTTCTGGATTTGGCCCCCTTCTGCACGAGGGACACAGCCCTCGTATTCTGAGAGTGCATACAAAATAGTGCATGCTTATGTACGAGGGGGGGTATGCCACCGTCATAGGACTCCATAGGGTGCTCAGTACAGTTCTGCAACCCACTCTCTCCGTGTTGTGCCCCATCTGGAACCTTTGGAACTAATCTCTCTCGCCTGGACTCCCGGCACTATCGGGTCTGGGCAGGGGTGACAGCCCCGGGGACGGATACTCTCCAGTCCGCACGTCGGCTTGAACCACATGCCTTGCCGTACTCACCGAGTATACTGTGTCAAGTCCAATTGCGCTACTCGTAGATACTAAACGGTCCCCCCCGGAAAGAACGCAGAGGCCACCTTGCCGTTCGAGGCAAATGTTCTCTGTTGTCTCAGGGTCGGAGCAACGCGCCTGAAACGACCGGCGACACGGCACGAGCGTCCGGTCCACCTGAGTCAGCGCACTAACTCCACTCCGCTCTGGAGATTCGATGTGGAAGGTCTAGAGATCCTTCCATTGGTGGTGCTGCATTGCTGTCCATGCTGGGCATTTCATCGGTTAGCGCTATTCTGGATCTTCCAAGGCGGACCTCTCTCCCATGCTCTCGCTTGCAATTTCAGCGATGGCTGGGAGATATACCCCGTGCGGGACGAGAGTATTGATAGATCATGTCTGCCTTTGGTTCCTTTTCATTTTTCCCTCCCCCTCCCCCCTTAACCCCTTTCTTCTGCCACGCGATGGATGCGCTTCCGAATTTTGGCTCGGGTCAGAGTACTCGTACTCCGTACTGTACACTCAAAATCCATGCATTGGCCCCCGGGCGGAGCGGAGTCCACTGTTGATCATTGTAACTTGCCGAGTCCGTTGGCTCCAGTCGTGCCTTTGTCTCGGTACCGGTGACCGACGGCGATACAGTAGTAGCAATGTCTTTGAACGTTGTATCCGTACGGCCGTAGTATGGAGTAGGTGTAGGTAGTTTGATGCCTAGCCGCGCAACTTGGTGCAGGTCAATTTTTGCAAGGAGAGATTGCAGGACAGCTCCAAGGAAGAGGTTGGCATCGACAGCAATCAAAGCATGACACGGCGTCGTCAGCCCGCGCGGATCAATCACGAACCATAGTGGAGCAGGAGGGTACGATTCGTAAACTCAAATCGGATCGACGGCGGTGCCCCTGAATCTCTGAATCTCTGACTGTCAGGCTGGACAGGTGTACACCTGACAGATGTCGTTTCAGCAAAGGGCGCGGGTCTGGAGTTGATCGAATGCAAGGCTGAGTCCCTCACAGGCTTGGGGGTTGGCATTGATGAATGGCGGTGGTGGGGTGGTCAACGCGTTATTGGCGGGTAGTACTACTAGCAGTACGGAGTATTCTGGACCGCCAAAGGATACTCGTAGAATTAGTATCAGTTTTCAAGCTTAAGTTTTGAGATTAAAATCAAATTTATTTCAAGTTATCATCTACTACCAGTAACAGCTAAATATACGAAAAGCGAGCTTGAAGGAAGTTGCTAAACTGAGCGCGACTAGTACTCTTCTGTCAATATATACTACGGCCCAGGACTAATACTCCACCTGTACTTTGAAGTTTGCACTACTAGTAGTGCTCTGTACTCATCTATCACTACTACTAGTAGCAGTACTCAATACTATTCAATACTATACAACGCTATACTACTGCTACTAAGTGTACTCAAGGAAGGAGCTACCGGGGAATTCCCAATTTGGCGTGTTCAGCCTCAACGGTCAGGTGACTTCGCGCCGCGCGACGCGGACATCATCTTTCATTGCCTGTGGACTTGTTTGCTTTCACCAATACCTGATTCATCCGCAATGCGATCGTCATGGAGCAATATCTTTAAACCGCCACCATTCGCACGAACTCCGACAGGCTTAACCCCCGAGAAGAAACGCGTATGTGACGTCGAGGATTCCCTCTCAGGTTTCATCCTCCCCGCTATCAGATCCCCCGCCGTCATCATTCCAAGGCTTCTCAACCCCAACCCCGACTCCGATTCCAGATACTCCGGCTTCAGATACCCCAAATGGCCCGGGTGCCCAGCTGCATGCATCACTATCCAGAACCCTCTTTGATAGTCCCCCGAAACCGTCGGTTCGAGAGGAAAGCTTCCAGAGCATCGATTCCACAGTTCCACCATCTACTCTCGATAGCAGCTCCCAGCGCATAATCAAAGGGGGCAAGGAGATTGTCATCAGCTCTGATGGCGAAGACACTGATTCTATCTCCGATCTTGACGATCCATCTACCCTCTTTTCTTCAACCCCAAAGGCGGAGGCAAAGAAAGAGCCCACGGTGTCAAAGCCTACCCGATCAGGAAAATCACATCTCGCCCATTTGACGGCGCAGAAGAGATACAAGAATAGCCTCGACGATATTGTTCATGATGCGGTGGATGACAATGAGATGGAGGCAAAAGTCGCCGAAGTAAAGGCAAGCCTTGCCCGATCCAATGGTGAACGAGCTGCGTCCAAGCACGCGAGAGACAGCACTGCCTTCATCAGCGAGGGCATGTTAGCCTCCGTATTAGGGGATGCCCAGGATGAAGATGGACCTGGACTGCAACGTCTTTTGAATGCTGTTCGGAGAACCGAAGCCCTCGACCAAGGCCGAGCCTGGAGATTCTTTGACCAAGCTCCGACGACACCCGCCAGACTAGAGTTTCCTAAGGATCATTTCCCGCCTGGATCCAACTTGGCAGCGCTTAGAGGTCAGCTGAAGAGCGCAACCTAATTGCATGCATCGCTAACTTAGTCAGAGCCTGAACCTCGTGTGCGTATGATCCAATCGGGCATTCTCGAATGGGCTTCTTCGCTGGGACGTTTACCCAACGAGTTCATTCTTTGGCTTTTCTGGTCCGGTCAGTTTCCCAGATTGATGACTGATCTTCAAACCTACAGAACTAACAGTTGTATAGTTCCAACCGAACCAAGAGAGGAAATAAGAAAAGCCCTTTGTCGGATCATCGTGGTACGTCCACCCCAAAATTACTTTCACCCCTCATGCTAAGTGAAAGGCAGAATACCCCTCCCAAGTGTATTCAATCACACATTCATCCCGATGACATTGACTCTCTCTTCCGACAACTGGGAGCTAAGCCTCAAGCTTTAGATCTCTCCAGTGTCGTTGTCGAAGAACCCGCTGATCGTAAGACCTGCTTTCCCCTTGATCCATAATGGGCTCATGAATATGCTAACTTTCTTCATTAGAATCTCCGTCGGGCTCTCAATTCAAAGATCGTCCAATTTTACTTTCTATTTTCAGTCTGCTCCAAGATGCTTCAGAGCTGTAAGCCTCAATCATACCCAGTTCATCAGGCCACGACTCACCATATTTTAGGTTTTCACTTGATGTTCGTGCGCATGCGATTCATATTCTGTTACGACTTTCTCTAGACAATTCCTTGACGCAGGACTTTACCATCCGCGCAAGGCTACAAAGTGCTTTGACTGCTCTGCTTGAAAATGTTTCCGAAGCGGAGATAGATGACATGGTATGCACGCACCTGATCATGAAATTTGAGGAATGGCTGCTAAATGAAAATCAGGAGCGTCAGCTTGGTGCAGCTCTCTACGACACTGTCAAGGACCCGCAGTTCCAATGTCGCATGATACAACATATCCTCCCCACCTCACCTTGGATCTCGCTTCTACGATATCGCCTGGCTGTTTCATTTCTACTACAAGAGTCAACACCCCTCAGTGGACCAGTTGAAGAAGTTCTCGACCTCAAACGGCTTACTCATGTCATTCGGGACCCACGATTTCAGATGAATGTAAACAACGGAAAAGAGGCCGAGTATGATTTTGGGGAGCTAATCGCTCTCACCCAGCTCTTGGAAGTGGCCCTCAACAGTACACTGTACGATCTCAGATACAAGGAGAAGGACACCGAAAAAGAGTTCAATGCCGCTATTGACCTGCTGGCAAGCCAACTCAAGACGAATTTCAGCTCCATGAAGGAATCCGGAGCATCGCATCTTAAACGAATGCTGGCCAAGGGAGCATTAGAGACCTTGCATTACCGACTTGTCTACTCAGTCCGATCTAAGCCACCACCGAAGAAAACACCCTTCGAGGCATATGCCAAGGAAGGAAACAACATCAATAGCTACTTCAATAAAAAGGTCGCAGGAGATACTGGACGGACAAACGGAGATATCACCCAGATACCAATACGGGGACATGATCATACGACATAGCTTCAGCAAGTTTTTTTTTTGGATGCCTTGATTGGATAAACTATACCTCTTGCATTATTGGGGGGAGAGGGATATTGAGATATTGTTAATGACCGCAACGATTGATGATCACTAAGAAGGCGAGCAGTATTTTGTTTACAGGCGAATATGACCGAGAATTTCTGTAAATTATCCGGATAAAGAATCAGATGAACGCTCAGAGAGATTGGACCACAGTATCAAGTAAGGTCAGTCATGGGATGAGATGTGCAAAGAAACCCCCCCTCTCTATGGAGACAGCCAGAAAGTAGAAGGAGCCCGAACTATAAAACAATAAAAACACCTGGCCACGGCCCCCGGGGAAGAACCGCCAGCCGCAAGAGAGAGAAAGTATAAAATATTGAAACAAGATTTCCTTAGTCGTAGAAACGGCGGTTCTCGTTCTTTCCGAAGAGCGTCTCGCGGACGACGGGGAGAGCATCGATCTCCAACAGTCGCAGGCGCTCCTCGAAAGTGTTGTTAATCTCGATCTTTCCCTGTCCACCAACGATCACGACACCGCCAGCACTGTATTAAGGTAATTAGTATCAGTGCCATGCCAGCCATAAGAAACCAAAAAAAAGGAATCGCAGGAATATGTGGGAAACTTACGATCCCTCCGGCAAGGGCTCGGACTCATCAACAGAGAGGGAGATCTCTCTGCCAGTGTTCTTTTCAAATTCCTTCGCAGCACCCTCAATAGCCTTCTTCGCAACATCGATATCCTTCTTGCGAGCGCGGATCTCGGCCTTATCCTCATTCAGGAAGTACAGGCCCTCGACAACAAGACCCTGCAGCATAACCTCATACTTCTTCTTGTCACTGGCGGCAACCTTGGCGACCTGATCCCTGGCCTTCTGGAAAAGATCATCCAGGAGCTCCTGACGACCACCGAGCACGCGGAGACGGGTCCGGTTGGCCAGAGTCGAGCGGGTGATCTGCTGGGACATGGCGGCCTGCTTGAACTTCTTCTCGTAGAGGGTATCGATAGAGGCGGTCTCTTGGCGCACAAGCTTGGACTTTTCAATGGCGAATTCCTCGTCGGCCTTGAGTTGGATCTCGCGAGCCTTCTCCATGGCTTCTTGTCGGATGAAGGCGGTCATCTTGCGGAGCTCGCCCGCGACCTGGGGGGGATCGGAGACCACGGGGTCAGTTCGGGTTACAGGGAATGCAGGGTGGTATTGCAGGGAATTACCTGATCATCTGAGAGGGCATGACTTTGCGACATGATGAATGTGGGATGGTGGAGGAGAGGCAGGGAATGGTGGGATGTGTGATTGTGGTGGAAGTTGAAGTTGATAATGTGAAGGAGGTGGCAGTTGTGGTGGAGAAGGAAGCTCTCTCTGTCTCTCTCTCTCCGCCCACTTCTCTTCCTTACCGCATCCAACTACTTCCAACTCCTCCTCTCCATCTCCCCTTCATATTTCCCCCTCCCCTCCCCGCCCTACTTTTGCGCACCCTTTGTCATTTGCCCTTTTCTCCCTCGAGTTCGACCCTCACATAATGGATTCGGTACTCCGGTAGTCGTCCGGTTTCTGCGCTTCTCGCCTCTCGCTCCTCTCCACCTTTCCGTCCTGTTGGTACTCAACCAATGCATGATACGTCAACTTGGTCAAGATGGGAAACCTGGGGAACTTGTCGCCGCAGGGCAGTGTCGCCGTGAGTGGATGAACCTATTTCTTACAACAAGAAGAACAACAAGCAAAGGTGGACAGTCTTACTGACAACCCATACTACTAGGTCGGCATTATCGTGGGGCTTATCTCAACCAGTCTGCAGGCCATCGGACTCACTCTACAACGCAAATCCCACCTACTTGAAGACGAGAAACCGCTGTACGATGCGCGCCGTCCTCCATACAAGCGCCGGAGATGGCAAATAGGCATGTCCATGTTCGTCATTTCCAATATTGTCGGCAGTACGATCCAAATCACAACGCTTCCACTCCCGGTCCTGTCGACACTTCAAGCGGTCAGTACATACATCTTAGTTATTCGGTGATCGTGCGACCCAAGCTCGGTGGACTAACGGAACTTGGGGGAACAGTCTGGGCTAGTGTTTAATACAATTTTCGCGACACTCATTCTCGGCGAACCTTTCACTCGTTACTCCTTCGCCGGCACTCTACTCGTCTGTATCGGCGCCGTGTTGATCGCGACTTTCGGCGCTATCGGGGAGCCCGCGCATACCCTCAGCCAGCTTCTTGAACTCCTGAACGGCCGGCCATTTCTAATATGGATGGTTCTGACTCTTGTCTTGGTAGTCGTCATTCTAATCGGATCGAAGCTTTTGCGAAAATGTATGCCTGGCTCCCGAGCCAAACCCGTCGCGGGTGGCCATTATACACCGCACAATCTGCGGGCACAGAGTCGCATCAAGCTTTTCCGGGGCATGTGCTATGGCGCGGTCAGCGGAATACTATCAGCCCACTCGCTGTTGCTGGCCAAGTCAGCGGTGGAGCTTCTAGTGCGCACGATCGTGGATCGCGTGAACCAGTTCAACCGCTGGCAGTCGTGGGTGATTTTGCTGGCTATGATCTTCTTGGCTCTGACCCAGCTCTTCTACTTACACCGTGGACTGAAGCTCTGCAGTACTAGCATTTTATACCCGTTCGTGTTTTGCATCTACAATGTGATCGCCATCATGGATGGTCTGATCTACTTCCGACAGGTCTCCCAGCTTGCAGGTATTCACGCGGGGTTGATCGCCCTGGGAACTGTCATTCTTCTCGCCGGTGTCCTCTGCCTATCCTGGCGCCTGGAAGATATCGACAATCATGCTGCCGTCACTGTTGTGGGGCCTACACAGACCGGCCTTGGACCTGGTATGGCAGTCGTTGAGGAGCATCCCAGCTCTCCTGGCCTTATGGATGGCCGAGACGACGAAGAGTCTCGGGTGGGAGAGCGAGAGCCTCTCCTTCAAGGCACCATCCGATCTCGACATCTCTCCTCGTACCAGCGTATGCGAGCACCCAGTCTCCCGCTGATCTTGCCCAGTGACCGCCACGAAGCGGCAGATCTCAACGCAGCCTCTATTTGGGCCGAACTGGATGATTCCGACTACGACATGATAGACCCCCATTCACGCCCCGTGCGACCACGCAGTTCAAGCAGTGGTGCAGCGTTGAATAGACCGATGCGTGGTCTTTCACGTCACTCCACTATTGGTCCAATCCCGCAACATCGCCAGCGAGGGAATCGTCGATCAGCGCCACCAAGTCAAGGCGGCGTCGCTTGGCGCCGAGCTTCCGCGCCTTTATCAGGGCTATTAGGAGGTTCCCAGCGCAGACGCCGTGCCACCTCCGGCCACCTCACCTCGTCCAGCTCACAAGAAATCAACGGGTATGGAACAATTCAGGAGAATGAAGTCGACCCGATCGAGCCTGACGAGACCGCTCCCCTTCGACCCCGGCAGACCTCCACATCTGGCGGACTTCTCGCAGGCCCGAGAAGATCATTGCTGGGTGCCTGGCAACAAGGACGAGATTATATATCTCGATGGAGGGGTACGGGCACGAGCACAAGCACAAGCCCGCGGGCGGGTAATCGGGCCGATCAGATCGAGAACGACGGGTCGTCATCACCTTTATTACCACGTGTTGAAGCCCGTCCGCCATGGGCTCACGCCCACGAGCACCCCGATTCGCCACCTTCATCGCTTTAGATTCCCCGCAGAGTCATCTTCACTGTTCATCCTGCATGCTACCGCCACCTTGTCTGACCCCCAGCTTCCCTTCCCTCCACTTCCCTTCACGTTTGATATTGGAAGATACTTTCCAAGGCCTCTCGCTCTTTCCGCCATGTACAGTAGGGATCGATTGAGTCCCACCTACCTCACATCACGCCACATCTTTATAGAAGATATGAAGATGCTTCTTTCCGTCCTTTAGCTACGATACCACCGTTTCTTTGTTATATACACGCGAGGAAAGGATTTGTGAACAACACATATAATAATTGCTGAGATGAAATTTGTCCCCCATAGCAAAAGCGTAGATGTGGCACTGCCTGCTCAATAATACTAGTACTAATTGACACCCACTACCTATTACTACAGGTATGTACTAGCTAGTAGAAGTAATCCCTACCAAAAAGACCTACCTGTCTTCGTTTTCCCAGGGTTACCTAGTAGATAGCACCGGAATGCCGGAGTCAAGGTCATGAAATAAACTTGAAACCTCATTTTCATTCAAGTTGGAAATCAAATACATTGCAGTCTGATATCTCGCTTAATAAAGCAGAAGTAACCGCCCCAGCAAGCTATAGAGTATAAGAGATACAATCCAATCCTGTCCAGTCCAAAGTACCGACAACCTGGGGAAATACAAAGCCGGACTACACCAAGGAGATACACTCACATCCGATACCGATACCGATACCATACAAAGAAGCCCGCAGCAGAGTTGCAGAATAGGGCGAACAAGAAATACGAGGCTCGACGACCCAGTTGATAGAAGTGACTCATCTCGAAGAAACAGGGTTGAGATTAGACTGAGAGCGAGAGGGAAAAAAAGGGGACGGAACATAATACCATCGTGAGACAGGTACACAGGAACAACTTGGAAAATAAGGAGTTAAGAGCAAGAGACGAAAGATGAGACGCGAGGGAAGAAACAATAAACAGGGTCAGTTAATGGGTCATGTGAGGAGTAAGTAAAAAGAGTTAAAACGAGACAGGATACAAGATAGAGGAGGGGGAAAAGAAATGATAAAATAGGATAAAAGAGTAAAATCAAGTTAAAGAACAACCATTGGAACCAGAAACACCCTCCAAGGGGCTTGTGAACCACGCCGACAAATCAATGCACCACGAACACCACCAACCTCAGCCATAGTGTGTCTAGCTAGGTAGAGGGGGACAAAGAGGGGAAATGGGAAGAAAACCAGATCGTAGCCAGAATAGCGTTAGAAGATCCAGATTTGCAGTTGCTTGCGCTCATGATCTCTCTTATGATTTTTCTTTTTGAACAGGATTTGAGGGGG